AGCCCAACAACGGATGGACAAAATAAGTCACTGAACGTCACCAAATCACCCAAAATGCGCCCGCTCTCGTGAGATCTGGGACGCGAAGCTGGATTTTCTTTGGGCACGGACAGAGTATGAAACAAAGAGAATAACACTTACATTTCGATATAAAGCTTTCGTGACTGCAAGGATTCATCTTCTTTGGTTCTTTCGGTAAAGTCACGCTGTCCTGGTTCTTTTCGGTAAAGATGGTTGTGGCATGAAGCACAATCCCTGGGTACAACGTGCCCTTTTAAATGAGACTATCAGAATCAGAATCTATATTTATACACTAGGAAGAATCCGATGAGCTATAAAACTCTCTTTCAAAGGTGTCCAAATAGGGGCAGGTCACAAAGTTAAAACAACAAACAAAACAAAAACACGATGGGAGTACAAAGTATAGCAAACGTAAGCAAATAAGTAAAACATTAAATATAAACTATGATAACTCAACGAAGTCGCTTATCGTGTGAAAAAAATATTTTAAAAATTTAGTTTACCAGATAAAGCCTTCTTTTTCAGAAGCGGCCTGGCCACAAATGATAGCTCAACAAAGTGGCTTATTATGATGTGGAAATGTTTAGCAGCCAAATAATCTAAATGCATGTTGATTTCCAAATAACTCAACACAGAGGGCTGGCTGTGAAGCATGCCAGTGTGGCGAATACCACGTGAGCGTCATCCTGGTTTAAAGGACACGGTGAATACCGAGTGAACACGGCCGTGTATACAGTACCATACCTGTAAACCCATACGCTTTACCCCGTATTCTTGTACAGGGAAATTGAGTTTTTAGGTCCACACGGCGTAACAGCTTTTTCAATACGGCCAAAACATTCGTCTCTTTGGCATTGTTTCTCCCTTGTGATGGGACTTTTTAAAGTTGAACGTTGAGATTTCTAAGGGCACGGGGTGACCAATAAGATCTGAATTGGTCTGTAATAAGGTAGGCATTGATAAGGCGTTGACAGGTATGCAGTACCTGGTTATATAAAGGACAATAAATACAGATTGAACACTGCCAAGATAGGTGCCACCACGTTCCCTCTAACGGTTACATTAAATAATGATTAAACGCACAGTGAAGACGCAGTACTACCTACCTACCTACTGCCCGTAAAACCACGTTCCCACTCATAATTTGACATTTGTGAAAAGAAGAGCTTTATAGTTAACTAGCGGGAAGTACCCGGCGTTGCCCGGGCAAATAATATATTTCAAAACTTATCTTAAAAACCTTACATATTCATACACAGATACTAAGGTATACACATATTCTGAATTTAAGGACACGTGGAGTGAAATTGCTCGTGGACCACGTTCCCTTTGCCACCGGTTAAATTAAGGACAGTGAACCTAGCATGGTCCGTACAGCGCACCCTCCCCCTATGATTAAATACAGGGTTACATGGTTAAATACAGGGCCACATGGTTAAATAAAGGAAAGAGTGAACACTATCAGTGTACCATATTGACCCCATGGTTAAATATAGGGCAGTGTCCATAGTGTAAATACTGTGGCAGGTGCCCAATTTTATGGTTAAATACAGGGCCACATGGTTAAAGCCGTGGTTACACGCTAACATCCTGGACTACATCATCTTTAAATACAGCGTTAATGGTTACATACACGGGATAAATAAAGGGTCACATTGTGAAATACAGGGTCACATTGTGAAATACAGGGTCACATTGTGAAATACAATGTTAAATACAGGGTGTGTGGATGAGTGGAGTGTCTATGGGTGATACGGGGTTACAGGGTTACATAAAGGGATTAGATCAGGGGTCTCAAACTCACGGCGCGCGGGCCAATTGCGGCCCGCGGAACAATATTTGGTGGCCCCCTACTTGGCATAAATTTTTAATGTATTTTTTTTATTATTATTTTACCATAGCTCAGGCTCGTGACAGTTTCCGGTGTTTGTTGACAAGTTAGCCAACGCGAATTAGCAACGTTAGTCACTTTGTTGAAACGTGATTCCGGAGAGACACCAAGTGGAAGGAAAATATATCCTGTCACCCAGTGCAAGGTATAGAGGACTTAGGAAGTGGGCGGACTCAACAAGAGTAATCAGTGACCTAATAAAGACAACAGAGTGTTGCAATAGGAAAGGGAAAATAATTACATGGATAGCAAATAGCATGAGATGGGTGGCAAGAACAAAAGCCAAATGGTGGTTAGAACCTGAATATTATAAAGAAGTTATAGATTATTATTACAAGAGAAACAAAGACAAGGAAAAAGGACAGATATGTGCAATCGCAAAAGAAAACGAATTTACCAAGAACAATTTAATCAAAAAGAGCAAGAAATTAAAATATATAAAACATGAGACAATGCACTTGATGTTAAGAATTAAGACAGGTGGAGTAACATGGACACCAGAGTTAGCTCAATGGCATCCAGAGAGATTTGGTAGAGCAGAAGGATATGTAGGATGTAAACAAAAATAAGAAAATCTAGATCACTTTATTTATGAACGTGAAAGGTATAAACACCTGAGAGAGAACACGATTGATAAATTTAATAATGATAAGAAAAACGAAGTGCTCAAAAAAAGCACTTGTTCAAAGAAAACTGGAAGAGGGTATGGAGGAGGCCATTGCTCTGCACTGCATTATCCATCAGCAGGCCCTTTGCAGCAAATGCCTGAAGTTTGACAATGTGATGTCTGTCGTTGTGAAATGCATCAACCATATCAGATCCAGGGGCTTAAAGCACCGGCAGTTCCGCGCCTTTTTAGAGGAAATAGTCAGCATATGAGGATGTGCTCTACTTCACCGAGGTACGTTGGCTCAGCAGGGGAAACGTCTTGAAGAGGTTTTTTGAGTAGAGAGCAGAAGTGAAAGCCTTCATGGAGAAGGATGGGATGGCTGTTCCTGTGCTAAGTGATCCCAAATGGCTCATGGACTTAACTTTTCTTGTTGACATCACACAGGAGCTGAATGTACTAAACAAGAAGTTACAAGGCCAGGGGCAGCTGGTCAGTGCTGCCTATGACAAAGTCTGAGCATTCTCCACAAAACTTGTGTTATGGAAAGCCCAGCTCTCTCAGACAAACCTCTGCCATTTCCCAGCATGCAAGGCACTCATGGACGCGGGCACACCATTCAGTGGTGAGAAGTATGCTGATGTCATTGTAAAGCTACAGGAGGAAGTTGATCACAGGTTTGCAGACTTCAAGACACACAGAGCCACTTTTCAAATTTTTTGCTGACCCCTTCTCCTTCGATGTGCAAGATGCCCCTCCTGTGCTTCAAATGGAGCTAATTGACCTGCAGTGCAATTCTGAACTCAAATCCAAGTTCAGGGAGGTGAGTGCAAAAGCAGACAAGCTTGGACAATTTTTGAGAGAATTGCCCCCCACCTTCCCTGAGCTTTCCAGGATGTTCAAGCGGACCATGCGCCTTTTTGGGAGCACATATCTGTGTGAAAAGCTCTTCTGCACCATGAACTTTAATAAGTCAAAGTACAGGTCGAAACTTACTGATGAGCATTTCAAGCCATACTGAGGGTCTCAATTGCTTCCTCCCTCAAGCCAAATGTGGCTCAGCTGTGTAAGAAGAGGAAGCGCTGCCAGGTCTCTGGAAGCATGGAGTAGGTAAGAGAAGCCTATGTTCTGAAGAACCGTTCCTGTTCTGAACTGTTATTAATAAAGATTGAGAAGATTGGATCAGTTGTACTTTTTTTGAATACTTGATGCGGCCCAGCCTCACCCAGACTCTACCTCCAGCGGCCCCCAGGTAAGTTGAGTTTGAGACCCCTGGATTAGATGGTCGTATAAAAGACAAAGATCCCCCGTATAACCTTTGACAGACTGTTGGGGCCAAGTGCCGTGAGCGAGCAGCACCTCCTATGAAGGCCACAGAGACAAAGATCCCCCGTATAGCCTTCAACATTCTGTTGGGGCAAGTGCCGTGAGCGAGCAGCACCTCCTATGAAAGCCACAAAGACAAAGATCCCCCGTATAGCCTTCAACATTCTGTTGGGGCAAGTGCTGCTAGCGAGCAGCACCTCCTATGAAGGCCACAGAGACAAAGATCCCCCGTATAGCCTTCAACATTCTGTTGGGGCAAGTGCTGTTAGCAAACAGCACCTCCTATGAAGGCCACAAAGACAAAGATCCCCCGTAAAGCCTTCAACATTCTGTTGGGGCAAGTGCTGTTAGCGAACAGCACCTCCTATGAAGGCCACAAAGACAAAGATCCCCCGTATAGCCTTCAACATTCTGTTGGGGCAAGTGCCGTGAGCGAGCAGCACCTCCTATGAAGGCCACAGAGACAAAGATCCCCCGTATAGCCTTCAACATTCTGTTGGGGCAAGTGCTGTTAGCGAGCAGCACCTCCTATGAAGGCCACAGAGACAAAGATCCCCCATATAGCCTTCAACATTCTGTTGGGGCAAGTGCTGTTAGCAAACAGCACCTCCTATGAAGGCCACAAAGACAAAGATCCCCCGTATAGCCTTCAACATTCTGTTGGGGCAAGTGCTGTTAGCGAACAGCACCTCCTATGAAGGCCACAAAGACAAAGATCCCCCGTATAGCCTTCAACATTCTGTTGGGGCAAGTGCCGTGAGCGAGCAGCACCTCCTATGAAGGCCACAGAGACAAAGATCCCCCGTATAGCCTTCAACATTCTGTTGGGGCAAGTGCTGTTAGCGAGCAGCACCTCCTATGAAGGCCACAGAGACAAAGATTCCCCGTATAGCCTTCAACATTCTGTTGGGGCAAGTGCTGTTAGCGAACAGCACCTCCTATGAAGGCCACAGAGACAAAGATTCCCCGTATAGCCTTCAACATTCTGTTGGGGCAAGTGCCGTGAGCGAGCAGCACCTCCTATGAAGGCCACAGAGACAAAGATCCCCCGTATAGCCTTCAACATTCTGTTGGGGCAAGTGCTGTTAGCGAGCAGCACCTCGTGTTAAGGCTGGCACTGAGGGGCACGCGTGCACGGGCACGCGCTCCATTTACCGTGGTCGAGCTGCACCGCCACTTCGCCATCATCCACAGCGGCGTCCCGCGACCTCGCCTTCTCCATGACGACGACGGCGGCGCTGATGGTGAGTTTAAAGTGTCGGTTGTTGTTGTTGGTTGTTGTTGGTTTGTTTTGTTTAAGCGACGGGACAAGTCGACCTTGTCCCACTCCAGAAGGTACCAAAAAAAATAAATTAACCTCTTCAATTGATTCCCTAGAGCGGATAAGCTCGCGCAGCTCTCTCCCTCCCTCCGCCCACACACACACACACAGAGCTCCGTTTGATTCCTATTGGTCGTGGCGCGATCACGTGAGGAGAGTCGAGCCGTGCGCGTCGCCCATTGGACGAGGGCGAGCTTTGGGGGGCTACGCGCCACGTCGCCTATGCGGTGTGGGAAATGCACTTGCGCGTGAATATTATACGATAATAACAATAGTGATTTTTTTAACACGTTACTGTCGGCTTTCGCGAACAATATCATCCATAATACATGTTTTTTTTAATAAATGTGTCGGTATACCCCGCCACCACGCGTGTGCAGTAGTAGTAACGAGTTGGCATGTTCCGTTTACGTGACAAACCTCACTAATTGGGCTGTGTTGGGTGGTGGCGGGTTTAACGACACATTTACATGAGAATAGGTTTTCCCCTTTTTTTCTGGCAACAAAACAAGTGTTAAGATGTTAAAACACTAAACTGAAACCTTTTACAAGGAATCATGCCTGCATTAACCACAATACTTGTGGTCAGAATTCAAACAAAAACACACTGATAATATATTGGCATTGTCCTTGAAACTGATTGGCCCACACCAGAGACAGCTTTCTTTTGAGCCTAGTCCCAAACGGTGTTAGACCAGAGGACGCCAAAAGACGCTGCAACGAGGCTCAAAAGAAAGCTGTCTCCGGTGTGGACCAATCAGTTTCAAAGATAATGCATATGGCAAAGGAGGTCCCATGATGACACATTTATATATTTACGCGATCTAACCCTAAAAAAAAACCTGTATAATGAACAATATTGATGCCTACCTTATTACAGACCAATTCAGATATTATTGGGTCTTGCCCCATTGAGGTGGTGCACCCACATGTCCCATCAAGGGCCCTAAGCTCTGGTGATGCAGAGCTTCTCTGTATTGCCAAGGTCGAGGTTTCAGTCTATGGGTGACCGAGATTTTTCCCGTGTAGTCCCCAGGCTATGGAACGCTCTTCTACGAGATATCAGAGGGAGCTCTGAGCCTGTGGAATTTTTTTTTAAATGCGCATTAAACCCTTTTTATACGCTTCCGCTTATTCAACTTTGAGTTAATTTAGTAAATGATTCTTAACATATTTATTCTCTAATTATTTTCATGCTGAGTGTCTGCTGCTGCTGTGTCCTGTACTGCGCTTTGAGATCATTGATGAAAAGCGCTTTGTTTTTGTAACTATTATTTTTATTATTACTCCGTACCCTTAGAAATCTCAACGTTCATCCTACAAAGTCCCATCACAAGGGAAAAACACAAACAAATAGACAAAAAAATGTTAGTCCGTATTGCAACGGCTGTACGTCGTGTGGACCTTAACTCAATTTCCCTGGACAAGAATATGGGGTAAACCATATAGTTTGACAGATATGTTGATGGAAATGCACGATTACGCTTGCATTTAGTTGCTTATCGTCTGCTTACGGCCCGGAGATAGTGGTGGAAATGTTACGTGTCTAATGGGAACGAGTATATTGTATAGAACGAGGGTTGTTTTAATTTCTACAAAGTGGTAATAATTGTATCGACCGAAGGGGGGTGATTGGGTTGGTTCACTCCATAACTGGGATTTGTATTAATTCTGTAAGTAATTTCAACTATGATGTATCACTATTATATAAGAATATATTAACAAATGCAACGTAGTGGAACAGAGGGAAATAATGGCATGCGAAATTTAAATCGAAACGATTGTAATACTACATTATTAAATAATGCACACAATACTACAGTACAATAATACAATGTGTAACAGTGTGATATTATACTACACGCAAACATCAATTATTTAAATACGTTATACTTGAAACAATTAGAAGACTTTCAGTATCATAGATTTTGAATAATAGTGCCATCAGGCGCGGTTCGTCCACTATGGGCGTTGGGGCGCCGCCTCACCAAGCAGCAGGAGATGAGAAGTTATTATGTTTATAACAATACTTTTCTAGAAATTGTTTTGTTGTTGTTTGCATTTTTTGAATATATAATGATTCTTTCAACGTGAATTGCCTAATGATGTGTGCCTCGGTGAGGTCTCGGGGCAGCTGTGAAGGTGTCCGAGTGAGAGATTTCCCTTCAATTATGGCGATGAGCTTCTAGCATTGTAGCCACGCCGTTTGAGTCCCATTCAGGGCGGTGAAAAAGACGCCAATGGCTGTAATTGCGATGTCCACAACGCTAGGGTGCACTGTGCAAACATAGCAGGTCACGGATTTTGGCAGTGTCAAAGGGGTTGTGGAGCAAGGCCGTAATTATACTGGTAGGAACCTCCTGGTTACACCAGCCCACAGGGGATTATTGTGTCCGTCCGTCCGTCGTGCATCCAAAAATGGGGGGGGGGTGGGGCTGAGTGGAGAGGGGAGGGTGGGGAGGGGAGGGGCTGGGTGGGGAGGGGCTGGTCACCCCGTGGTGCCCTTATAAAACTCAACGTTTAACCTACTTACGCCGGCTTGTGCCCACCCTCACAGTCGGGCATATTTGCGGAATACACCACGTGGTGCCGCCGTTGACCCTGGCCATTGACCGAGTAACCCAACGTTCCTACCAGCTCCCTCCGCAGGAATGTGTTTATATATACATGGGGGGGGGATGGATGTGTCCCCCCCCCCCAATATTCAAATATGCTCAAAATGCCCCCCCCAATATATTGCTATAAAATAGATTTATGTTGATATGATTGTGGTTATGGTTGTACTTTATTAATCCCTAATCTCTGCCATGATATACAATGAGACAAGAAAAGGTAAAAACAGAGCAATGTAATACAATACACTATTTGAAATTATTGTAAAAATAAATAAAAAGTCCATCCGATGCGTTAGTGAATTTTGAAAGATTTTAGGCAGGAAATGGCAGGAAATGGCAGGAAATTAGTTTTCAAATTTTGATTTTTTTTTCTGGGGGGGGACCCCAGACCCCGGACCCCCTGGAAGATTTGGTCCCCCCCAAATGTTGACTCCATGGTTACGTGCTTTGTTGTGTAGTGTGGACTTGAGGGTCATGCGGACAGCATTTGAGTGCTTTATTGTTTTGTTTCGTATCATTCATGAATGCCTGCCGTTGGTAGATAAGACAGTTGTATCACTTTTACGGGAAGGCCAATAACATGACGAGGGTTTTCTTAATTAGAACACCATCTTTTCAGAGGTCACTCACAACAGCCCCATCTAGTGTAAATGTCACGAGCTGCTAATGAGTGCCATATAATCCTTAATAATAAAATATAAGTGGGTTTAACGTTCGTGTTAGGGCTCGGGCCAGAACTCGGGCCAGAACTCATACCCATCATGTTGGCTTCTGCGAGATAGTAATGCATCATAGAGGGGCAAAGTCTTATTTTATAACTTTATATCGCCGTTTAGTTCATGCTTGAAGTTTCAATCGTCGTGGAAAGTCATCACATTGCGTTGTCATAATTGATCAATATTGTCGATTCACATTTAGAATTAATCCAAATCATGGGATTGTCTCGGCCCATCATGCTTTGAGTCGATAAAAAGTAAGTACCACTTCATGGGAAGCTACCAGTGGTGGGCCAGAAGCAGTGATTCATTGCAAGGCCAGCGGGCCACTGGCGTCCCCTGGTGGCATTTACTTTGGCCCCTGATGTACTGGCCCACGACAATACACAAAATCACGTGAAAACACCCCATCATGTGCCAAACCCAATGGTTTCAAATGTGTGGTGTTTTCACGTTATTTTGTCGTACATGTCACGTATATCGTTTATTGTTAAATTGAAAATCACAGTTCCTGTGATCACTGTTACATTGTTTTTAGAGATTTATTTTGGTGATTTCGAAAAGGTTCTGGTTTAGCCATATTTGTTTGTTGTAGTACACAGAGTTAGACTGGTAACTGTAATCTAAATTGTCTTATGGTTGTTATTGTTTGACTTGCATCCCACTGGAATTTTTGCACACAGCGTTGAAACGCGGTGCTTTTTCTGGAAGACTTCGCTGTTTTTTCCCTAGATTTTTCTGTTGCACGTAGTCACTTTAAGATGTTTCTTGTTCATGTTTTTGTTTGTTGCGGTTGCACCCGATTCAAGAGCCGAATGGCTCACAGGGCTATACCAAATAAACTGAAATGAACTGAACTGGTGGCCCTCACACATTGATATATTATCAGCGAAAGTGCCCCCCCCCCACCTCTGTAAATTAGTGCAGAACCACTGGCCATATTGAGTGTGGAATGTCACCAATGGCTCAGTGATGTGAGGAGCCACTGCACCGTGCGTCTTCAGTAAAGCGTCATCGAAACTTCTGGGAGGGACACGTGGTGAGCCCCCCCCCCCGCCTCTGTCAGCCCGCCCCATCTGTCAGCCACCCCCCCCCCCTCCCGTCATCCCCGCCCACTTTTACATAGCCACACCCACCCAAACACTCGTGCTGCTCACACATTGAGTGGCCTCGCTACTCCATTTAGCTCCGCCTGATACTCAAGTAGCCCCCCCCCCCTCCCGTCCTTTTCCCATATCATGAGTTGAGAGTATGAGGGCAGAACATTTTAAATTGGACAACAGAGACCAGTCTTTCCCAAATCTGGAACCAGCCTAGTCAAATCGGGACGCTCAGCAGCCTTAGAGTAGAGATGTTCCGACTTTGAATTGAATGTACAACAGCTGTGCCAGACCTGAATTTAATCAAGTAATTGTAATTCCACGGCCACAAGCTAGATCCACATTTGTGGCCATCTCCCATTGCCTCCGGGTCTGCCATTATCCATATCCGTTCCAAACCTCAATGGACCCAACTGTTGGTCTGAATGTTCATTAACATACAGTATTAAACCCCGACTGCAGGGGGCTGGGGTAATCATGGTCGTGCACTGGTCTCATCGTGGCCAGCAATGTTATGGATGACTCAGCATTCATGCATTGTACACGCTGGATGAGGTTATGACCACGCCGTGCTGGTCATGTGGGGGGAGTGGGTGACTGCACACTGATCAGTATGGGTTGGGGAAGGGAGTTTTAAAATTACTATTTTTCATCAGGTAAGGCCCACTGAGCTATATAGCTCTGTTTAATAAGCCACCTGGCTATCACAAATGATAGCTCAACAAAGTAGCTTACGGTGTGGACATATATAGCAGCCAAATACTCTAAACGCATGTTTTATTCTAAAACTGGAGGGAAAACCCGGAGCACCCAGAGAAAAATCCACGTGACCAGAGAGAATATGCAAACTCCTAATATATAGGCGCCAGGGTAAGGATCGAACCCACGACCTCCTGCATACCAGGCGAGATAGTTAATATCTCGCCATCGAGTGTAGGGAGTCCCAGGAGGGGTGCAGACATCACTCGCCACTGATGTCTGCCAGGAATGAAAGATTGCTGGGTCCATAGTGCAGTGCGCTAACAAGAGGGTCACTACTCCTCCTAGGATTCCTAATAATGTAGTACTGTACTGTGATACTAATTATAATACATAAATATGATACACCACCTTTCACAAGTTGTCCCAAGATGCAATAAAAAAATGCACACCTGTAAAACTGCAACTGCTAATTTAGCAAATTAATTGTGAAAAGGGTGGAAACGTGAATGTCTAAAAATAAAATTATCTGGGGGGTTAAGCGAATCCGATATACTTCAAACGAACTAATTTTCTGTGACCAATTGTCAATTAGATTCCACGTTCCACATACTTTGCAAAGCATTTAATTGTAAAACATTCATGTACACCGTACGGCATTGATACGCTTTAACAAAGTAGCACTGAGGTTATTGCTTGTTATATAAGCACTAGCTTCTTTCCCCACCCTAGGACGGAAGCTGTAATATTTACGAAAAAATTGAGCAGAGTATAATTGTATCTTGTGTAACTTTAATGGCAGTGAATCTTGCACGAAAGAATGGCATCAAACTCTTCACCGCATTTCACTGTAGCACTGTATTAATGGCAGTGAATCTGCCACAAAACGAAGTCATAAAACACTTCACTTCATGTCACTGTAGCACTGTATTTAACTGACCTTTAATTTGTTCAAATTCACTGCTCTGATACTTTATTCTCTTCTGCTTTCGGTCGCTGGGCTTGAAATAAATTGGAATTCGATACAATGTCTGGGAAATCGCCGAGAAATGTCTTTTGCCATAATGTAGAAGCATACATTAGATTTACCTTTTGTCTCAAGTGCTGAAGAAATATATAAAGACACCAAATCCACTTTGTTGCTGCGTATAATTATTTATTACATTCACTTTCAATAAAGAAACGTCAAATTTAAAGCGAATTTGCGCGAGTGTAAAAATCCACCAGCTCATGAATATTAATGATGGGGGGAGGGGGGGTGCGGCATGTGGAGTGACGTCACGCGCGTTACACACAAAGAAATATTCTTGGCCCGTTATAGTAGTAATTTCATAATTCGGTATTATGTAAGTGTGATCAAAGAGAACATACCCAAGTTACAGATATCGACCGTCAAACAAACTTAAGGGGACTTGGACAGGACCACAGATCCCACAAGAGAAGACGATGGCCTGGTGGTCGAGACAAACATAATTTGAATCCGCATCTTTATTTATATTTAAATAATCCGATGAGCTAAAAAGCTCTTTTTTACAGATGTCCAGTAGGGGCGGGTCAGAAAGTTACAATACCAAACCACGATAGGAGTGCAAAGTGTATAGGAAAGGGAAGCAAATCGCTAAAAAACTAAACTTTTATTTTACCAGGTAAAGCCTACGGAGCTGACAGCTTATTTTTCTGATGCAACATGGCCACGAATGAGAGCTCAACGAAGTGGCTTATCATGCGGAAATTTATAGTGACAGCTTGGAAATCCCGTAATCGATAAAGTCCGATAGGGTTAATGATCATAATTTCCAAATAATTTTTTCATCTTTCCCTTGCAAAAAAAATGTCTAAAATGTTCTCTCAACCGGTTTAAATCAAGGACATTAGTCAATTATGGACCATCAGGTCATGGGATATTGACCTCGGGCAACCTAAATAGTGCCGCGCCGCAATTGTGCTGATGGGGATTTAAAATAAGACCGGTCACGTAACTGGCGCGCAACCTGCCATGAGATCATTTCCGATAACCATTTGCGAGCCTTCTTGGAATTACGGTAATGCCCTCATTAATCATGTCATGTGGGAGTCGCGGGCTTGGAGCAGAATGGAAGGGGGCAATTTGGAAGCAAGTACCTCTCCCACGTGGAAAAACATTCATAACCCCCCCCCCCCCCACTACGCATCCTGACTGCCCCCAAGTGGAATTGTGTGGGTTCTGTGGTGGGGTGGGGGATACACCCAGAACATAGCCGCATAGTGGTATGCTAGCAGGAAAATCGTTGATTTTAATTCAATTGGACGTTCGTTGCTGTCGCCTGGTGGCCAATGCCTATATGGCACTTTGGCCAGCGCTGTGCCAATAATAATTCTCAATAGACGTTACCATCGCTTAACCACAAGAGGGCACACACGTCTTTTTGAGTCTTTGGAATATTTTTTACTGCTTTGTTTATTCAGCTGACCCGCAATTCTTAATGCAGACGAGATTGGCAGTTGCCAAGGTGTCAAATGCCGATTACCAAATAACCAGCAATGTCAGAATTCTGAAGCCAAGCAGGCGGAGCCTGGAGAGTGTTTATATGGGTGACCACCATGCAGTGTTCTCCATTGCAAGGCCCTCAGGCCACTGGCGGCCCCCGATAATGTACAAATGTGAAACGCCCCATCATGCTGTCACTCCCGATGGTTTCAAATGTGTGGCGGCCCTCATACTGATGAGTTATCGGCAAAAATGCCTCCCACCCCTGAAAATTCGTGACAAACACCGATATAACAGGTGTGGTCGGCTGCTCTGGAATTGTGTTGTCAACAGATGGCAGTGCAGCAGAGCCCATTGTTGTATCGTACGTCTATGCTCCCCGCCTTTACTAATCCGCATTTCACAGCGGGATGAATTATGGTCAAATAACCCCCATGATTCGCAAGGCGTGGGTTAAAGCCTCATCTAGCAGTAGACTGACAAAAGGCCTGTACGTGTACACCATGTGAATGCGATTTGCAGTGGGCATGTTTTTTAAATTAAGGCCGATTAAAAGTTGACAAGATAAAAATGGGAAGTTATGAAATTTAGTGTAAACATTTGGAATTTGCACAAAACCAGTGACGCATGTCACAGCTGGCAAGCATGGTTGTCCGCATGCTGTGCGTGGGAAAACGGAACGATTGTGTGCACCAGGCTTCCTTTCCAGATTTCTTAACTCTTGCACGGTAGTCTCTGCAAGTCCCGTTCCTCCATACCTCCAGTTCTACACACACATTCGTATATCCGGTTGTCTTCTCTCTATGCGTTGGGAAATAAAAAACTGATGCACAGAGCCACGTGCATGCAACACGAAGAAGCAACTTTTGCGCTCATAAAAGCTGTACTCGTACGTCTCTATATCAACCCTAAATAAAAATATTTATCTTTTTTACCAGGTAAGGCCCACGGAGTTATATGGCTCTTTTTTCAGAAGCGACCTGGCCGCAAATTATAGCCCAATGACGTGGCTTATCGCGTGGAAATTTATAGCAGCTGAATACTCAAAAGGCAAGTTTCAAAATGTGGAGGGAAAAACCGGAAGACTCGGAGAAAACTCCACACGACCACAAATATACAGGCATTAGGGTCGGGATCGAACCCATGTCTCCTGTATACAAAGCGATGTTGTTAACATCCGCCAATATGGCGCCCCAATCCACTGCTGGATAACGGCCGTTTCATGGCACGTGAGTCACAAAAGGTTATTTGACCATACGTCACCACAATGGCCAGTATAGGTTGAAGCATAAGACGTGCGAGCATCGGAGTACAATGGTAAAATCAAATTCTGATCGGTCCCCCACTGAGCTCCACGTCAACCTGTGTGCGTATGGTGGTCACCCATCCAAGTACTATCCAGGCTTAAAATCTGCTTGGCTTTTGAGCTTTGATAACACCGGGTGCATCCTCGGCGATCTGGTCACAGGCCCACAAAAGTGCACACGCTTCTGACAATAAATTTGAGACGGTAAGATAGGCAACAAGTGATAAGGCAGAAACCAGTCGGTGGAATTCTGCAATAACTTCCCTGTCCTACGAATGTAGAAACGAAGCAGTCAAATGTTCAAATGACCACTGGGAGATTGTACTTGCTTCTGCATTATAAACATTCAATTATTATATTAATGTGTTGTAAAACAAAACAAACGAGCAACTTATGGATGCTTTTAAATTATTAGTGTCTTTTAGCAGCTCCAATACTTCTGCATGTTTTACTTGCACACATAACACTCATTAACTGTAACATTTATTTTAACTTTCAAATTGACATTTGAAAAATCCTGCCATATGCCACACGTATACATTACGCAATTCTTCATAACATACAATATTAGCTACAGACCTTTATCAATCCACTGCTGGATGAAGGTCTCCCCACGTCGGTCATGGGTGTTGCGACCATACTTCACCGCACTGGTCATAGGTTGGTTTAACAGGTACCCAATACTCACCACTGATGTTAGCCGTGGTTAGGAATTGAACACCTGTCGCCACTGCTGAACCACGAATATCGTTTTATATCTTCAATGACTAAATTTTGAATATTGTCAAAATATTGAAGAGGAGAAAAGAAACCTTTTGGTGATATATATTTTTTGCTATTCCGGCAAATACACAATACATAATTTAAGCATGACTTATTTTTAAAGAAACACTGTAGATGAAAACATTAGATTATTACATAGTGATTGTTTGAATTAAAAGGGCAGTTTTAGTTCATGATGTTGGTGACACATTTACTGTCAATGCTTCCAGACCACTGAAAACAGTTCCTAAAATGTTATATACTTCATGTAAATGTTATGGGATGGAATCGTATAACTTTGTTTTGGAAAATTAAAGTTATGATTACAGGTGAAACAGTGCATCATCCTTATTCATTCTATTGTCAGGGTCTAGGATCATGATTATATTCAACAAATCGATTCTTCAGTATTTAAACAGTGCAAGTAAAATATACGTAGCACCTGGACACAAGCCCATTACATACAACGCATTCAGACTAACCCATACATTGTTACACATGCAACTTGATGCATGTTGCGAGCATAAAAATGTACTTTTATTTGAAGCATCCTTCCTATTTACGATACGAAACATTTGAGAAACATAACAGAAAACGTGACACGCGAAAACATTGCACTTGCGCCGAAGCAGTATCTGTTTCAACAACCGATCAAAGCCATTTCATTAAGACGAATTTATAGATGATGGCCATCAACATATATTTTTTTCTCTTTCATTAAGCACAGTATCAGAAGAATGCAATGGAATTTGAAAGTGAAATGAGATGTGTGGCAATCGTGTAAGTGTTACGTTGTTGTTGTTGTTTGTGCAAGCCAGATTAAAATACAGCGTATGCTGTACTTTAGAACGCGTATTAATACACCAATGTAATTACACGCGATTCACTATTTTATCTTGAATCAATTTACTTTACAACGGATAGCCACTATACACCAGGCTAAAGAGCAGTGGCGTAGCTATCGAGTGTGCAGGCGGTGCGACTGCACAGGGGGCATCACGGGTCAAAGGCGGGGCCCCAGCCACCAGGCTACAGAGAGAGGAAATTGAAAAGGGACCCCCCCCCCCCACCCATTTCATTCCTTGCACCGTGGTCCATGCCAACCGCATTGCGCCACTGCTGGAGGCGGTGTTAACCAACTGCATAAAACAACGCCCCAGGGGTTTCATTTATTTTGGTGCAACAAAGGATAACATTGCAGTGCCACCCACGACCAATGTGACGAGGTGGCAGTGGAGAATGTGAATGGGCAGAGAGGGGAGTAGATGGAGGAGGAGAGGGCAAGAATCAGTGACGATGCAAGGGAACCAGGCAAGTATCCCCGAGGGTGCAGCGGCAAAGCCTTGGCCGGTCTCGTAGAGAGACCCGGCGACAGATTTTTGCGTCGCGGTCGCGCGACTTCAGGTAGTGGCGAAGAGCGTCGCGGTGATGACGGAGAAGCCAACGAGAAGGCACACGGCGCGCAGCAGCCGGCAGTGCTGGCTGTTGAGCTCATGTGGCAAGATTTCCAGGAATGTGACGTACAGAAAGGTTCCTGTCGCAAGGCCCTGGGAACACACGCACAAGATACAACACGCAGTTACACACGAACAAAGATCTTCCCCTTGACATGCGCAAGTGGTTGGGCCAAGAAGCGCTGTTGCAGATTTTGAGATCATCCGGTATGCCTCACAGTTGTGATGGTGATAATAATACATTGGTGACCAGCATGATTACATAAAAAAAACATGTTTTGCTACTTTTCCAATTCCCCGCCACTCCACGTAGATCATGCGTGTTTGTTTGTTTGTTTGACCATACGTCGCCCACCCGGTCAGTGCGGGTTGCTGAAGGTGAGGAGCATAGACATAGAAATGCAGGACTAGTTCAGATATCGCGTTCGCCCGATGTTAGCCACTGCCAGGAATCCAAGTCGCTGGGTTTCATGCCACAGCATACCAACCACCACACCACCGCTCCCCCGCAATGCATGATCGTACAATCACTACTCGCACTATGACAGCCGCCAACATAATAGCTCGCGCTCGCTGATAACACTACAGAGGTAGCCAACATGCCCAAACAAGCACTGAGAGTATACACGACAGTGGCCACTGATAACGCCACGACAGGGTCGCCCGACGGCGATTGCACGTTGGCGCACTGCGACCGGCCGCGCGTGATCTCGCGCACCTGGAGCACGGCGCGGGGCATGTGGCTCTCGGCGAGCGCCGGCGAGTCGAGCAGGCCGATGCCGACGGTGACCCCGACGGGCGACATGAGCGCGAAGCCGAGCAGCGCGGCGAATGACGTCTGGCGGCCCAGGCGCGCCTGCACGAGGCGCACGCACAGGCCCGACGCCACGGCGCACTTGTGCACCACGACGGCGGCGCACAGCCCCACCAGGCCGGCCAGGGACGCCCCCGGAGAGCCGGGCTGCTGCAGCCCCACGGCCAGCCCCTCGAGCACCGAGTGCAGAGCCAGCGAGACGAGCAGGCCCCATGCGCGCACCGCCGAGTGGGAGCTGCGGTCCACGTGGAGGTGGGCGCCCGCCTCCGCGTCCTCGGCGGGCGCGCCGGGGCCCCCCGAGGCCCAGCGGCCCGGTTCCGGATCGGCGGCGGCGGAGGACTTCGACGCGGCGGGCGGGCGCAGAACGACGGCCTTGACGTGCGGAGGTTCTGAGGCGGGCGACGAGCCCGCGGGGGAGAGGAGCGCCCGTGTCTCCGAGCTGCGGCTCCCTGATGATGCTGCCACTGGCAATGTCATCGCGCGGCCGTGCATGGAAAGCACGGCTTGCTCCAGCAGCATTACCGCAAAGAAGCCGACGGATAGGATAAACTCGGCCAGCGGGAAAGCAGTCTGCGGAATCAAATGGCGGTGTTAAAAGCACGCACCGCGATTCAGAACGGGGGGCGCACCCTTCACTTGGCGCAGTAGAAATGACTTCCAATGTTACTTACCGATGGTAATGATAATGATCAGAATCGCAATCGAACGGGAAATCAGGATGATTGCGAAGTGAAGGGTTTCTTATTGGTTGTCTCGCTCGCCTATCCGTGGTCATGATCAGCTATGATCTATCCACGGCTGCAAGAAAGTCTGCCGAAGCTGCCGCAATCTCTCATGTTACTGCGATGTAACAATTCATCAAGTTCCTGCGCACGAGTTGATGAACTCATTCTATCTCCGGAACTGACATCTTCTTGGCCGTGTTGCCTTCTTTGGCTGCAAATCATTCATTGGCCTCGGCCACCAGCCATTAATCCCTTCGAGCGACATATGAATCATTTCGCGGGACCCCTGAGTTCCGCAAAAATCAGGTCAATAATTATTATTTTTCAGTCCGCCCACTCGTGATGCCGACAGCAACGCGCCGCCCGCCCGCCCAGACTCGCACCAACAAGCGCCAGCAGCAGGCGGCGATCAACACGATGGGCGCCACCCCACCGGCCAAACGCGAGCCCCGGGGGGCGTCTGCCGCAGTCGCAAGCGGCGACGACGACGCCCTCCGGTCAGCCGTCGATCCTCAGCTTCTTTGCCAAGGCGAGCCCTCCCCCGGCAGTGAATTTAACGTGTTTATGTAATTTTTCAAATTTTTACGAAACTTAGTGCCCCGAGTAGCTCTCGACGAGGCCAATCGATTGACCACTAGTTTTGTTTTCGGTAAGGCAAGACTCGTGTCGCTACGCGGTTTTTCCCACCCCGGGGCAGTGATGGGACCCCGGGGTCCCGCCAATTGTTTCATATCCTGTCCAAGGCCCACTGAATTTTCTTACCAGTCGATAATGTCTTTGACTTGTGCATGTTCTCTAATCCATGTGCTAATCGTCCTGTCTCTCAGTTGAATTCCAATAACTTATTCCTGCGTGCTCTTTTGCTCTCCATACTATTCAGGGGGACATAGACATCCACAAATGAGCAACGTACATCAACAAAAACCATGACCCGTAATGTACATGGCGAGCTTCATCATGACCAGGTCCTGCTAATGGTACGATCGCCAAGGACAGTGTAGATGTACCTGCATTCATGAGTGTACTGTTATTTTAAAACATTTCTTTGAACAGATGCTGCATTCAGATGCAGACGTGCCTCAGGTTTCCAATAACTCGGGTCGACTGCGCAAACAGTGTGAATGCCAAATGGGCATGAAGTGCTTCTTGTATAACCTTCCAAGGCCATGTGGCACACTTATGAACCGAATTTTTGCGAATCGCTCAAGAACCAAGCTACATTGCAGACGATTACATTTTAATATGCGAAAGTATGCTTTTCTTTGTTGACGAGAGCCTCTATTGCACAAAGAATGGCATGTAAGTCAAGTACTCTGCAACAGTAGTATCTTGAGAGCAAGAAGCTAACATTCCCATCGTAATGCATACCATGACTGCGCACGCACAAAGCCATCGCGTGAACTTGACATTTGTACTTTTTCGCAGGCATGTGACAGACGGTTCGGTTAAGAAGTCTCATGACCAGCAGTCCCGCACCACCACCCCATGGCCCCCTTAAAAAGAAAGACACAGACACGTACGCTGTTGATGCGGACTCGATGCGTGTGGGAGTGCAGTATTCGAAAGCAGCGCGGACTAATTTGTCACGCACTGTATGTCTCTACAATCTGCCCTCTGTGTTGGAGCACAAAACGTTACTTGACTCAAAGAATATTAGTTGCACTGTGCACTGCACCCCATGCCAACATTGGTCAAGTCGTGCACCGGCCACTTCTTTGGACAGAATAAATCCACTCATTTCATGACACGAATGCACTCACCCCATAGCAGGCTTACCCTAGTCATGGGTGATGGCAGTAAATGTGCGAAGCTTTTTAAATTAAACTATGAACTAAACTCTATTCATTCTACCAGGTAAGGCTCACCGAGTTACATAGCTCTTTTTCAGAAGTGACCTGGCCACAAATGATAACTTAACGAAGTGGCTTATCACGTGGACATTTATAGCAGCCAAACACTCTAAACGCACGTTTCTAAGCGTGGAAGGAAAAAACGGAAGACCCGGATAAAAATCCACACGACCACGGGAAAAAAAAGCAAACTCCAAATATATAGGCGTCAGGGTCGGGATCGAACTCGCAACCTCCTGTCTACCAGGCGAGGTAATTAACATGTCACCACCGAAGCACCCCACAATGACAATGCCTTGCTGATCTCGTCAAGGAGCATAAACCATCGTACAAACTCCGGTCATCCTCGCAGCAGGGGATTATGGCTGGCCATCGAACACTTACGGTCACCGCATCATGCGCCCTCAGGTGCACTCTTCCTTTCCGATGTCAGGAAGCCACTGGAGCTATGCACTTTTACATCTTACATTGAAAGCGCATTTCTTTAGAACTGCTTTTGGTGTTTAGTTAGTTGTCCTTACCCCGCACCTCCGATTGGCACGTTTGGCTAGGTAAAGTGCGAAATAAATTCACCATACATGCACACTTCGAAGGCAAGCGATTGGTGAAACTCCTGCAGCTGCCGTGGCTACTCGGTGGCCAGGAGATGGCGGAAGAGAGCATGGATTGTGGATTCAAACGAGGCGGAACTTCTACTGGTAGGAACCAGCACACGGGATTATTGTGTCCGTCCGTCATGCATCCAAAAATGGGAGGGGTGGGGCTGGGTGGAGAGGGGAGGGTGGGGAGGGGCTGGGTGGGGAGGGCTGGGCTGGGTGGGGAGGGGCTGGGTGGGGAGGGGCTGGGTGGGGAGGGTGGGGCTGGGTGGGGGGTGGGAGGGGTGGGGCTGGGTGGGGAGGGGCTGGTCACCCCGTGGTGCCCTTATAAAACTCAACGTTTAACCTACTCACGCCGGCTTATGCCCGCCCTCACAGTCGGGCATATTTGCAGAATACACCACGTGGTGCCGCCGTTGACCCTGGCCATTGACCGAGCAACCCAACGTTCCTACCAGCTCCCTCCGCAGGAATGTGTTTCTTTTCTAACCCGGGTTTCCTCTGTCCACGCACACCGGCCCAATGCAGGACGCTCCCTGAAATAGTCTGAACCATCAGTAAGACTTTTCTGCAATCTATGTTGTGTATGTATGTTGAACTTCTTTCACACCCGACATAGCCAACCGTGCCAATCCGAGATGTGAACATTTTTGATTTGTATTATTAAAATAGCACATCGTGAATCATTCATTAACCTTGATTCCTACAATGATGACGTTGATGGTGAGAGCGATACATGGAATCAAACGTGTGAAAATCTATTACTTATCATTTCTGGAATTCACCTGCAAATGACATCCGAATGATACGAAATACTCAAAACCATACAGGTGAAACAGTAACAACGATAAACAATACAAATGAGACTGTAAAAAAAAACCGAGACACACAAAAAATGAATCAAGCTAAATCAAACCGAGATCATGAACCTTGACAATTCCCCGAGTCGATGGGGACGCCAGAGTGAATCGTTAATGTGTTCAAAATGTGCGCGCTTGCGCTCATGCGCGCGTGCGTGTTTGTACACGCACCGTGGCGCGCAGGTCAGAGAGGGCTTCCTGCATGCTCGCCAGGTAGTCGGGCAGCAGGTCCAGCAGGCACGTGGCGAGGAAGACGCCGGCCGTAGTGCTGCTCAGCAGCTGGAAGAGGCGGCTTCGAAGGCCTGCCAGGGAAATCGTCGCCATTTGTGTCACTACTGAATGATCTAACATGGAATGGAATGTTCAACTGTAGAAAAAGCATTCATATACCAATGTGATTGAACACGGGTTTGTTATTTTGTCTCAAGCAAATCTATAACATGGGGGTTTTTTTTGGGTTAGATCACGTAAATATGTCATTAAACCTACCAGCACCTGGACACAGCCAATTAAGTAAGGTCTGTCACGTAAAACAAAACATGCCAATTTCTTACTAGTTCAGTACACGGGTTTGTGTTGGAGAGTAAACTCGCAACGTTTCCAGTCCGAGCGTTAACGTTTCGCCGATGATTACAATCAGCCCTCGTCAGGCAATGAGCCAGGATTGTCAAAGAATTCCACTGCACGAAAAAGGACCGCAATCGAAGAGGTAATGGTGCAGTGGGGTAGCAGTTGGGTGTGCAAGGGGGGTGGCATCTGAAAATGGGGACCAGCCATGGCCGTACGAGGTCAGCCACCAGGCTACAAAAAGAGGGGGGCAAATTGGAAAGAGGCCTCTGTATCATTCCCTGCACCAGGGCCAATGCCAACCACGTTAACCCCACGAGGAACAGAGTATGAAGACGGAAATCGTTATGAAAGCAAACCTACAAGCGTGGAGGTGGCTAGGTTGGCCATGAGCTGGTGGTACCAGCGAGGGCTCATGTTTGATTCTGGGTGTCGTCCACCCGTGATTAACCCAGGATCATAAACGTAGGGAGTTGATGGCCTCAGTCTGGTCATCAATGACTGCTTACAAAAAAAATCATCTTCATTTTGGTTTTGGTCTTAATTTGGCTCATTCCAGATGCAGAATGAAAAACGTCAATTTTGTTATCAGAGAGCAATGGGGGGAAAAAAATAAACGGTTTTATTGTTGCTCTATGCTTCCACATCTATGCTTCCCACCTTCACAAACCACATTAGCCAGCGTTGTGAAGTCCTTATCCAACAGTGAATTGATAAAAAGGCTTGACATGTACATATGCAATGTTGATTTTGAGGGCCTAATGAAGTGTCAATATGTCGTTCCCTCATGTGATCTTCCCAGAACCTTTCCAAAACACAAGATGGTGCCCTGTGAGCGGTGAGAATCCCACATGGAAACGTCTCATGACGCGAGATTGTAATTGGGGAGAATAGAGAAAAAAATACATCCAAAAATTCATCACAAGCAGCATGAGCGAAATCACAATTGGGAAATAATGTTGGGGGGAACTTTTGAAACAACGTAAATGTCACGTATTCCCAGAAGCGTTTTGTTGCAATTTCAGCTAACGCCACATTTCACGTGAATAGCGAGACGGCGAGTCATTGCGTGTCAAAACTGCCTTGGCGCATCCGAAACAAAAGCAATAGTTAAAAAGAGGAAGGTCCAGTCACATTGGACACCGACACAAGAGACCGCCATCCCACGGGCGGCGGAGCTATTCGCGGATATATAAGAGCAATGTGAACATTATCTGTTGTATGTATGTTTATAGGAAATGAGATTGTAATATTACTCTCCGTCTCGTGTGTAAATGACTCGCACTGAAAACATTGGAGAGATATTAACAGCACGAGGAACTAAAGAACAGTATCTAGCTTCCAGGAACCGTTGCTGTAACATAAGGGGGCGAGTAACCTCTTCTTTACTGTTGGCCGCATTAGACTCTAAAACACCATTGGGCGGGCCACACATTAGTTAACACTAATCTTATATAATGCCGGGACTGTTTGCATTGAATGTGTGTTCAAAACTATGCGAAAGACAACGGGCTGGAGAGCGTAATAAAATTAGACAGTGTTGCCCCGGTCGAAAACATTACACTCAAGTACTCGATAAGTGCAGCTACAATGTTTGCAGTGGCGGTGTAGATACTGCCGTCAGGCTGTTTTTAAGTGGTTGGCCTCACGTGGCCGACGGCCAGATGAAATGAAGTTGTGGGCCATGGATTCCACGTTGCTGGAGTATCGGATGGAGACCAGATATTGGAGTTGCACAATTGGACTTTTGACACCAAAGGGCAGTTATGATGACCAGGTTGTAATTGAAGCTAAAATAACATTTGAAAAAAACCCCATAAATTCTCAATCATTCTTCAAAGGTCTACATTTGATTTTCATACTGTATCCTCGGTCTATTTGATAGTCCGAATGTTATAGGTGCACAGCACGTATAATGATGTACTATTTAAGACAGCTCATCATTGTGAATGAGGGTTCCTTATTCCTGTGTAAACCTGCACCGTCCTGCACAGCACACCTCCAGCCAATCTCAGTCCCAATACGGCATATGCATGGCAATTAAAACCCATGTCCCTGGATTGTACAGTTACCATAACAATGACAGGCAGCTTTACTCTCATGGAATCGCTGATAGCAGTCGCTAAAACAAATCTCAGTCATTACCGCCTAAAAATGCCGCCTAACTTTCATTAAGGTGGGCGTCTCATCCACATGATCTTAGCACTAGGCACGAATCCTGCCTCCTGGTTTGCAAGTGTGCGCAACTGCGCCCAGCTTCTTATTCACGTAAAGCTACGATCGATCCACTGCTGTACGAAGGTCTCGCCAAACTATCGCCATGTCTCACGTTTGCCGAGATGCCGCAATCCATCTGGATCCTGAGCACGAGCCGTTTCCAGTGCCCCATATCCCTGCGGTAGATATCCTCCCGGGTACATTCCCTGCTTTGGCTGCCACTTCAGTGGTTGTCACGACCATCCTCCTTCTGTTTAACACGTAGGCTTTCGCGACCAATATTATTCATAATAAAGGTTTTTTGGTTAGATCCTTCTAGCAACTCGTCCTGCCAAAGCCCACTAACTTTCTCAACAGTCAGTGCGATGCAATTCAACTTGCGTACGTTCCCTGATCCATGCGTTTCTCTCCCTGGTCTCTCGGTGTTAATTACAAGCGTACGCCTTTCCCCGATTCGTTGAACACCCCTTTTCAGCTGTTGCTCCATTTTCTTTGCCAATGTCCATGTTTATGAGCCATATGTTACAGCAGGTAATACGGAATGATAGTCACACGTTGGTACGAATTGTTTATTCCGGAGTGATGGTGGGAACAGCTATCACAAATACTATATGGACATTTCAAATGTCCCGTACTAATGATGTGTTCCCTGTTTTTGAATTGATAATCTTAAATAATCTTAAAACCAGGCCTTGATACGAATTTCAGATGATCCAGTTTTTTTTTAACAATCCGAAAGTATGTTGTCACAAGAAGCAGCGTCACATCACACAACGTGCGTGCTATTCCCGACAAAAATGGTGTCACGTAGCATTGGGTGACTCCAATTTTGTTTGCACGATGAAAATGTTGAATTACAATGTGAACTATCTGAAAATAAAATATCTATCTGAAATCGACTTTAAAAGCCTTAAATCCCAAATTATCAGTTTATACGCTATTCCTACACGTACCCGCTAAGCACTGGACACAGTAAACCCATGTGCCGCGCAGCTGCAAGGGTTCGCTGACCTCAGCACGTGCCTCCCAACATGCGCGCAGATTAAACCCGAATCCTCAGCGTCTCCCAGTCACCATGACGACGACTCCAAGCGACCTCCCTCGTGGGTCAAGCTCGCAAAAACGCGTGGCGTTGACTCGCGCCTTACTATATCATCGTGCCATCAAAAATAAGCGGGCCCGCTTTTGTGTCTCCTTACACAATGAATCTCATCTTTGTAAGGGCCACGCGAGGATGCCTTAAATTAATAAACGAAAAGGGGTAGAATGGAGTTTCAATTGGGGAAAAAGGCAAGAAAATGGGACGAGGTGAAAGACGGTTAGGGGAGGTTAGCAAAGATGAGGATTGGATTGATGAAGAGAAGCAGACAGAAAACCTTCTGGAAGGTTCGAAAAGAAACGGGGTTGGGGGGGGCGATAAAAATTGTGGTGTGGCAAGACCACGGGGTCTTTGGCAGCGAAGCTTCCTACGAGTGTTTGTGTTGCGGCTAGTTATTATTTAATGTCAGGAGCTGTAGTGTCGTAGTTCGTAGTGCGCTGCGCTACGAACCTGGCGACCAGAGTTCGATTCCCACTCACGACCAACACCAGTGACGAATATCTGAACCGGTCCTGGGCTTCCTCTAGGTCGACTCAGCCTCAAATGAGTACCTGTTGCGGTGTGTAAATATCACCACTGGGGAGACAAAGGCGGATGGGCATGGTGCTGGCCACTCACCCCCCCCCCCCTCCGTGCCAAACAGCACGCGGTTTAACCTAAAATCACATCATTGCAGAGCCGTAAAGCAAAAAGGTGAAAAATACAGTAAACAGCAGTGGTGTGCTTACTTTGTTTACCCCGGAATAGCTCAACAGAGTCTTGTGACCTCTCCTGCGGCTCATGCTTTTAGGAAGGTTTGGCCAACTCCGTAAAACAAAAAATGTTGCCTTTGGAAGTAAACTGGAGTGGCCAGAGAAACGTGCACATTAGAGAAAAATGACACCCGTCTGCTTCTGCACACAGTGCCTGTGAGAAACCCTCATGCTGCGCCGCTACCTCCTCAAGGCATCTTGTCACACTGCATTCAGGCATTTCACACACACACACACTTGTGTGGGCCACCAACCCCAATTAATTAAGATTACAGGTGTGTACAGTACCACCATGTGCGGCAAAGCACAAACGCGTCAATTATTTGGTGACTGCGTTGGCAGTGGTGCACGATCTTCTTTGAAGAAGGACCATTGCCTGAAACGTCGCCCAGTATACACTTCCTCTGAAAGCCACAGTCTTTTTGACGAATGTGTTGAGTTTCGTGTCGCAAATGCGTAAAGCACTGCGCGATGAACCCAGCAACTCGAGTTTAATTTAATTCCTCGCCATGGCTGATATGGTGCTGAGCACTCACCCCCCCCCATAGCTCTGTCTGTCCCAGCCTCCCACTTCGTATGTAGCCAACCGTACTCATCTGTCCCAGCCTTCCACTTCAACCCAAGGCCGAACAGCGTGGTGAAGTATGGTCAAGAAATCCCCATTATTACCTATTTTCATTTTACCAGGTAAGGCCCAATAAATCACTCCCCTGTGAAATAGAAAGAAGAAACCTGGCAGCCATGACACAGCAACAGGTGTGCCACGGGTCAAGCGAGTGGGAACATCCTGGATGGGCAGAGGGAGTACAGGTGGATTCTCAAACAAGGGAGAAAAAGCATGCATGTGAATAGCTTTTGTGAACCACTTTCCAAAATGCGTACTGCATTAAATTCGTAACAATTTCACCCAGGGTGAAAAGGCTTATTCGAGAAATGCTGGATTTGTTTTGGCACCAGATTTTTGGCAACCATTTCATCAATTTGTCCAGTTAACTATTGAAAAAGTCCGGAAGAGTCCCACGACTATAAACTAACATTCCCTGGTGTACTGTATTTATATTTGATCATCTTGACAAGGGTTAGCATGGTCCCCCCCTTCTACAGACAGACGGAGACAGACACACAAATGGACCGAGCGAATGCATTCATCTTAGACGGAAAGTGTTCAAAGAGTAAACGAAAAAGATAAATGGCCAGCCGTGAGTGACACAGCACTCGGGGCCAGGGCGGGCAGAAGGGGCCTCGCAACTTTAATGGGGGCCTGCCTAGATAGACCAGCAGAAGAGACCAGGGGAGGGACGATTGAGAAAACAATGTCTTGTTTGCAAGGGAGACCTGGAACACACAAAAAAATATAGCACAGAAATTAAACCCACGACCAAAAAGAACAACAAATGTCAAGTGAAATGCGGTAAATTCATAAATAAGATACATTTTTAATTCCGATATAACTCGATAAAACACTTGTGATCATATTGTCCGAGTAAAGAATCCAATGGGTGTGCACAGCCCTCTTAAGTTAACGCACGACGGCCACCCCACACGAAGCAGATTGTTGGGGTTGTTTGACCATGCTTCACCACGCTGATCAGTGCAGGTTGGTTGGTGATGCCAGAGATCACAGACGCGGGAACACGCAAGTGCAGTACAACGATGGATAATCTCTTACACTCCCCTGCAATGAGCACACCAGATAACAAAAGACCCGCAGCAGCCGCCGATGATAATTTGGCGTGCCTCGTGGTCACCCATCAATAAGGACTATCCATTTAAAGCTTTCGTGACTGCAATGATTCATCTTCTTTGGTTCTTTCGGTAAAGTCACGTAGAATGAGAATAAAATAATAAATTGATAAAATAAAATAACACAAGACCTAAACGAGAACGAGACCTAAACGAGATCGGGCACAACATCCCTGTTGATGTGGTAATATAGCCTTTCGTGGAAACTCCTCCACGGTGGCCAGATGTTAACTACCTCACCAGGTATAGAGAAGGGCTTGAGTTCGATCCCGACCCTGGCGCCTGGTGTATATTTGGAGTTTTTCTCCGGGTCTTCAGATTTTCCCCCTCCCCATTTAGAAACATGCGTTTTAGAGTATTTGGCTGCTATACATTTCCACGTGATAAGCCACTTTGTTGAGCTATCATTTGTGGCCAGGGCGCTTCTGAAAGCGCCATATAGCTCAGTGCGCCTTACATAATAAAATAAAACAGTTTATAGTTTAGTTTTCATAAAATAGCTAACACAGCACCGTATTGACACATGTGGCCCAAACGGCATGGGCACATTGCAACAAGTTGGAATCTACTGCCTTACTTGGGACACTTAAGTTCGCCCGACTTCTAACACATGTGGAACACAAATGAACAAGACTGCATGATGATGATGTTAACAAACTTCAGAGATTGCAACAAAGAGCAATGTTTTGCGGCCACGGCCGTATAGCAATTGTACGGAAATGGGAGGATGGAAAGTTTTTGTTGGTTAGAGACAAAAACTTAAAACCCGTGGTCAATCCACTGCTGGATGAGGACGTTCGCAGGCCGTCGTAATGTCTCACGGGTCGTGACAATGACTTTGCCACAAGCCGAGCAAAAAAATGCGTGCGATCACTCCTTTGTGGATGTTACTCCAAAAATCCTTGAATCTTGGACCACAGGAGACGTGTCCTGCCCAAGTCCACTTCAGAAATTACTGGGAAGCCACCGGGAGCTATCCACTTAAAAAAAATCATCCCAGATCGGAAAACTCATTTCTTTAGCGCCGATTCTTTTTTGTGTTTAGTTTGTTGTCCAGTCCCCCTCCCACCCCCCCTCCACACCGATTAGCACGGTTGGCTACGTAAGTTTCGAAGGAAGAAATTGAGTATACGAGCAAGTACACATGCGGTACAAAAATGTTGAGACGGACAGTTAAATAAAACCACTGGGTGGGATGTGAGAGTTAAATTGTTTTACCGTTCTCCGGTTGTCCTCCCGACGAGCTGGAAGAACACCTGACGAACTTGAGCGGTACCAGGCCAAATAGCAGCGTCAAGAAGAACAGGAGCGCCAAGAAGATGATCTTAATCTCCAAGTAATACTCCATCTCCAAGATCAAGACGACCCCGTCGAAGTTTAGTGAGCAGGTCGGCGCTACAACTTTAAACCGCGCGAGATGTCGCACGGCCTCGAACTCGCAGATTGCGGCTGGCAAATTAATGACCGTGGGCTCCTCCTTCCTTCCTTATACAATGTACGATTGTTAACAACAGTAAACTATTAACAAACTATACACTGTGGCCCCAATTAATTAAAATCTGATCATCAGAATGCCATTATAATTGTAGAAACAGTACATATTTGGGAACGTTCACTGCAGTCGTTTGCTACAAATTGAATTCCAAGACTCATAAATAAACGAGTGGCTGTGAGAATATTATTTAAAAATGCGTACCGGATACAATACATGCCAGAGAGTCTACCGTTACAATTATCGCAACATTATGGATTATAACGGCAGGTACAAATTTGACCGGTTTTAGCTGTTAAAGTGTCGAGTCGGCGTTAATGTAATATAATTTACCAATCAATTACCTAACTAGGATTATTATACGTAAGCACTAATTTGCATTGTGCATGCACGTGTTAAACGTGTATCGTAATGCAGCTAGCACGTGCGTATTCCGTACTCTACGTGCATGCCATGTACTGCTTAATGCGTTTGCCTGGCATGCGTGTACACTTTGTGTAAACTGTGTATTCTGCAGTGTGTGCAGTGGACATACACTTTGTGTTACTATGTATATGCCGTTGTACTCCCGTGTAAACTATCGCATTAAGCCGCGTGCATATATCCGTGCAACATGCATACAGCACCGTTAAACACACTGCACGTGTAAAGCTGCGTGTTACACACAGAAGAGCACTCTGCGTGTGTTGCTATACGGCACCTATCAACACGCTTGCGGCGCGTGTGTATATATATCTCAATGTTTAGAGACTTAACTACGCCGACGACGCCCACTTTAAAATGTTAACGTGCAGTGGCGGTGGCTGCCCCCCACCCCGCCCTTTAAAAAGCCAGGAGGAGGTGGGGGGGCGCGCGCCACGTGCCGCTCAAATCCGGACCCCGCCAAATAAACACCGCGCGGCTCCCCCGCGCATGCGCGAGAGCCGCTCGCGACTGAAGAGTCAGAAGCTTAACGCGGTCCCCGGGTTACGGAAAAGGGGCGGGGGGTGAGGTTTCCGAGAACGGTCCGTAAACCGGATTTTTTGCGTAAGTCGTGAACTGAACCATTCCCCTCCCCCCCCGAAATCAAAGATGCATTCCATTTACCTTAATCCTAGTGACGCTCAAGCGATGCGTGAGGCGGCTGCCCCCCACACCCTCCCCCACTTACGCCTCCTCGCTCCACGGTATTCACCCGAAACCTCACCGCGCTGCACTACTTGCGCTTACGTAGCTAACGCAAACATTTCCGCGTGTTTAATTTTTTACATGAGCACTTCCGTAAGGTCTTATGTCCGTTAGTCGGATCTTCCGCAACCCGGGGACTCTTTACGAACAATTCTACTTACGAACTTTCATAGATGTGAACAAAACTGGTTTCCCGTATGTCCGGTTGCCTGTTGGGGCCGAGAGTCGTAAGTTCAACTGCACGCGCAATAGATGGCGGTGGTGGCACCTACATCAGCAGAACATGAAGAACCAGTGGCGTCCACATCTACATGAGATTATACAATTTTGAACGCCTTTCCCCGTATTCTTATTCGACAGGAGTAAAGTTGGACTTTCGAAGAGACCTCTGGAACGGAACTCGTTCGTAAGCCACTCGAGATTTGAAGTTTTCGTGACTGCAAAGGATCCATACTCTTTGGTTCTTTCGGTAAAGTCACGTAGTAGGTATAAAATAAATTAAATCACGACGTTTCGGCGCGCAACACAAGCGTCCGTCATCAGGTGGGGCAACCACAGCAGGAAGCAACAATTGCCCACTTCAGCAATTGTTTCTTGCGATGGTTTGTGCCCACCTGATGACGGACGCTTGTGTTGCGCCCGAAACGTCGTGATTTAATTTATTGTATACTATATTCTTAGCTCTTTCGGTAAAGTCACGTTGAAGGGAAACAATAAAATATATATAAAACAATATATTTCATTATTTTATTGTTTATATAAAAAATATATAAAACAATATTTTTTTATTATTTTATTGTTTCCCTTCAACGTGACTTTACCGAAAGAGCTAAGAATATGAATTACTGCAGTTACGAAAGCTTTAAATCAAAATTTATTGTATACCTTCAAGTTTCATTTATTAGGTATAACCCTGTGAGCCCATGCGGCTCTTAAGTCGGGCGCAATCAACGAGTCACGAAAACTTCAAATAAAAAATGATTGTGAACAAACAACACGTGCTCGGCCACCCCTCCCCCACGTGACAAGAGAGACACCGGTGCGCATGCGCGCCAGGGCGAAGCGACGTGAATTTGTCGCGGCGCGTTGACCGCATTTGGCGGGTGACGTCATTTCTGCCAGGCTGGAAGCGGGTCACGTGCCCCTCCCCCTCCACCCCTCGCCCCACCCCACCCCCTATACTCGCCCCTCCCCCCCGCACATCCTCTCCACTCATCACGACGAGGACGATGAAGACGGGACGTTGTTGACGGCTTTGTTGTTGTTTGGTGCGTTGTTGTTGTTGTGTTGTTGTGTGTGGAGGAGAGGCCGCCGCTCTTCACGGGCGGGGCCCTGTCGTCACAACAACAGCAGCAGCAGCATACCGAGCGAGTGGTGGGTTTTGTCTTTTATTCTCCTCCTCCTCCATCTCCTCCACCTCATCCGATGTCACCAAAGTGTATCAGGATCGTCATTACGCGTGGCGCCACCGAGGTTGAAGTCGACGGCATTCCTCGTGCCGTGTAGATCGTCGTCAGTGCGGTGTTGTTGGTGGTGGTTGGTGGGTGGGTTTGTGGTACATAGCGAAGGGAAAACGTTTCGTGTTTGCGTGTAGATCGGACTAGGCCTCAACATCGGTGGCCCGTGGTTGCGTTCGCGTCGCAATCAATCGACACACTGGGGAGACGAAGGCGGCCGGGCGTGTTGCTCTGCAGCCCACCCCGTCTCGGTGTGGTGTCGTGAGCGGCCTTCACAGCTGCTGCTCGTTCGCGGCACTTGCCCCCCTTACCAGTCTGTTGAAGGCTTTGTTTACGTGTCTACATGTGCGTACTGTGTTATGTTTGTGCATCTGCCGGTCATCTCAGTCAGCCGGCCCGTGGCACTTGAGCCCTCCTGTCAGCAGCGAGCCTTCGGACACTTCACGTGATCGCCTCAAGATGCACCTAGCCTGGCACAGGCGCCGTGGTGACATCGCCGTCACTTAGTGGCGAGTGGCGCGGTTGTTGGTGCGTTAAACGAGTAGCTGGTGCGATGTGTGTACTGTACTGTCGTAAACGTCAGCACTCGGAGAGACAAAGGCGGCCGGGCGAGGTGGGTATCGGCACCGCTCCGTTATAAGGCGGTGTCGTTGTTGGCCTTGCCCCGATAGTCTGGCAAGCCTTTACTAGGGATCTTTGTCAAATTTTTTGTGTACGTGTGTACAATATACATTTAAAGCACTGTACATGTTTACATGGGTGTGTTTGCATGGCGAATGTGTGTATGTTTACAGTACGTGTGTGTGTCTACGTGGTGTGTACTATTGTATGTTTACAGCTGTGTGTGTGTGTTTTAGAGTATGGTGTGAATGGGTGTCAGTGTGTACGTGCCCGCATGCGTGTACACCACGTGCAACGTATGCGTACGATACTGTATATTTGTAGTGTATATCTCCTTTTGTGTATACATGTATGCACCGTAGATGTATGTGTATTGTTCGTTTGTATTGTTAACAAACATTTTTGCCAGCTGGATTAATTTCAGCAGGCACCGATTTTGACTTAACTGGGTCTCATCAGCCGTTTATTGCCCGATAAACGAAATATCACTCGTTCTTGCCTTGGTGTTCTATGCAATCGTGTTGTCTGTGTGTGCATGCATTCATGTAATGTGGATGGAATGCGCCATTGCGGATGCAATATGTACCTTGTGTTGAATTCTGTTCATTTGTGCCAGCCGCAATATGTAAGTAGTATACATGCACGCGAGGTTGTTTCTTTGGCAAACGTACAATGCATCAATGTCGGTACTGTATATCTCTGTAGCCATGAGCTGTGGTTTCAGTGATGCATAATGGCCAGCGGAGGTGTGGAAGAGTGGGACAATTTGACTTCCTGTTTTGTAAGAGCGGACGTGTCGTGTCGCGTTGCCCTGCGCGACCCCAACCACACCCAACACAGCCTGCACTATGAACCCAATCACCTGAGTTCGATTCATGGCCACGGCTAACGTCAGTGGCGAGTGATATCTGCACCCCCATACCCCCATCCCTTTTAACAACCAGCACCAACCCAGCGTGGTGAAGTATGGTCAAACAACCCTTCATGACCGACATGGCATGGGGAGGCCTTCATCCAGCCGTGGATTGGCAAAGGGCTGTGCGTATCATCTGACGTGTACGGTGCATCACACACGTTCTTGTGAACATTGATAATAACATTGGCATGTAGCCTTTCTGCGTGGACTATAACGTGCCATTGTTAAGCGTCACGACCCTCGTGGCACGCCGCCTATTGTGCAATCGCTGGACTTTAAACCAAACTCTCCTTCAACTCGCGATGTTCTGCGTTTGAATGACCCATATTATAACATGAATGCATTAAATTATTGTTTGATAATACAGTATCATCATGGCACAGCAGACTCTGAGCATTTTATTTTTAAATGCTGTGAATAATTTATGGTGCTTTGCCGCCCCCCTCCCCCCCTAACGCTATATCAATCACGGAGGTGGGAGGGGGATTGCTTGACCCCTACTTCCAAGTAACTGCGCTGGACATTGCGGGTTGGTCATGGAGATGGGCCTGGTGGTTGTTTCCCCGCCACACTTAGAAGCGTTCGTTTATAATAATAGGGTTTTTCCCCTTTTTTCTGGCAACAAAACTGAAACCTTTTTACAAGGATTCATGTCTGCATTAACCACAATACCTGCACTCAAAATGCAAACAAAAAACATACTATGATAGTACGCCTTTTGGCGTCATCTGGTCGAGCGCCAATTGGGTCGAGGCTTAAAAGAAAGCTGTCCCTTGGTGTGGACCAATCAGTTTCAAGGACAATGCATATATTATCATAGTATGTTTTTTGTTTGCATTTTGACTGCAGGTATTGTGGTTAATGCAGACATGAATCCTTGTAAAAAGGTTTCAGTTTTGTTGCCAGAAAAAAGGGGAAAAATCCTATTACATTTTGGTACTGGCAAAGGACGTCTAATGATGTAGATGCTCACCCCGAGCCCTCATTACTTTGATAGTGCATTGTCTTTGAGCTGTACGCCTTTTGGCGTCATCTGGTCGAGCACCAATTGGGCCGAGGCTCAAAAGAAAGCTGGCCCTTGGTGTGGACCAATCAGTTTCAAGGACAATGCATATATTATCATAGCATGTTTTTTGTTTGCATTTTGACTGCAGGTATTGTGGTTAAGGCAGACATGAATCCTTGTAAAAAGGTTTCAGTTTTGTTGCCAGAAAAAAGGGGAAAAACCCTATTATTACATTTTGGTACTGGCAAAGGAGGTCTAATGATGTAGGTGCTCGCCCCGCGCCCTCATTACTTTGATAGTGCATTGTCTTTGAGCTTTACGCCTTTTGGCGTCATCTGGTCGAGCACCAATTGGGTCGAGGCTCAAAAGAAAGCTGTCCCTTGGTGTGAACCAATCAGTTTCAAGGACAATGCATATATTATCATAGTATGTTTTTTGTTTGCATTTTGACTGCAGGTATTGTGGTTAATGCAGACATGAATCCTTGTAAAAAGGTTTCAGTATTGTTGCCAGAAAAAAGGGGAAAAACCCTATTATTACATTTTGGTACTGGCAAAGGAGGTCTAATGAAGCGTTCGTTTGTTTATATTTTGCTGCTCTAAATTTCCACGGGATGATCAAGCCGCCACATCGTTGAGCTGTCTATTTGTGGCCAGGTAGCTTCTGAAAAATAAGCAAATAGCTCGGCGGGCTCTTTTCCTGGTAAGGTAAAAATAATAGTTGAGTTTTATTTGTATATTTTTTTAAGTGATTTGTTTACCTTTCCTATGTTTCTCACTCCTATCGTGTTTTTGTATTGTTCTTGTAACGTTCTGACCCGTCCTTACTGGACATCTGTGACAAAGAGCTTTTTAGCTCATCGGATTCCTCCAGTATAAATAAATATTCTGACTCGCCACTGATGTTAGCCGTGGCCTTGAATTAAACTCTGGTCGCTGGGTTCTAACCACTGCACCACTGCTCCACCAATTTCTGCAGTTTTTTGGTTCACTGCAATAAAAATCTCAATGACATTAACTCATAATTTTTTTTGGTTGAAATAGTTTAGTTTCGGCATTTACGTTTAGTTTTGGTAGTTACTCATACTGTGCAGCATTGTGATAGCTATCTTACATTTGAGCAGGATTGCGCAATGTTGGAAATCCCCAGCTGGAAAGGATATTCTAGGTGGAGTGATTTGCAAACTCCACTGGGTTTGGCTGGGAAAGTCCATGGGAAATGGAAAAAAATAATCCCTTTACAGTGACCACAAAACTTGTTTCACATTGCAGGTGCCGTGGGACAGAATGTCGATGGAAATTCTTGACTTTGGCTCGGATTCTTCCGAGTACCGGATGGACTTTACCGACTCGGAGGCCGTGGAGCCTTGCCGTACCATGGACAGCCTGGACCTTCTCGGAGAGGGGGTGGGGGTGGATATGTTTGCGGCGGTCGAGTCGCTTCTGCGCGATGACGGTTTCCTGGGAGGATGGGATGCGCAGCAGAACGGCGGTACCACTGTAAGTATCGCGTCAGCTTGCCACAGCGAGTCGGGAAGCAGCCCGATACCCAAGGGGTACATTGTGTTTGTGTTTCTCAATTTATTATCTGCACTTCTTACATTTTTCTTTTTTAATCACAATCATTTTACAAGAAAGGGCGGTCACCTGCACACGAAACACTGATTTGACTAACCATCTCGTTTAGTTTATTGTGCAAATTTTTCTGACAGCATTTGGTCTGCCCTTGCATGTTTGTTGTCGTAACTTTCTGATCCAGCTTCAGAGCTCATGGGATTCCTCCAGGATAAATAAAGATTCTGATTGTGCATGTGAACTTGTGATCTTCAGGACATCCTTGGAGAGCAAGACCTTGAGCTGGAGAGCTTCTTCGATTCGCTCTTTGCTTGTGACGACCAGGGGTCGTCGCCACCCCTGTCGGTGTCGTCCGGCACGTCTCCCGAGTCATCCCCGGAGCCATGCGTGGCACCGCTAAGCAGCGTCAACAGTGTGTTGGTGGACCACTGTTACCACAGCAATGGCAACGAGCAAGGAGTCCGCTCACCCAGTCAGAGTAGCTCAGCCGACCAATCGGATAGCTCAGAGGAGCTGGAAGGTGTGGTCACGGAAATTCCAAACCACGATTATCAAGCGACGACTGTCGACATATCGGGTACGGAAATAACTTTGGTGCTGTATTTTGAAATTCTGTCGTGTCATTGTTGGATATGTAACTGTGCGATAGTTGAACACGGTTGTAAAAATATGCTGTTTTGCCATGCAGACATTGATGACATTTGTGCAGAAGTTACATCTCAAGTGGACCTTCCCACGACGCCGTCCTTTGCCTCAACTCTGTGCGCCTTAGTGTATCCCTTCAGACCCCGAACCACCTCCCAGCAAGTGGAGAATGCGATGGTAAGTGTTTTTTTACTAAAACTATTTTTATTTTACCATGCAAAGCTGACTGAGCTATATAGCTTTTTTCAGAAGTGACCTGGCCACAAATGATAGCTCAACGAAGGGGATAATCACGTGGAAAATTATAGCAGCCATATACTTTACATGCACGTTGATTCTAAATGTAGAGGGAAAAACTGGGGAACCCGGAGAAAAATCCAATCGACCAAGGGGAGAACATGCAAGCTCCAAATATACAGGCATGAGGGTTGGGATCAAACCCATGAACCTCCTGCGTACCAGGCAAGGGAGTTACACTCAGGCAAGAAATTAATGTTGTTAGATAATGTTGATGAGTATTATATTGTTAAATAATGATACCACGTAACAATAATACCAAATTCTGCTTACCTTCACTGACTTGACTGGTTGGCTGCTCTTTTTAAGATGTGGCCTAAGCTGGTGCTGTCTGAGGAAGAGAAGAAGTTGCTTTTGGAGGAAGGTGCTGACCTGCCCACGGATCTCCCTCTTACCAAGGTGCGTTGTCCAAACGGTGCTTTTGAGTTTATACTTTTTTTTCCAGCTCTTAACAGCAACACCCATCTGCACGTACGGGTTCAGTTGTCTCCTTGTGTTACTCAGATTGGCTGTATAAGGTGTTCCCAAGCCAGCAGCTGTAGTGGCGCTCATCGCCGTATTTGTTGCACTGTGTCTCCAAGGCGGAAGAGCGCGTGCTGAGGAAGGTGCGCAGGAAGATTCGCAACAAAATCTCGGCGCAGGAGAGCCGGCGCAAGAAAAAAGACTACATGGATGGCCTGGAGAGCAGGTGAGGCTTACCGTTATTTTATCCTATTTCTTTCTCTTCCGCCAGTCAGATGGTGAGGCGAGACAAACATATGCCACTGCCTCCTTTCTCCGTTGATGGCAATCTCTTTCTGTAGGCCCACGTTGTCCCTTTGATGTCATGGATGCCGTCAATCCACCTCTTGCATGGACGCCCATTAGCAAAATTATATACGTGCATAAATACGCCCTTTGTCGATCCACTGCTGGATGAAGCATTCCCCACGTGTCGGTCTGACGGGCATTGTTTGACCATACTCGATGCTATCCCAACATCTGCATCGTGCAGGGAATAATGAGCACGTCTTTACCCACAGGGTGGCGACATGCACGGCTCAGAATGTGCAGCTGCAGAGGCGAGTCGATCAGCTGCAGAAACAGAACATGTGAGTTCAACTGCACACGTTTTTTTTCAGAATGTTACAGTGATTGGTCAATCCACTGGTCAGTGTGAAAGCGGGGACCAGGATCAATTCGGATAACATTCTTCACCAGGTTCATAGTACAGTTCACTGACCACTGTGTCATCGCCTCACCCTCCATATGTACATTAATCCATCATAAAATTCAAACTGATAATTAATATTAGTTTAACTTACAAGTTAAATGATAATTAACATAATGAAAACGTTTTCTAATTTTAATGTATTTTTCATTGATTCCCAATTTGCCTTAAGATTTTTATACTTTTTAAAACATGTGTCATTTTTTGTGCGGGTGCAGAAAGTCAAGCGAGTCCTTAAGTAATGACATTATTATTCGAGGAATTATAAAACAAGCGGTATCGTGTGTAACTCAACAGGTCCCTTCTGGCCCAACTGAAAAAGCTGCAGGCGTTGGTGCGGCAGACAACAAACAAGAATGCGCCTACAAGCACGTGTATTCTTGTAAGTGAAGACTGCAAAGGACAAAGTTCCTTTTTGAGCAGAACATTTGAATGTGAAGAAATATGTTAAATAAAAAACTATATCATTGTGTTAACATAAGTGTGTTTTATGTCTCCCATACCCAGGTGTTTGTGCTCTCCTTTGCACTGATTCTCTTTCCGAGCATAAACCCTTTTGGTGGAAAACAAGATTCTGGCGTGGAACCTGCAATATCAGGAGGTAAAAATCGTACTGGTAACCTGAATTCGATTCCGTGCTACAGCTGACTTCTGTTATAAGTGTCGTGTAAAAAATCGGTCCTGGGCATGGTGAAGTAAGGTCAATTGTGACCAACACAGTGTGGGGAGGCCTTCATCCAGCAATATATTGAAAGTATTTAATTAAAATTGATCAGTGGTATTCGAAATATTTGTCAAATATTTAGACGTGGAAATGTCCAAATATCCCAATGCAAAACCCTCTGTAAAAAGTCTCAAGACTCGAAAGGCTTTCCTGGGTATATAAAGTGTACTATCATACTACATTATAAAAATAAAGTGTTGCTGCCTCCCTGCAAGTGCGCATGCATGGTGGTGACATCGCCATGCACTTCTGCGTGATGGCGTTACCTGCATCCCACATCGTAGAACTGGCTTTGTGCGTGCTATTCGGTAAAGTCACGTAGGTAAATAATAAAACAACAATAATCACGACGTTTCGGCCACAACACAAGTGGCCTTCATCAGGTGAAGGGACGAGCCTGTCTGGAGGACAGCGCTGGAGTGGAAGAAGCCACGCTTAGATCACGACATTTAAGCTGTGTGATGAAGGCCGCTTGTGTTGTGGCCGAAACGTCGTGATTATTGTTGTTTTATTATTTACCTACGTGACTTTACCGAATAGAACCAAAGAGTATGGATCCTTGCAGTCACGAAAGCTTTAAATCTAGAATTTGTGCGTGCTGCCAATCACGCCTACCCACCCACCCTCCACCATGGTCGTGTATCCTGCGCAAATGTGCGGGCAGTGCTAGTTATTGTAACACATACATTTTTACTTAACGACATGATTTTTCTTATTCTGTCCGATAGTGAGGACACGGACATTGAAGTCTGACCCGTACGTGGCAAACGCCAAGGACATGAACGTGCCGTCCTCCTTGGAGATGGAGAAATCATTTCAGGGTATGGATTGGCCGGACGGTGGGGTGCATCTCTACGGGACAGAAGCTGACGAACCGACCGTGGAGCTCGATGGCTGGACTGACGATGAGTTGATGTTGAACGGCAGCTTCGTGGTGACGCACGCGAACAAGACAGTTGTCGACGTTGCCAAGATACTACACGCGGACGAGATGTGACCCACGATTCGAAGAACGCCGTAAATGTTTATCCCCCTGCATTTTCATTGTCTCACAGTGTGGTGGTCTCTCATTTTTATTCGTGTGCAGCATGCAGTATCATCTTAGGCAATGCGTGCAGGGTTCAGTTGTTGGCTTTGCATGCTTTGTCACGCTTATTTCCGTAATGTACTGCTTTTCTGTTTCGTACAAATCATACACTTTTCTGTTATTGACTGTAAGATGTGAGTCGTGTAGAATATGCACAGTTAATGTCTTCCAGTTGCCTTGTTTATCATTTAAAACTTGCAGTAATAGAAAATATTGACAATGAAAATCATTTTTTTTCCATTAAAAAGAAAACTAAGAAAACAGAATGTATCATATGGAGAGCACTTATTTGCCTGTCGCAAGTCCTAATTTGCAAAAAGTGCAGTCTGGTGACATAATTTTTCCACAATTGTAATTCGCTGTGCATCACGTAATCGTTTGTATATTGCCTTGCAGTAGATTGTTACACTTTATACATTTTCAAAATTTACGCAGTGAAAACTTATTTGCAGAGAGTGAACGGTTCGATAGGCTGTGCCTCCTTCCCCCAGTCCAAGCTATCTGTGTGTTGAGGCAAACTGCCACAGCAGAGGATTGGTCCTGGCCAAAGGGAATTTGAACTACTGTGTTAAAAATCATATGAAGAGCTACACTGGGACATTTCGAGATTGTGATCTTTATTGGAACCGACTGTTGAGAAATTGAGGTTATGATTGCTTTGTGAAAAAATCTGATTGCGAGTCCGTCAATTTTGGAGGCAATTCAACATTAAATTTTGACTTTAAACTTTCGTGACTGCAAGAATTCGTGTTCTTTGGTTCTTTCGGTAAAGTCACGTAGATAGAAAAAAATTAATAAAAGTAAATCATAAAAAAACTATGACGTTTCGATCACAACACAAGTGATCGTCTTCAGGGAAAAAAAAGACGATCGCTTGTGTTGTGATCGAAACGTCGTTTTTATTTTATTTACTTTTATTATTTTTTCTATTTACGTGACTCCCGAAAGAACCAAAGAATAACAATTCAACAGTGTACACTTTTTTGTATGGAAAAGTAACACATTTTTGAGTTACGGCCTTAAAAGTGATATGAATAACAAATATATAATAAGTCAGTGATTAATATATCATAATTAGGCACATAACACTTATCCTTATATGCTCGGTTCAAAAGAGTATTCAAAGTTCTGAATGCAAACAGCATTACAAAATCGTGAGGCCAACTTGGTGTGTTTTTCAAAAACTGAAATGGAAGATTCAAATCAAGGTGATTGCTGCTGTAATTGCGGTTTCTATAAGATTGAAAGCTTTTGAAGTGTGCTCTGACGATTTTAAAGTTTGGCACTTGAAAATAAATGTCTGGATGTGTTGTTTGTGTTTAAAGATGAATGCGCCTATGGATGTGTAGGACATTGAAATTATGTACCATTTAAGAAGTCTGTTATATAGCAGTCAAAACAATGTGTTAAGTTATTTTTTATAATTTACACAGCTAATAAACATGAATATCACAGTCTTGGCATCAGTGTTTTTTCATTCTACATTACCTCGTCTGCACAAAAAATATACGCCTTTTGGCGTCTTCTGGTCCAACACCAGTGGAGACTGGGCTCTAAGAAAAGCCGTCTCGGGTGTGGACCAATCAAATTCAAGGACAGTGCATATGATCAGAGTTGCCTTTTTTGTTGCGTTGTTTGTGCAAAACACTGGCAGCGACAACAGCATTCTTATCGTATCTTCGTTTTGTTGTAACTTTCTGAACGCCGCGTCAGTATGGGTTACCGATGCCGACCTGTAGAAAGTAACCCAGCAATCAAAATCACCATGGAGGTACAAAAGGATAGCATGCTACCCTTCTTGGATGTCTTAATTAAAAAGGGACCAGATGGCTCAATGAGCCACTCTGTCTACAGGAAAGTAACCCATACCGATGCCTATCTAAAACCTGATTCCCACCACCATCCATCCCAGAATTCCCTCATCAAAACGCTACACCATAGAGCTCAATGTAACTCCGACCATGAACACCTAACCAGTGAACTCAAACACGTACACCAACCTCTCAAGGCGAATGGATATTCTAACTACACAATCCGCAAAGCCATCACCCCAACCATGAGGAAAGAGCCATCTGAAGATCCAATCAAAACCATCACCTTGCCATACATAGGGATAACCAAAATATTTCCAAAATCTTGAACCAACACAAGATCCAGGTCTGATTTAACACTGCATATAATTCGTGACCTGATCCCATCTGTGAAGGACAAGATTCCTGACACAATATCCCAGCGTCTGCCAACTAAGCTGTATCTGCGACAGCAGTTACATTGGGGAACTAAGCGACATGTCTTGGACCATGTTTGTGAACATAAGGCAGATCTGAAACACGGCAGGACCAATACTTCTGCCGTGGCTGATCATTACTTTAATGCGGCTGGCTCACATGAAATTGATTTCTCTAGGAAGATGGTACTTTGCAAGCCGACTGGCTATCAACAAAGATTCGTTCACGAAGCCATCCATATATAGAAACACAGACACAATTTCAACCGAGACGACGGTTTTAAACCCAGCAATCATTGGAAAGATGTCATCGACCACCTTGGGTCATGACTTGATTTGTGTTTTCTTGTCCACCGTCAGCAGTGTGGGTGTGTGGAGCGAGGTGCAATGCTTTGCTTGGTGCAGACCTACTGCCGGTATCGGAGATTTATCCAACATTAACATAAGGTGCCCCGCCCATTTCTAAACCTTTATAAACAGCTATTTGATTTGGTGTAGACCTACTGCCGGTGTCTGAGCCTTCTCCGACATTAACATCAGCTGCCCCGCCCATCCCTAAACCTTTATAAACAGATTGCCCTCTACGGCTAACCTCCCTGTTCCTGATGACGAAAGCTTGTGTTGCGATCGAAACGTCATGATATTTGTATTATTTTGTATTAACTTTATTTTCATTTTATTATTTTATCGATATTATTTTTTTCTTCTATCTACGTGACTTTACCGAAAGAACCATAGAATATCACTCATTGTTTTTTTTTCGGTAAAGTCATGTATGTAGAAATACAATAAAATTGTATTAAAACAAAAAACAATCACGACGTTTTGATCACAACGCAAGCGATCTTCATCGGGTGTCAAGAACAAATCACGGAGGTAAATACAACAAAAAGATGAGAGACAAGAATTCAACAAACCTGAAAAAACATTATGTGAAGCACATCCAGTCAGGCCAACAACACAGACACTTCCTGGCGGACCACGAATTTCAGAAGTGTTAAATTTCGTGTTCAACCTTTGGATTGCACATACCAGCATAGATAGAATGAAAAATACGAGGTACACGGTCAGTAGAAATATATATACAAGTCCACCAAGAGGTAAGGAGGGAGGAAAGACGGACAGAGGCAGAGAGAGAGAGGGGGGTGCCGGAGGGATGAACAGAAGCTTAAATAGGAAATAAGGTTGTAGGGGGGAGGAGCCAGAGCGAGAGCGGCAGCTCAAACACGCACATCTTACACATACAAAACGGCAGCTCAAAAAAGGACCACCTCTTGTAAATACAAAACGGCAGCTAAAAAAATTACCACCTCTTGTAAATACAAAACGGCAGCTCAAAAAAGGGGCACATCTTACACATAATTACAACGGTAACTTCCCCGTAGAAGTGTGATAATAAAGTATTAAAGCTTTCGTGACTGCATAAAATTACTTATTTGTTTTTTCGGTAAAGTCACGTATGTAGAAATACAATAAAATTATATTAAAACAAAAAACAATCACGACGTTTCGATCACAATGCAAGCGATCTTCATCGGGTGTCAAGAACAAATCACGGAGGTAAATACAACGTGATTGTTTTTTGTTTTAAAATAATTTTATTGTATTTCTACATACGTGACTTTACCGAAAAAACCAATGAGTAATTTTATGCAGTCACGAAAGCTTTAATACTTTATAACCATAGAATATGGTGCTAAAATTAAAAGTGAGGCGTCACGTAGCCGGTATCGTGATGTCACGCTCATCCACGCGATGTGACGTCTCCGCGACGCGACCTGCGACGTCACCACGCAAGTTGGCTCCGTCGACGTCACCCACGCGCGCGCTGCGCCGCGCCGGGTCGACGTCACCACGCAAGCTCGTGTCCTCGACGTCACTTCCCGGCATCCCTCGCGCGTGCGTGTGACCCCCCCCACCCCGTCGCGCGTGTGTCAGCGGCCAAGATGGCGGAGCCGGACTCGTGGGGTGAGTGGAGAGCGGCGGCCGCTGCGCTGGTGGGGAGTGTGAGGAGGTGGTGGTGGGGAGTGTGAGGAGGTGGTGGTGGGGAGTGTGAGGAGGTGGTGGTGGGGAGTGTGAGGAGGAGGTGGTGGTGGGGATTGTGAGGAGGTGGTGGTGGTGGGGAGTGTGAGGAGGTGGTGGTGGGGAGTGTGAGGAGGTGGTGGTGGGGAGTGTGAGGAGGAGGTGGTGGTGGTGGGGAGTGTGAGGTGGTGGTGGTGGGGAGTGTGAGGAGGTGGTGGTGGGGAGTGTGAGGAGGTGGTGGTGGGGAGTGTGAGGAGGAGGTGGTGGTGGTGGGGAGTGTGAGGAGGTGGTGGTGGTGGGGAGTGTGAGGAGGTGGTGGGGAGTGTGAGGAGGTGGTGGGGAGTGTGAGGAGGTGGTGGGGAGTGTGAGGTGGCGGTGAGTGTGAGGAGGTGGTGGTGGGGAGTGTGAGGAGGTGGTGGGGGTGGGGGTGAAGAGACGCGGGACCGGCCATTCTCTCTCTATCGCTCTCTTGCTGCTGCCTCGGGACTCGATAATCGGTAGAATAAAGCGAGCCGCGTGTCACGGTGTGTGTGTGTCGGGCGTGGTGCTGTGGCCAACCACGGCCACCCTAACACCACTCGTTGTTGTGCCACAGTTTTGCCGGCCTGCATAGATGCCGTTGCTATTCGCTTGCTAGCCGCAACTTGTTCCGACAGTCTGTTAAAGGCGACACGGGGGTATCTGTGTGTGTGTCACAGTCTAAGGGAAGGGGGTCTGTGTGCGGTGTGTGTCACAGTGTGTTAAGGCTATAAAGGGGGGGTCTGTGTGGTGTGGTGTGTGTCTTGGGTTTGGCAGCAGACGTGGAAGAATTCGTTGCGGAGGCGCTCAAGCCGGCGTTGGCGATAGACAAGTGGGAGGGCGAGGACGAGGATGACAACGTGAAGGTGGCCGGCGCGCTGACACGGGGAGACCCGGGACGCCGAGCGAGTCGAGGGGTCGTGCGCGCCGGGGGTTTGGTGTTGTGGGGGGGGGCAGTGAACGGCGACCGTGTCGAGACGGAACAGCGGAATGATTGATCAGGATAAGGACTGGGAAGGGGCGAGGGACTCAGAAGCTGAAGCAAAACTGTTTTTTTGTTGTTGTAAAACTGCCGCGGCCGGACTAGGCCTCAAACCGGACCCAGGCCTATGGACCAGAACCGCCCCCCCCCACCCGCCCCTATCAAGACCACATCGTTATCAGGACTAGAATCTGATCGATCACGAATGGACCAGACCAGGGCCAGATCTCGAATGGGACTGAGCAAGGATTAAACTTCAAGCGGCACCAGAACTACAACTTGGCCTGAGCCAGGACTGCAAAGTGCATCTAAACAGGACCGGCGGGGGGGGGGAACCCCTTACCAAATCGGGTCCAAGAATGAACCGAACCGGGATCGCGGACCAAACTTGAACCTGGGATCCCAATCGGGACTTGTGCCAGAACCCCAGAACCGCATCGCGGGCGGACCAAGCCTGGGTCCAGACCCGGTCTCGGTCCGGGATTGAACATCGCCGGATGTGATGGGCTTGTGTGTTCAGAAGAGAACCGGCCTCGTGGTTTAGCCCCTGAACAGCCCTGGTCCGGAATTCGAACGTGATTTGCCTGGTCTGGCAGGGAGCGGTGGTGGCGGGTGAGGTTCAGAACTAAAGGAGGCCGGGTCCACAGGTCTCGGACCGGCTCCGCCGAGACCGCATGATCTCGTTAACTGGCATTTACCACGGGACAGGATTAACATTGGTTAAACGTGGTTAAGTCGGCCCGCGTGGCTATTGTACGCCGCTTGAGGCGGGGAGGAAACGCGCACTCTGGCCGCCCCAACTCGGCAGTGGCAGCAGCGGCAACAGGGCGCGGCCCGGACCGGCGTTAGAGGGAGGGCGTGTGGGTAGGATAGACCGAGAACTATCGAGGCCTCATTGCAAAAAGTGGATTTTATATTCGTAGTAGGTAGCGGAGCGAAATCCATCGTGCTGTACTTCTCCGTCTGTGCTCCCCGCTATCACCAGCCCGCACCGACCTGCGTGCAGTATTGAAGTGTGGCTCACATGATGACTTGAGGAAGCCCTCATCCAGCAGTTGGATTTATCAAAGTCCCTTGCACATTGTTACGGGTACCTCAAAATCGATTGTAACCTCTTAAGGATGGCGTCTCGTGTTAAAAAGAGGAACCGTGGCTAGAAAAGAAGGGGGGTTGGATACCCCCCACAATTGAAGGACCCTAACATTGCAGGGAGTTAACCCTGCCCTTTACACAAGCACATCTACATTGTACCCCCCAATAATTGTAGATGTGACTGGACCGCCATGGATTTGCAACATGCTGTCTTGTCTGCCCCACGACGCAGTATAGCGTAAACCGCAGCACAGCAATTACCCAGACGTAGCATATGGTGAATTACAAGCGGTTGATTGTGTTGACGTGTCAAAACGGTTTAACTGCAGTTCACCCCGTGGGGAAATTAAAATCTGGACACCAAAGCGGCGTTGGCAACAGTGGGATTATACAAAACTGTTGGGAGTGGCAGGGGGGGGGAACGAACTAAAAGAATTGAAACTGGTAAGATAAGGACTACATTGCGACATTTTCCCCGTGGGGAAATAGCCAGAGTAAACTGTACTCGAAATTCCAAAAGGCTTTTGATATTCCAGAGTCGAGGCTTAGGGGACCTGGATATGTTTACTCTGCTGCAAACTTCACCCTGGCTAATCAGGAGACAAAAAGGGTGTTATAACGAACCTTAGTTTCATACAAACCTTAACGGATTCACTATAATCATGCGCAATTATAGAAAATGTCATCCCAGTGAAATGATGTTTCATTACCAGTCCTCAACCCTTGTATTATTACACCACGTGGCACGCAATGTCAAATGTTTTATTGGCGGTGGCATTTATCCCCTAAGATTTTTTTAGGCTTTGTTAATTACCGCTGGGAGTGGTGCATAGTAATTAGGTTGCTTATCGACGCCAAAAATCTTTAATGAGTGATTTCCGATCGTGTTGCACAGGACAACTGGGACGATGAGGAAGAGGAAAAGAGAGAAGCAAAAGCTACCGCAGGTAAGGGGATACTCGCAACCACATTGGTCACCCGTTAAGTAGTTGCGGAATTACATTGTGATGGGCTAGGCTAAAGTGGTGTCTGTAAACGGCTGAACAAAAGCTTTTACCATATTTATCTTTGCAGAGGTGAAAGCCGCTGAGAAGAAAAAGAAACCAGAAAAAGTAAAAGCAAAGAAAGATGTCAACGAGAAGGTAGTTTTTATACTCGAATATTCCTGCGTGAACTGTAATAGTGCACACGTCAGTCAAAATGTTTCATGAAACAAGATCCACATTCTGTAAAATTAGTAAATATACAAGTGCTATATATTCTTAGCTCTTTCGGTAAAGTCACGTTGAAGGGAAACAATAAAATAATAAAATATATGTAAAAATTCTCACGTTTCGTTTTATATATATATTTTATTATTTTATTGTTTCCCTTCAACGTGACTTTACCGAAAGAGCTAAGAATATGAATTACTGCAGTCACGAAAGCTTTAAATCAAAATTTATACAAGTGCTGTTTCGTCCATCCTACAATTACTCTCCTCCGCTATTTTTAATTGCTAAATTCCCCACATTGAAGCAACCATGAACAAACAACTCGTGCAGCAGTCATATTAACTGTCTGCCAGAGACGACTGAATGCTATTCTGGTTGTGCGTGGCATGCGTATGTGTGGGGGAAGTGGTTCGATTCCCAGCTTATGCTAACGTGAGTGGCGAATAGCTGAACCCATCCTGGCCTTTCCGAGGTTGACCTGACCATCAATGAGTACCTGGTGCAGTGTGTAAACAATCAGCACTTGGGAGATGAAGGGGGCTGGGTGTGGTACTTGCCATGCTGCCCCCCCTCGTGCGCTGTCCTAGCCTATTAGAGGTGCTAGCTAACAGCAATTTCCCCAACAGTCTTAAAGGCTATGTATGGAGGATCGTTGTCTGTGTGCGCGACCACTTGCCTATTCAGGCAGCGACAGAGCCGACGAGAAAACAGAGCCCAGAGGAGGAGCGGTTAGAAAAACTGCGCCTCCAGAAACTTCAGGAGGAGGCCGACCTTCATGTTGCACTTGAGACCTTCGGTATGTTTTGGATCCTGAGTTTGTCGTTATTTTCAGACCGTTTTTTTTCTGGGGTAATTTTTATTTTTAAGGTGCACGGAGGGATTTTGAATGACAAGGGAGCAAAATGTGTTTAATGTGACTCGAATTTTTTTTAATCCAAGTGCATGTATGTTATGTTGAACTTATTTCGAACCATATGTAGCCCACCGTGCTACTCGGAGGTGCCGGTAAATTGTTTGATTATTGACACTGCAGTAGATTACTGCAAGTGCTAACATGTTCAGTGGTGAATATTGACTTGTCTTAATATAAACTATTTGAAGCCACAATGGTAACTATGCACTAGTATTGAGTACTTTTTGACATCACTGAACGATTTAAATCGTAAACGTTCAGAGCTTGAATTGTGTTGGACTATATTGAAAATGACATGGGGAATTTGTTACTAATGCACACACATGAAATCCAAAAACGTATATTTTTGTTGGCACAAGTAAACTTTTGTTAAGGATTTTTGTTCGGGCAAACTTTGGCCTTTACTGTAAACACTTTGCATACCATTTCCAAGTCTACACTCACCGTTATTCCCAAAGTAGTGTGGCAGAAACAATAACAATTTTAGCCACCCAATAATTTTGGCACATTCACTCCACTGTTAAATGTTATGTTTCTGCCCCTTTGTTAAACTGCTCGATGAAGGCCTCCCCATGCCGTGTCAATCATGGGGGTTGTTTTACCATACTTCACCATGCTGGTCAGTGCCAGTTGGTAAAGTTGGGTCTTGCTTAGTTAAGTGCACTACCGACTGTGCCACCCTATTGTTTTTAATTTGCTTCCGGTCGCTTCCTTAAACTTTTGTTTGTTAGGCGAAAGAAGCACAGAGGACGTGAGCGTAGATGTTTTGAACCCTGTGACGAAGGAAGACTTTGTGGAGTTTGGAAATGCCCTCCGACGGAAGGTCACACAGTACGAGAAGTCTGTGCATTACGTGGGTTTCCTGGAGGCCCTGTTTCGTGACATCTGCATCAGCCGTGAGTTCACACCACAAAAGCGGCGTTTCACTTGCACCGGGCATATGCGTCACACATGCCTGACTGCTTACATGTCCAGTGGGGGGTTGGAGGGAGAAACGGTAACCCCCATGAGCCAATGTGTAATGGTGGTGCAAGATTCCCCGCATGTCGCTAGATGGCAGCATTTCACCGGAGTTGTATTTGATAAAATAACACCTCTTGCAGATGTTGCGAGGCACAGGATACATCAATCTCTATTTTATTAAAGCGTCTCATGTTGAAGTATCTCACATCCATTATTCTCACATGCATCCACATGTATGAGAATCCGTTATTTACGGTGAATACACATGTACTAATGTTACCTTTAGGCTAATAGGGTAAAACAAACTGTAAATCAGCCAATAAGAATGCATATGAGATGAAAAATGAAACACGGAATTTACTTTTAAATTATGAACCCTGAACAGCGAGGGGATAAATGATTACATGCCAAGATGTGACCACTGAAAGTTGAATATTTATTGTAGACCTACTCACCCAGGAATGTCTCCTTAAAGCGCATCACCGCACTCCACATCGACCAGCCCCCCTCATTAATAATCATTATAGTGACGTTCTCCAAATGGACGCCCCCCCCATTCATAATAATTAGCGGCTGACGTTACTCCACATGGGGGGCCGAGGCGCCTCCTCCCCCCTCCTCGGCGTCAACTTACAACCCTCACTGCAAAGGCAGAACCCTCACCGTCACACAATCTCCGTAACGCTATTGAGACATCAAAGTAAAAAGGACGTCATGATGAACAAGGGATTATTACCTTGAAATGAAAGAGGTCTGTGTCACCACGCCCTTACAAATTGCACACGCATTAATGCATTGAATATCATGCGCGGTCTGCTTTTCGCTTGCAAGTCTCAGATTTACTGCAATAAACCCGTCCTTGGATGGTCAAAAGGCTAGTTTTAAAATAAGCATCTAAAGACATTTTACTATATGGCAAGAACACGTGATTGTGCTGTACGGTAAAAATCATCCCTCTTGCAATACTGATAAAGATCCAAGCATTTGTAGCAGTTAAACAAAACCATGCGTTGCATGCAGTTGGGCAAGATATCTGAGCACGCCAATTTCCTTCCACATTAAAATATTGAGGCATTGGATAATCTTCCCACTGTGCAGGATCCAACTTGGAGTGACTTGAAACTCAGAGGCTTCCCTAGATAAACAGAAGGGGGGAAACAACTGCCTACACTTGGGCAAGAAGCACAAACGGCATGGAAGTGTGCATTTATGCTTCGAGTCACAGTACAGGTTGCCATTTCACTGCTATTTATCAAACAAAGCCTCGATGAGCAAAGTGGTAAATGGGTTGGAGACGTGAGCAGCGAATTAAGTAAAATTCGCGGCTCACATTTGACATTCTAACAAATCAACGTCCGTTGGACACACCTGCCAGATGTTAGCAAATGCTCCTTTGCTTCTGGGGTCAGTTAATAAGATGCAAAATTAACCGGCACAAGATTATTTTCTTATGCTCAGGTTTATTGACCTTTTACAACAAATGTATATTCTTTGCATGTTGTGGCATTGCATAATTTTACATGGCCATGTCTAGTTCTTTTAGTTCCCGAGTACCACCTTATGCCTGCGATTCTTGATTGTTCCATGAAACGTAACCTGCTTGTGCTGCACAGCAGCTGACAGGCAGTGACATTTGAGCTCATTTGTTGACTTAAGACAAGGGTATGAATTAGAAATTGGTACAGCTTGCATTTGTGAACAATTTGTTCTTTTAATCTTTTTTGTTACTTTAAGCTCAGCAATGATATGACTTTGTATATTGGCACGGAGCCGTGCACTTGTCGCAGGACATTTGAAATGATAAACATTGTTCAGCCTTTATTCTACACATTGTGTATAATCGTTATAGTTTTGTACAGGACACCTTGTGCATTTTAACATCTTAAAGTGAAACAATCTTTAATTTAAATCTAGATGTGGGGGAAAAAAGGCATTCAACTTAATGGTGAACATTTTTTGAGAGTTTTGCACTGAAAAAGCCTCAGAAGAAATTGCACTGGATTTTAAGCCACACTGCATTTTCCCCATTTTTGAAAATCATTCCCAGTGTTTTGACCAACTCAAGAATCTCCATGAAATGTTTTTTTTGAGTACTCCGAACACAAACGTGAACAATCATGTACACTTTCATCGCTCTTAAGGCGCCTTTCGCTTGAAAAGCTTCCTCCAGCACTTGTACCATAAGTGCCTGATTGGTAACCATTTCCCCCCCCCCCGGCCTTGTGCTCCATGCAGTGGAAATGGAGGATGTGAAAAAGCTCAGCTCCACTTTAAACGTCCTGTGTGTTGAGAAACAGAAGGCAGACAAGGTAAGTGCACCTGCTGTTTGTCACCTCGCAGCACTTGAGCGTTCATACACATCATCGTTCATACACATCATCGTTCATACACATCATCGCTCTTCAAGCAAGTCTCTTGAACACCATGTGGGGAGACAACACAGCCGCAGTAAATAAGCAGTGACAATTGTTGCCATGGAGTTTTTTTTAGCATTTAAGTTTTGTCAAGATGAGTATTCATCCTATTTAGTATATTTAGTGAAATGCAGACTTGCACATTGTATGTACACAGTTTTACTAACTGTATAAAAGGATACTACAGGCAGGTTAAATATTAGCAAGTCATTGAGTAACCCGAGCAATTAGTCCAAGTATCCTGTGGGCATAGGGCCATAGTAGTGTTGTTAATCACAACACGGGCAATTTTGGTTTTCCTTTCTGTTACCAAGGTTTTAATTTCATTCAGAGCCCTGACTTAAGCTTGTCCATCCTTACAAGGTATCAAGAAGCCCTCTTGTCAGTCCACTACTGGATGAAGGCCTCCTTCCTACTGTGGTCATGGGGTTGAAGTGTATATCATTTCCACAGATACCTTAGCCGTGGCCAGCAATCTTAATGCAGGTCACTGGATATGTACCGTATTTTCCCACATATAACCCGCAGGGTATACCACTTTCTACAAACAAAACAAGACCCTGCGGGGTATATGGAGGTGCGGGCTATCCCAAAAATATTTTACACGTGTGACATGTCACAACTCGTTTAATTTTTTCATGGTAGGACTATCCACTATGCAACACTTACCTTTGACTAAAGCACTGCTGAATAAACCACTCCCACTAAAATTGCACATGTTATCACTGATGATTGCTTGTGTTGCAGTCGAAACGTCGTGAGAATTTTATTGTTTTATAATTTTATAGTTTCCCTAATACGTGACTTTACCAAAAGAACCAAGAATATGTTATCACGTTTTAAATTATTCGAATTGTTTGTACAATGAAACGACAATGTTTGAAGTGGGTGCACTTTGTTTACCGTAATACTTTCAGTGGCTGTAGGGGGGTGCGAAAGTTTCAGCTGAGGCTATGGATTGCATAATGGGAAGGGCCTTAACAAGCGTCTACCAGACGCGGAATCATAATTGCTGAGACCCTTGGGCCGTTGCTATTGGCTGAGCACTATACAGTCGCGACCATGAGCTTTGTTTAAAACTTCCAATGGCTGTGTTGTCAGGAGGCAATGGCGTTACCGCAGTGCCGCTATTGTAAGCGCAGTGCGCAATCTACCAGTGCTAAAACTGTAAAGGGGTAACTACTGGTCCAGTAGCTGTAATATGATGAGGTCGAATGCTGGTAAGCCTAACAGTACGCTTACTTATCAACCAGTTGTGCGTTACTTATCTATTGAATATTTCCTTTTGTTACTTATTTACTGTTTTAAGTTCACTCGTTTCCGGTTAGTTTTCTTTGTGCACGTTATGATTTTAATGTTAACAATTGATAGTGGAATGTATTACAAATGTAAACTTTGTATTAATATGATGGAATTAAGCTGCGGTAATGACGTTAAAGATATGAATGCATGCGGTATATTTTAAATTTGTTTTACACAAAACGCTATTTTTGTGGGGTATATGCGTCTGCCGGGTTATATGCGGGAAAATCCGGTAGTGGTGTGCTAACTGCCATGCAATTGCGTCCCACCAATTGTATACAAGCACTTGGATGCAAAGACTCATTAAATGTACCATTATAGTGCTGCCACTGTTACTGCACTTCTGCCATTCTGACCCCTTCCAATTAGTCTCTTTGGGCTCTCTCATTAAGCTGTAAGACACTCCGGCGTGCTCCCGAATGAGTCACTACCAAGATTAAGTGTTTTTTTTTCTCCAGAAATTACGAGTCGTTACCAAAGGTGTTTAAACTTGCAAATATTGCAATCCTGTGAACTAATTTTATTTAGAATACGCTAATAGTTGACTTTTACAATATTCACGTGAATTTCAGAGCGCATGCTTGTGCAATGGTGACAAGACAGACTATGAGCCCGTTGCCATGACCACTAGTGAGGTTTGGTCCAGGTTGTCACGGTTATTGGTGGAGGCGGTGGGGAGAGCAGACTGCTGAAAGCTGGGGATGTGAAAAGCCTTTCTATGCTAACCCTAAGCAGCCAGGCTGCATAGCTCAGCCTTTAAAAGGAGGTAGAGACTCTTGACTTGTGGTGTGGTTGTTGTTGATTAAGCTGGTGGCTTTTTGTTGCATAGGCTGCTTAGCGTATGCAGAGTAAATGCATCACCCAACAACTGGTGCTTAGGCACTATGATTTGTAATAAGTACATTTATAATTGGGTGGAACAGATTTGTGCACTGCACTACGAATTTGGTAACGTTCTATTCCAAGTAACAACATCAATCGGGAAGGAGATAATCCCTTCCCCCTTCACCAATGCGTGGTGAAGAATGATCAGACAAGTCCCACCGTTTGGAAAACTCGACATCCAACAATTAGTCGACAATAACAATACGTTGCTCACAATTATTTGACATTCAGTATGCTGACGCAAATGTGTTAGTACTCCCCGTCATAACCATGATTAGGAGTTTTCATAAAGGTCACTTGGGACCCACTGTCGGTGCCCATGGATGGGTTCTGTCCGCCCCCGGGGGGCGAGTAACGTCACTGTTAAAACACCCTTGTCTATAATTGCATGAGAACCCTTTAAAAGGTCCACCACAATGCCCTGTATATATAGCTATCTGCAGCTTAAATTGGACAATCTGACTTGATTTACAAAAGTATTTAGCCGTTTCCATTGATTTGTTATTTGTACAGTTAAACTCCATGTCTATTTCAGTAGTTATTCTCAGAATAGTTGTGGAAATTGAATATGCCAGGAAAAATCACTTTGTAATGTTAAATACATAACAATTCACAGGTGGGAAGAGATAAATGCTTTGGATTGAAGGTGGTGTACACTTCTTTCAGAAAATTGAGCATTTGGCAGGATGTGCATCTATATGTTAACTACCTCACCTGGTATGTGGGAGGTTGTGGGTTCGACCCTGAAGCCTGTATATTTGGAATTTTCATGTTCTCCCCAGGTCATGTAGATTTTTCTCTGGGTCTAAGAGTTTTCCCTCTACATTTAGAAACATGTATTTAGTTGTCATGCATTTCCACAAGCCAATTCGATGAGCTAACATTTGTGACCAGGTTGCTTATGAAAAAGAGCTATATAGCTTAGTGGGCCTTCCTGGTAGAATGAAAGTTTTAATTATATATTAATTTAGAGCTGGTCCCACCTGTTATAATCAGTGGTGTTTGCATTTAATGAGTGCTGTGAAACAGGAAAAACACATTGACATCTATGGGTACCCTCTTTAGCTCAGGCAGACACAGTGGATAAATAGTTAATAAACATTGTTATTTCTGATCTTTCAAATGTCTTTAGATAATCACTTTGTAATTTTGCAATCAATGTACATTATCCAACCACAATACTATTATTGTATTGGTCACTGTGGTGTTTTTCTTTATTTAAACATTTCAGTTGTTGGGCATGTCATTGATTTATGGCCTCGCTATTTAGCTTCACGGTCAGATCCCCTTTTCCCAACCGGGCGACAACAGTTTATCGGCTTTCCCCTATTGGTAAACGACCTCCGACTTGCTCGTTGTGCTTGGTCAGCTGAGCGAGGTATGGCAGTACGTTTTGCATTAAAAAAAATATTTGGCATTTGATTGTTTTCCACAGGAGAAGAAGGTAAAGAACAAAAAGAAACGGGCCAGCATGCCAGGCGGTGGGTTCAAGGCAAACTTGCGCGATGAGCTCGAGGCTTTTGACGAGGGTCCTGCAGGATATGACGAATACGAAGACTTCATGTGACACCTGCTGCTGCTTGTATCCCCCCCCCCCAAACACCTGGAACTATGACACCCGCCTCAAGCATCATCTTTATCACTTCCATCAAGTTGCCATCGGAGACACCCTGGAGAGGCCCAGCTCGTGGCACGAAGAAGCCAGAATAATGGGAACTGTCTGCAATTTTACTGCGAGGGAGCGCGCCCACGCACTAGCGTACACTGCAGTGCTTTACGTTTTCACAAACGCTGCCAAGTCCACCTCTGGCGGCCAGAATTCAACTATTTCCCTGCTCGTCAGTGGAAGGGGCAAGGTGGTGGGGGGGGGGGGTGTTCCACTTGCTATTGCAGTTTGAGCTTTGAATCTTGGGTTGTTTAAAGTTAACACAGTTGGATAATTTCACTTGCATTTTTGCCGCATTTTGATCATGGAATAAAGTAACACTGCGGGAAATTGAGAATGGCCTAGCTATTTTTGTATAATAAAACTTATCCATAACGTGCTGCGTAATTGTTGTATGCATCGCCCTGAATTATTTCCATACTCGGAAATAAGGTTTCAGACTCCGTCCGTCACCATAAATCGCTGTGCCGCCGACTCAAACCCGGATGATGCCGTCTTAATCCATTTCAATGAGCCATTCTCAATGCTCCAAAATTAACTTGTTTCATAAACGACAACTGTATTACAAGTGAATTATACTCCCTGCAGTATTTAGTTTTATTTAATAAAAGGCAAATACAGGACATGTTCTCATGTTGTGACCGCTAAGCTTTGGGCAGAGCTGAAAACTGGCATTGATGGGCGGTCATGGATACAGCCACGCTGGCTGTTTGCGTGTTGAATTTTTCTCTGCAGTATCGAGTCGTGCTTATGCAAATACATGTAGACCTTTGAATATCAACTCCCTGCTGAAACTGCTCATTTCCAGTGTGAAAACGTGACTTGACCAAAAACCCTCCCACACAAGCAGTCGTGTAAGTGGAGATGAAAATGTTCAGTTCATTGAGTTAACATAAGGACATCTCAAAAAAGCTGCACACGTATTTGATGTGCTGACATTTAGCAATTTGAAGCCAGGCCATTGTGGCCCATTCCAGGTTTAACAGCATACACTGTGAATGTCAAATTTAATCAAGAATGGCAATAAAGCAAACCATTTGTCAATATTGTCTTGCGGTGAAATAGGCAAGATAAACAGCACCATGGAAGTCATGTTTAAACAAACATTGGTATCTTGCAAGCAATACCAAAATGCATATTTACAGACTGGAGTGGGTGTCGTCTGATTTAAAATTCAAAGACGCATTTGGTTCGGTACACGTCGAGCCTTGTCAATCCACTGCTTGGCGAGGGCCTCCTCTGTCTTTGTAGTGGGGATTACTTGACCATACTTCACTATGCTGGTCAGTGTGGGTTTGTTAAGGTGGGGAACAGACATGGGATCATACATGTATGTTTTTTAGTCCAGCTATCTGATGCCACAGCGTATAGCAACTTGTGCACGCTGATATGACAACTGGGCATATTCCAGGTGATTTGGTTATGCAAGGCTGTTCAAACTGGTGAAAATCAGCTTTAACAAAAAAAGGTCCTTCATTATGCAAGGTGATGGAGGCAAAATAGGGGCTTGTTAATAAAAGCAAGAAAAATCACTCATGCACGAATTGTGCCTTTTCAGCATGTATTAGTCAAAAGGAACGCATTTAATTGGCAACAATAGCCATACGTTCCAACCCACATGATGAGATGTCATGCCAAGCGTGACATCATCTTTGCCAGACAAGGCTTATCTTCGTGCTGGTTTTTTTTAAATCACCAATTGGCAGCAGTTTGATACTCACGTTTTGGTAAAATTGCATAAGATTTACCGTATCTTAAAGACAAATAAACAGAGGGAGCTAATGAGTCAACTTTTGCAATAACCCGCCCACCCCCCCCCCTCTGGTGTTAAGGTGGTAACTAACCGGCCTGATAGCTGGCAAGCGTGTCGTTGAGGTAGTACTTGGCGCCCGGGTGGGCAAGCATTTCGCCGGCCAGATCCCGGAAGTCGCACTGGAAGGCCATGCTGTATGTGAGGCACAGGCACACGTTCCAGCTGTGGCGCAGCAGCTTCTTCATGTTGTCGCGATGCGCCGCCGACGGCTCCTCCACCTTCCTGTAGCTGTCGGGAGAACAAGCTATTAAAACTATGAACTCAACTTTTTATTTGACCATGTAAGGCCCACTGAGCGATTAGCTCTCTTTCAGAGGCGATAAACCCGGACCTTGCTGTGAGGCACCATTACTACTTTTGTATTTTACCAGATAAGGTGCACTGAGGTACATAGTTTTGTTTCAGAGGTGACCTAGTCACAATTGAGAGCTCAACGATGTGGATTGTGGAAATTTACAACATCCAAATACTCAGACGCATGTCGATTCTAAATGTGGAGAGAAAAACTGGAAGACCCGGCGAAAAATGCATGTGACACAAAGGGGGAGAGAGACATGCAAACTCCAAATAGGCGTTGGGCAGGGTTGGGATCAAACTCACGACCTGTATACCAGGCGAGGTAGTTAACATCTCGCCAGTGTGGAGTGTTGGTAAGCGTGGAGTTGAGCAGACGGAGAAACCGCAGCAGCAGTAGAAGCAGTCTAGCGTAAAAGGTAATGTCTTAAGCCACTGCTGGCGGAAGGGCCTCCACTAGTGTGAGCTCTGAAGAGCCCCTTTAGAGGGAATTAGGCCTATTCCATGCTAACCAGACGTATCAGGCATCCTGCCAATCGATTCATGTACCCATCACCGCAGGGGATTCGATAAACCTGCGCCAACATTTCAACTACCGCACTGCGAGATCAAATCAAACCGGCGACCTTTAGATTGCCAGTCCCGTGTGCTAACCCTTACCCCACAGCAGACTAGCATAGCTTCCTTCTCAATACAATTATCTGGGCTTATTGAGAGGCATGGCCCAGATAATACAAAAAACAGAGACCATGCAAAAACGTACATATATTTGGCTAAAAAATATTTACAGACAACCTATTAAGAATGTGGGTGAAGACGACACCCGTTTATATTTGTGCCTTTAAGCAATCGGGTTTAGTAGTCAGCAAGTCCTGCGGTGCTGTGAGCACCGATACCATGAGCGAGAAATATAAAATTGGCAAGCATAGTCAACATCTGCCACTTGGATAATTGAGAGGTTCCTGGCACAGTGGAGCCGAAACATGAAACGCCGAATGCACTGCAACGTGAAGCCGGCTAGGTGGCACTGTGGCATAGCAATAAGCGTTTGCATTGCCGGCAGCTTTGACTCGTCGTATACCTCCGGCGCTTACACGTTAGTGTTTGTGAGAAGTCAACAATGCTTGTCTCATGGAGAGATTGGTCTCCGTCATACGACTATAATTTGCACCACCAGCTTAGTACCACCAAGCAAGAAATAAGTCCATGCACGTGGAGACAATTGACTTGTCTAAAAAAATCTGAACTATAGCCGTGATATGTGCCATTACATGCTTTAAGGGCACTCAAAAAAAAGTTTAAATTGCATTGTTATTCACAAGTCGTAAAATTACAAAGATGTATGCATGGCACGTAATTTGTGTGCAGGCAAAGAAGGCACGCCACTTCGTCTTCTGTGTGGCAAAGTGTGAATGAAGGATGCACGTCATTACTTAAATGGTGTCAATGCCTGCCACAAGCACTGACCGATCATCGTGCGACGATGCATTGATTCATCAATTACAATGTCTCGTGCTCACGATACATACGTTGAGTTGTGTGTATGTGAGAATTGACTGAGCAGTATAAATTTTTGGGTTCGGCCAGTGGTGGTTTTATGCCAACATTTGTCATGAACCCTCCACCAACCCTCAAGATTGTCAAGTTTACAAATACATTATTTATATATGGCCCATATATTGAGCACATTTCGACCAATTAAGCTCACCATTGGCTGGTTGGAGACTTTTCATGACTGCATTTAATAGCAACATAAGACTTTGCAATTAAAACTCCTTTGGGCTTAATCAGGTAATGAACTAGGAAGTCGAGTGGGTTGCTTTGGTTGATTCTGTGATAAAAGAATTATTTACAATTAATACAGACTAAACACACCTGGGCATGTTGTTACATTCAGGCTAAACGGGGATAACAATAAAAATGTACACGAAACGGAACGAGAAACAATAAAAACGAGGTGGCAAAAAGAATCCTAGACTCGCAATATCGATCGATCTTTGACAATCCATCGAATAACTATGAGAGCCCCTCATTCCTGCCTTCTGACCGACCGATATGCACCACAGCTGAGGTCTTCATCAAAAACACGTCAACGTTGTAATGTATTCGACAGGGCTGTCGATGGGGTGTGATGAAGGTGGCAGTGCGGGGGGGGGGGGGGGAGTTGGGAGGCAGAGCGAGGGTAGACCTATCCATCCCTCCGTGTGCTCGTGGGAAGCATATGGGTCATCTCACATGTTGACAACGTCCTGGATTATAGGGGACTCTAGGTGGCCCCGGCTCTTGAAGTCATCGAAGAAGCTAAAGTTTCCCTGCTGGACCACCTGGTGGTGAAGCACCTCAGCCCAGTGAGGTTTGTAGCCGTACGCGTCCGCCACCGTCGCCACCTGCGGCACACACACAACCAACGGTGCGCGCACGCCGCGTGCCGGCCAAGCGCAAGGTTCATCACTGCGAGAGGAAACACAAGGGCTGGGGAAGAGTTAGGTGGAGGCGGGGGGGGAAGGAGGTGGGTCGGTGATAAAGGGATGTAATTTCAAGGCAGTGGCGATGGGCAACAACCGTCGCGTAGTTTAATGACGGTGAGCGCAGCTGTGCGAGTAATTTGGCAGACGATGTGCTAGCATTCAAAATTCCTATCCCTTGCATGCGGCAATTAGCACGTACGCACAAATAGTGCGTGGAAAATTTGGCGCATCGCGCAGTTCATTAAAATGCGACAAAATTATGGAAATAAGTATTTCTTTGCATTGTAATTTAGATCTTTTTTTTAAGTCAATGCGACCGGAATACTGCCCAACGACGTTAAGGCATCAGTATTCATTATGCAGGCCATACAGTGGCAATTATTGGTACATTTGGAATGTGCACGGTCCGTTATATTTAGCACGAGGCTACGTGGCACAGAGCACACTTGGGAGGCCCGCAATTGGGTGCCTGCTTAAATAACGAGAGGTCATAGCAACATCATAAACATTACTCCATAGATAACTAATTGAAACATTCGTGAGCATAAAGTACTCAACATCTCGTTCACATGTATTTTACCTCAAATGTAAATATATGCAGAAATCCCCCTCAAAAGCACTACAGCACAACTTTACTTAAAGTAGAAATGGCACACACTGCCTTCAAGTTTACAAAGTCCACATATGCCTCATCACGCCCCCTCATTGACCCCGAGCCCTTTCCTATCTCCCAACCCCCACCCCTCGCTCACCTTGAGCTCTAAGCTTTGTAAGAATTCGCAGCCCCCTGCCTCAAAATTCTATAAACTGTGACAATTCAAGCTCACGATTCCATTAAAATTTGGATTCTTTTATCATTTCAGCGGTAGAATTGTTTTTAAACATTGTCTGTCCTGGAGCCTGATAGCAACGATTGGTGGGAGCGATGGTGCTGCAGTGAGTTTGTGGACCACGGTTATTAATCAGCGGAAACCTGACATCGATTCCCAGCCATCGGTTGGCATCAGTGGCTAGTGGATATCTGAACCGGTCCTGAAGCCTCACAATTCCCCAAGCTGCAATATAATCAGTGTGATAAAGTCGGATCCAACAACCCCCACAACTGACACAGTGTGGGAAAGCTCTTCATCTAGCAGGGCCCTGACAAAGAGGCTATAACTGATAACGTTCAGCTGGATTGTTAACTTTCGATTCGTATGCGCACGACATAATGCTACATGTATTGTGAGCACGAGAGTGCCTCTCCGAACTGTCGAATTTTATTTGGTTGCCTGTGGAGAAGCGGAGCGCAAAAACAAGGTCCAAATTTCTTCCCTTGGGGGTGCATCTCACTCCAGAAGTAAAAACACAGCTCCGTGACATTTTTAAACACGCCGAGTAAAGTGCATGAGTAAACTTTCCCTCTGCAACCCTGGCTGACCGCCCGCTGCACCAGGAATTACGCAAGGAACAGGACTACCGAGAGGTGCTATTTACTCGGGAAAGATTCGTAGAATGTACACAGAGCTCTCGGCAGATTGGCGACAGTGCCGAGCATTCAATGAATGCTACGGTGTGGATTATCGCCTCTAAATCGGGGTCAAAGACGCCGGACCCTGTCTACGCGTAATGTAAACAGAGCTTTCACCCGCGATGCTGAATCAAAAAAGCCCAACTCATAATCCTTCGTGGACAGAGTAAACATTCCAATAATAATAATACACGACGGGATGAATAAATACAAACACATTTGGCAGGACATCAAAGATCCCAGGACATTTTGTCCTTTACAGAGCATGGCCACGTGCTGCGCAGGTCAGTTTAAAGATGTCCAAGCATCAAACCATCTAATCACTGCAACTCATCTCAGATTGCTCGAGAAGTTTAATATCGCTGTAATGACGCGCGAAGGGCAATTGGTCTCGATTATTTTAGCTGCCTAAAACCAGGCACACACCATCTCACACTCTCTGCAAAAGCATCTTTTAAATCTCCATATCACATGCGGCTGTCCCTCGGCTAGATGGGATCCTCCGCGGGCCAACCTGGTAGTACTTGGGCAGCGAGCAGGCGACGCGAGCCAGATCGTCTCCCTGCAGGTTGACGAGTTGCACCTTCTGGCCCGACGCCAGCATGTGCAGCTGCAGGCGCACCAGCTTGGCCAGACGCACGCACGACAAGGCCTGCCGCATGCACGACTCCTGCGAGCCACCGCAACCGCCACCACGAATGGCCACGGCAATGGTGGGGGGGAAAAAAAAATACAATAAAAAAGAATACAAGGGCAAATTTGTGGATATGCGGTGGATTGTGTAACGCTTATAAATATGCGTTTGTCCTCGAAAGCGTGTTTTTTTTTTGTATTAACGTGTGTAATCTTCCGTGACATATGGGTCAGAAAGATTGAAATTAATTAAGGGAATTGAAACAAAAAATGCACGGAGAAGCGTGGAGAGACGCAAGGTTGAAATGACATTGAGAGAGGGGGAGAGGGACGCACAGGTTCATGATGTTCAAACGAAGAAAAAGGTAAGCGGGCTTAGGTATGACACGTTGTTAGAATGGATGGATGATGGCTGATGGTTAAAGTAATAACATTCAACGCCCATTTGAATAGTAGGCATAAATCAACGTCCCTCATTTAACCGGGTGAGCGTTTGAGACACATTTAGCTATTTTTTCAAGAAAAGCCAACATGTTTGTGATTGCGTGGAGACATTTGTTAGCCTTGCTCTGGCTAATTTTCAAATCATCTGTATGCCCGACACAAGACTTGGGAACACAATCGTCGACCCCTGTGGTTTGTACTGCCGTGGATTTGAAGCTCACTTTCAAGTAGCCAACCACCAAAACAGAAAGAGCAGCTGCGAGCATAGAGCCAACATCTCCAAGTTAACTGGCGAAGTGGCAAGCAAGCTAAAAAGCTTTTTTTTTATTATGCAACCACCCTCAATGGTAAACAAACCCATTACTCTGCAGAGTTAATTGCGATGCAGCCGCCACAAAAGGCCAGTCGTACTGACCTTCTTGTAGCTCTCTGCTGCATCCTTAAGAAACGTCAGTACTTGCTCCAGCGTTGATTTCAGCTCTGGTGTCACCTCTAATGGACAGAGATACAAAAGCAGCATTGCAAATTAGGCACCGCAGCGTGACACGGACAGCTCACTTTGAAGTTCCTTCACGCCTTGCGTCATAAACACCTACATGTCTATCCAATCACTGCCGCATCCCACAGGGAAACGCTGCAAGGTTCAAAAAGTGATGAGAAATTTAGTATGCTTAATGGCACTGGGTTACACAGCCGATTTGAGCGCTGGAGACAGAGCATGTTGATGTACAATCACAGGTTGCTTTGCCAACCTCGATACCTCACATTTTATTTACATGCCTCGGTTGAGGGCCCCTCGTGCATAAGGCAACTAGAGCGAGGATATTGTAAAAGCTACCCGAGGAGCTAAGTGAGACTTTGTTCAAGGTTTAGGAGCCAGAAGAAAGGACCGCAGTTTTCTCCGTGACGAGAAACGATTGACGCCTCGGTCTCGTCCACGGGTTTGCCGCACCCATGACTCCACTGAAAGTACAACAAAGCGAGCGAAAGACGCGCTGCTCACCTAAGCTGCAATTTGAAAGATGTTTCTCGCGCAAGTAATAGCTGCAAGGGACAATGCCAAACGACGGGATTCTTGAATGTGTGCGATTACCGCTTTTGCCACCATCTTCAAAAGCCATCATTAGCTTTGTACCAAATGTATCACGTGTGCAATCAGCGATAATAGAGGGACGGTCCGTTTGGAACAAAAAATGGGTAACTTACCAGACATTTGGTGGGTTAGTGACAACGCGTTTCTCATAACAGCTCGCACTCCCTTGAAAGTGTGAAACCAAACTCAGCGGTCCGGCAACATGAGCGATTTAAAAAGGTACGCGCGCGCATCCATTGCAAGCAGTGCATCAGCAACATGGATCGGCCCGAGTACAAAAAAACGGCCTTTTAACCCCTTTCTGTTCCGACGCAACCAGCAGCCTGCACCCGGAGTCCGATACCAATACCTGCCATTCGCCACTAAGTGACGGTGACGTCACCACGGCGCCTGTGCCAGGCCAGGTGCACTTTGAGGCCACTTTGAGGCCGCGTCGCTGGAGCCCACCCGCTCTGCGACAGACGCCACTCACCCCAAGGCTGGGCGGCGATGAGCTTGAGGCGAGTGCGCGCCGCCCCCTCCAGGTTCTCCGCGATCTCTCGGCTCATGCTGAAGCACAGCGCCACCATGTTGTACTTCTCGCTGTCCCCCGGGTGTTGCTGGCGGATGTACTTGAGCAGCGCGGCTTTCAGTCGTCCGTCCTGCGTGGGGGGCAACCGTGGGGCAGGCCGCGACATTACCGTCATGGTACGGTGTGGAAGAAGTTCGACATATATACATACATGGCTACCTGTTTCAGTGTCTGTCTGATAATTTTAGTGTCCCTTCCCCAGAAAGTTGGCAGGGTGGCGCGCAGTGATAATAATTAGGGCACTGGGTGGCGAGATATTAGCTCCCTCGCCTGGGATGCAGGAGGTAGTGGGCTCGACCTGATCCCTGATGCCTGTTGTATAGAGTTTGGGTGTTCTCTTTCACCGTGGTGGCGTGGCTTTTTCTCCAGGTCCTTCGGTTTTTCCCTCTACATTCAGAATAAACGTGGGTTTCAGAGTATTTGGCTGGTATACATATCCACATGATAAGCCACTCCGCTGAGCTATCATTTGTGGCCAGGTCGCTTCTGAAAACAACAGGATACTGTTGTGGGGTGTAATAGTTGACAGTGAACCTGCAATCCAGAGGTCACTCGTTCGATCTCCTGGCATGGTCGTTAAAATAATGGTGCAAGTTTCTTAGGTCCTATGTGCTTCTGTCCACCCAGGGGGTGAAGTGTGGGTATGGGGAGCGGTGGCGCAGCGGTTAGCATGCTGCGCTCCGAAACTGGCAACCCAAGTTCGATTCCTGCTCACGACCAACATCAGTTAGGATTATTTGAACCGGTCCTGGGCCTCCTCTCCTAGCTCGACTCAGCCTCAAATGAGTACCTGGTGCGGTGTGTAAACATCGCCGCGGGGGATCATTGTCTTTGAAGTGTGGGTACCCTCACCAGTCTCAAAACGCCTGACCGGTGTGGAAATAGGCACTCGAAATTCAATAAATCTAGGAGCAAACCTGGAAAAGCAGTTGCGAGTAGCAACATCATCAATACCAGCTCACATCACACGCCTCACCAAAGAGAAGCAGTTCCAGCCATCACATTAGGAGTGAGTTAATTAAATGTTTGGCCAAATATAACAGGCTATTTTTTTAAGCTGATAATTTTGTATGGCCCGCGAATGATGTTATAAATATCCAAATGGCCCTTGGCAGAAAAAAAGGTTCCGCACCCCTGCCCTAGAGCCTCCCTCTGATGGAGGAATCTCCTCCAACAGTGGTCTAACCAGATATTGCAGGGCCGGTACCTTTACATCTACGAACAGCAATTTTTACACCAACCGAAGGTTTTTTTTATGCAATCAACATCATCAGCCATGATATAACCACCACAGTTTTACGCATTGCGATTATAGGGTGGCATTGATGTCGCTGCTCTTACAAACAAGCGCTTTTAAGGAAAATTAGCACCAGGCAAGAGTGCCAGCATGTGCACACAACTAAAAATTACTCCTACGTAATTTCACTCACCTGCCTGCTCGAAATGGTCAAATCATTAGTGTCATCACTGCCATAATTATTATCCACGTCGCTTGCAGCCAGCAGCCGAAAGCCTGCACCGAAGGCAAATGCTTGACCTTTGCGATATCACGCACATGAAAACTCGGCACATATGAACGATCACTTTTATAAATAATAACACGCACCATGGCTACAATGTGACCCGGAAACAGCTGCTGGCGGCTTGCATAAAGGACAAAGATTGCAGTGTACAGTAACTGACACGAACAATAAGTAAACAAAACAAATCACGGTTCTGCAGACATCTGAACAATGCGCGTCTTGGGAGAGAATGAGCAGAAACAATCAGTTCAGATTGTGCCTCCGTGGGATATAAATTTGCATTGAATATAATGAATAAATACAATCACAGGCATAATATGCAATTCTCCACCGATGTATCATGTATTGTCTACTCATGGACAATTATATGGCAGCCATAAATCTGAGGAAGCCGTACCTCCACGCAGACAACACTTTTCTGTGTGTGTATTGCAGAAAATACCCGATGACAAAACAACCCCGAATGCGCTTGTTCTAAATCACATCTTGGAAGCTAAGATTCAGCTTGGATAGCGGTTGGGTGGGCAACGACTATGTGTAGTTGGCTTTTATGGTGTAACATCGTCAGGGCAGTATACAGCAAAATCCATTGTTGTATTGTACAATGTATTGTTGTACAATCCATTGTTGTATTGTACAATCCATTGTACAATACAATGTATTGTACAATCCATTGTTGTATTGTACAATCCATTGTACAATACAATGTATTGTACAATGTATTGTACAATGTATTGTACAATCCATTGTTGTATTGTACAATGTATTGTACAATCCATTGTTGTATTGTAAAATGTATTGTACAATCAATTGCTGTATTGTAAAATGTATTTTGTACAATTAATTGTTGTATTGTACAACAGTGGATTTGGGTCTCAAAACGCCAACGGTCCCCACCTTTACCAACCCACAGTGACCAGCGTGGTGAAGTACGGCCAAATAACTCCCACAACCCGCACAGCTTGGGGAAGGGCCCTCATCCAGCAGAGGATTTCCAAGAGGCTTGCACATGTGCACTCTGAAGTAAAGAAACGTTTCTTGAGGAGGGTTTCATTCGCGTACATCAGTAGTACTTTTGGTAGATTGATATACATAAAGCACTGAAGCATTAAATAAAAGTCTTTTTTTTTCTTCCGTTTGACATACAATATATTTCAGGAGATTTTAAATTACCATAATTCTGTAAAGTGACAGAACGGGCACTTCCTAGTCCTACCCCCGGTGCGGTGTGTGCGTTGAAACAGCGCGCACGTCACATGCGACGCGCATTCCGCGCACACTCACGGAGGTGCCTTTCTTTCGGAGCAGCAGCTCAAACTGGTGATTTTGGTTGAGGATGTCGAGGATGTAGGTCATCTCCGTGTAGCGTCCTATCTCCACCAGCAGCCGCACCTATCAGTTGCATCGGAGAAGAAGAAGGAGGGGGCACAGCAGGGCATTGAAAGATAAAGATTCCTCCCCTCCCCCCCGTACAGACTCAACAGGAATGTTGGGGGCAAGCACCGTTTGCGAGCACCTATGGTAGGTTGGCATCGCACACGATGGGGGTGGTTCAGATAATCTTCACCAATTGTTGGCCATGAGCAGAAAACAAGCTCGGGTTGCCGGGTTCGGCGTGAATCGCGCTAACCACTATGCGCTTCTCCTCCCCACAGGGCTTTCACATCCGCGCATGCACGCACGCACGCACAAGAACGCGCCTCGGATTAGCATCTGGCAGAACGCCACTGCAGATTAACGTTTGTTTTTCATGCTGCAAGGAAGTCCTGGCCAAATAAACATTTCCAAGGCTTCCTTGGTCAGTGCTGGAATAAATTTAGAAAAAAAAAAACAATGACAGTTTTGTAGGCGTCCACAGTACATCCTAAAATCAATTTAACAAAACGGTCATGCAAAAAGTGAGCAAAACCATCTTACGGAGGGTCTGTATAACGTGTCTTTTCCCCCCACAAATTGGGTGCAAAAGAAGTGGATTTACTAACTGAAAGCGCGAAGAATGAGAGAAGCTTAACCAAATTATGGCACTCAAACAGAGGGATCCAAACATCAAAGAGAAATAATTATTCCGGGTGCTGCCATGGGCAGAAGAGGACAAACATAGGCAGAAAATTCTTTACTTTCATCATCAAATAAAAACGGTACATTTCATAACTTAAGACGACTATATTCTGTGACGTGGCCTGACCAAAAAATGCATATATTACGACTAATATTGGCTGCAAATACCTACTCGTTGCAGTAAACTACTCTACTTATCCAATAAATGTTTTTATTATTTTTAACACGTAGGCTTTCGCGACCAATATCCATAAGAGGTTTTTTTTTTGGGTTAGCTCGTGTAAATCAAAAATGTGTTGTTAAAACCTGCCACCACCCGACACAGCCAACTAGTAAGGGTTGTCACGTAAACAGAACGTGCCAATTTGTCACTAGTACAGCACTAAGCGGTGTGTTGGAGAGCCAAGCCACAACATTTACAATCCGAGTCCGATGTTTCGCCAGTAATTACAACCAGCTTCATCAGGCGACAGCCAGATTTGTGGAGGAGTCCACCTGTTTCGTTTATATATTTTAGCGATCTAACCCAAAAAAAACCTCTACTTATAATTTTTCTAGGATTTACATTTTTGGAAATATCTGTCTTCTTGATCTGCTCTGAAGAAGAGTAATGCCCAATAAAGAAGATTGTGTATATAGTGTATTAAACTAATTAAACGAATGCTCAATAACAATATTAATATTTGATCGTTTATCATTATTATAGTGTGGCAAATACTCAGAAGAAGATGATTACTCCGGTTCTAGCTTTGGATTTGCTGCACTGGCTCCCGGTTTGTTTACAAGGTTTCTGAATGGTCTCGCTCTCTCTCATCCGACATAGGGCCACCTACGAGCTCAAAGTGCCCCCAAAACGTCCACTTAATAAGACAAGACCCAAAGTCGGTGGGTGTTCCTTGGAGTGACGTTGGACAGGAGCCTGACGCCGCACCGTTCTCAGCTCGAGGAGACGGCTGCCACGTTGCACTTGCGGAACTGTCCGCTGGCCCGGCTGGCTGGCCTGTCTCTGTGCTACTCTGCAGCGGAATAACTGTGCACCCATATGGACTCGATCAGCGTACACCAAATTGGTATACACTCAGCTGAATGTCACTGTGAGAACCATCTCGGGTGCAATAAGGACAACCCCACTACCATGGCTGCCTGTGCTGTGCAACATCCCCCCGCCAAAAAATTTGCCACCAATATGCTGGACAAAGTTACATGCGGCACCGGAGTTTCCCCTTCACGTCGACATTTTCAAGCCACCACCTGTGCGCCTGAAGTCCCGACACCCAGTGCGGGAAATACAACAGTCCGAACAGTGGAGTATGTGGGATACCCCACACTGCCTGGAGCGACGATTGGAGAGCCGTGAAAGTGCCGAACAAGGACCTCGTAGGCGATCAATCCGTCCAGATGCCTGGCTTTGACCTCCTAAGGCATCAATGGGTGCAGTTAAAGCCCTTCCGGTGTGACCAGGGAATATGTGCTGCTTCCGAACCATCAATGGGGCCAACGTGACAGCCCAGTGTGTGAATGCGGGGAGCAGGAGACCATGGTGCACATCGTCTTCGGCTGTAAAGTGCGTCGGGGTATGGCGGACAGACTGGTTGCCCGGCAAGTTGGAGGAGGAGGAGGCTGCAAAGTGGCTCTGCGGCTATGTGGGCGGACATCCACTCAAAGAACATTTATTCATCTGCATGTGTATATATTTCGTCAATGTATCGGGTGTTTTGACTGCGTGAAGTCGCGTGAAATAGCATTAGCTGAATACAAAAAAATTAGACAAATTCTGCAGCCTGTAAGTGCTAGGTCATTCACTCCATTGACAAACCGTAGGACTAGTAAGGGTGCTTTGCACTAATTGTGCATCAAGGTCGAGATAACATTGAAATGGCAGTGCTGAGAATGCATTACCCACCCGCAGTATGATTCGCCAATCCAGTGTCCGGAATTTAAATTACGCATAAATAAATGTTTGCTTGAAAGGGCCATTAATAATGCTTAAATTGGCAGCAATGAGCACTGTGTCATGCAGACAATTTTAATTAATTAATATTTGCGTTTTATTGATGGCGGGTGTTTCACAGAGTATGGTTGGTTTATTTAGCACTTTGTAAGGTACTGATTGTTAATGCTTGACTACATTGTAAAACAATCACAAAGCTGCTTTATGCACTGCTTTGTTTATACGGGAATAAGTAAAGTTTAAATATATTTATTTGAATCCCTATCTCCCACTGCAAAAGTGACTACTGGTCTCATTGGCTCTTCATCATCCATTGATAAATCCACTGCTGGATGAAGGCTCGGACCCACCATGAGGTTGTACTCCTCAGCAGGCACCAGGCAGTGATGGGTGAGATGCTTGGCCACCCGAAGGACCTCCACGATGCCCTCCATGTGGCACGCGATGGTGAAGCACTCGTGGGCCAGCAGCAAGAGCTCCACACAAGCTGACATGTTGCCGCCTGCTCATGGTGCACGCGCAAACATCCACACCGATCCAGCAAAGGTTCAGAAAAAACGCAAGTGCGCGTGCACACACAGACGCACCTTTCAAAGGTGTTTTTATTGATTAATTCTCAACCATAGCTGTTATATGCCATGGGTGGGGGGGGGGGGAACCTTAATTTCACACGGCCAGCGGCCATGCATGGCCCGACTGCTTCGAAGCGGGCCCGCAAACGATATTTGTCACTGCGAGTGAGCCAACTCTGCGTGCCTACTTGGGAAGCGTGATCCGACATCGACGTGTTTGAGAGGACAGCAGGTACTGCCACCGCAGCATTGCGGGTAAAGGTGAGCCCTAATTATTGTTTGCGTTATTCTCAACGATGCGACTTGCCAAAAAGGTATTTACAAGTCCTATTTTGGCCCTCAATAACGTAAAGGTCCCCCCCCACCCGTTTTAAACGACTCCAACGGCAAATTACACGTGGCCCACCCCGCGGCGAGCCTCTGTGTCCCGCGCACGGCTCGCGATTTTGGTTATCAGCGGGCAAGCACTCCATCAGACTGTGCAATTCATTCCCTGCCAGCCCCCTGTTCGGCCACCGGGGAAATTGTAATGCACTTAATAAGACACGAGGTCAACCAATTTCCATCGCGTAATATGCTAGGAGCTGCGCAACCATTAAAACGCCTCTCCGCCCGAGTACAGCAAACGGCGAAACGGTCGCAACGCAAACATTGCTCATTAGAAATCGATGATGGGGCATGGCAGGAGCAGACATTCACACCCCTCGGCGCAAGTCAATGGCGAGCAGAGCCTTCTTGGATTCACGAATATCACTTGGGCTTAACTGCTTTCATGCAACGTGTGCGCACACAAAAACTCCTCACCTCCGGGAATTCACGGGAACATTTTTTGTTTTTTTGGGTGCAACACCACTGACATTTATCATTTCCAGAAGCCAACCGGCATGGTCCAATTCACCGTGCCACTTTCACGGGTAATTGATGTGGCAGATGTGGCAGAGAGCCAAAAATAACAAGCAACACGACAAAGTTGCATCATTGTAGAATGTCAAGCAATCCCGAGGACTGCAGCATGCAAACTGAACAGCATTACAAAAAAGATGTGCGCTCATGTAATCGCGTAAATATGGTCAAAAATTGTATGGCAGTTAGACCGAATCACCCGGAATATGCCCAACCTCATCACATCCTGGAAGCTGGACGGAGCACCATGTGTAACATGTTATGCTGTGAGGCTATGTTGTGGGCAGCACACAGCAATGCAACAACATTAAATGTTGTACAGTACTTATATGTTACCGGGTTTAGGCTTCCATATCACCCAACCCACACTGACCAGCGTGGTGAAGTACGGTCAAAATAACGCCCACGACCCGCACGGCTTGGGGAGGCCCTAATCCAGGAATAGATTGGCACAGGGATGTCCATATACTCTCCATGCGTGAACATATAAATACAGTAACACAAGAAATCTTGCCACACCGCTTCTGCAGGCCACCATGTCACCCTGCAGCCATATGACAACCTGTTTGCGCACGTCAGTCAACCGTCGAAGCACTACGCAAGCTCAAACCTGCTTAGCTTCTGAGATTTTACGACATCGGGTGCCCTGCAAGCGATGCCGGTGAACAGGTCTCGACAGAAAACACCCCCAACACCCCCCCCCCCCCCCCGCACGATTCTCAACCACACGTCCGCCGTGCGCGTCATTATACAGAGCGTGCAAAACAGCCACCGCACCGCGCACCTGGCGCAAAGGTTTCTGCGTCCAGACTTTAGGGGTCGGGGTGAGTTCAAACGGTCAGGGGGGGGTCTCTCACCCCCGAGCTTGGCAGAGGCAGCCATGAGTTTCATTCCGAGTGTCGGCGGGTCAGCGCACAGCTTGAGCAACTGCAGGAAGCCTTGCTTGCCCTCCTCCGACCGGTAGACTGGGCGCGTCGTTGATTCTTTCCCTGTGGTCAGCGCAAGATGAGAAATGACGTTTGTTTGGGGAAGCGTTTAAGCAGTTCGATCTGTACACAATAGACTCTCTCTCTCTCTCTCCCCGATGCATTTTCTGCAACCGGAAAACACATCGGAGAGCCGCACACAGCACAACCGCGAAAACCTATGCTGCCGTGTTAAAGAGACGTGGCCTGAGATTCAGCTGACGTTGCAGTTTTGCGGGTGTTGTGCTATGCTCACTGGCTCGGTGTGCTATGAGCAATGTATGATTTTGAAATTGTTATACAATGTCATCCTGAATATATAACGCATCCGTGACCACAACCCAATAAACCATACACTGAGGAATGCGTGTGCATTATGATAACATGGGGCAAGGGAGGAATTACATTTTTTTAGGGGTGAGGAAGTTTCGGGAGAAAGTATTGGGGGGGGGGGGGGGGGTGGAAGAGAATTTCTGCACTGAATACGGTATTTGTTGGGTGGATACAATCAGTCACAGACAGAGGATAGGAACGTCTTAAGCCTGCATTCAGTATAATTGGCAATTGTGTATGTATATGTATTATAGATATATCATCTGGCTTAGGAGACACGTTACCTATTTATAACGGCACTTTTTAACAAGCCATTTTAATTATTTGGTTATTTCGGTAAAGTCACGTACATAGAATAAACATAATAACAAAAATAAAGTGATTAAAATAATAAAAGAAAAATAATAAACAAAAAAACACCCATTTAGACTGTAGCCTGGTTCTTAATCGGAGTGAGTGTACTGGCAATCTATAATGTAGACTGGTTATTAAGTTTGGTGAGTCTACTAGTAGTCAATAATGAAGACTGTAGCAATGGTTATAAAGCTGTGTGAGTGAACTGGCAGTCTATAATGTAGACTGTAGCCTGGTTCTTAGCCTCAGTGAGTGTACTGGCAGCCTAATGTAGACATGTAGCCTGGTTTTTAAGCTGGTGAACTTATTGGCAGTCTGTAATGTAGACTGTAGCCAGGTTCTTAACCTGAGTGAGCGTACTGGGTAAGACTGCCTGAGAGAGACAGCCAGTACACTCACCGAGGTTAGGAACCAGGCTACAGTCTATATTATAGACTGCCAGTACACTCACCCAGCTTAACAACCATTGCTACAGTCTACATTATAGATTGCCAGTACACTGACTCCGATTAAGAACCAGGCAACAGTCTACATGTGTTTTGTATTAATACAATTTTATTATTTGTATTAACTTTTTTATAATTATTTTTCTATCCACGTGACTTTACCGAAAGAACAAAAGAATATGAATTCCTGCAGTCACGAAAGTTTTAAGTCAAAATTTAAGCCATTTAAATTATATGGGACCAATGAGGGGTAAACTGGACAGGCTAAATAAAGATTCTGATTAACAAGAATCATTCAACATATTCATTGCAGTTACATTTTTTTATAATCTAGACACAACTGGTGTGTTAATACAGCACGCGAATGCATGAGCAACTCAAGAGTGCACTTATTGAGCTTGTTTTGGGGATGGCCGCGTTGATGTCTGCAAGAAATGAGAATTACATTGATGGAGCGGAGGATGATAAATCCGCAGCAAATCAGTCTGTCAGAATTAATGAGCCACAATGGAAGGGGAGGGGGAAGGTTAACTTAAAGAAAACATAACTCATACCAACCACCCACAGACTAAATGTTCATTTGGACCATGTAATTCAAATGGAAACGTGACCTTCAGTCACTATAATGCACACTATGGTGTGTCACAAATACGTCACGTTAAAATGCAATTCAACAAATAAAAGGAAATAGCCATGATGTTTTAAACAACGAAATCAAGCTACAAGATCCGACCACGTCCTTCCAGTGCTCGCCGAGTTGTATTGGCTTCAGGTTGCCAAACATTACAACACACAAAGTGTTTGCCACACATGAACCACAATAGCTCGCGCTGATCTCGTCAAGGAGCATAAACCATTACGCAAACTCCAGTCATCGTTGCAGCAGCAGCAGCTTTTGGCTAACCATCGGACAAAGACAGTCACTGCATCGCGTTGTTTCATATGCGCTTCTGCGGCCATCTGGAATTCTCTTCCTTCCGATATCAGGAAGCCACTGGTGCCATGCTAGATTTTTTTAATCTAGATTTAAAACTAATTTCCTTAAAACTTATTTTTGCGTTTAGTTTTTTGGCCTTCCCCCGCACCTCCGATTAGCACGGTTGGCTACGTGCGAAAGAAGTTCAACGTAAATACAAAAAAACATAAGCGAATCACAAAAACATTCACCAGGACTGTCCAAGGGCAGGAAGGATCGCTCGATGAGGCCAGCGAGGAGAGTGGCGATGGTTTCTGCCGGAACGCGCCGGGTGTCGGCCAGCATACGCGCGCGCGCCACTCGGTCCGGGCGCTCCGAGCTCAGGACATCGTGGATCAGAGCCTCTCCGTCTCCGCTCAGCACGGACGCAAAGTCCCGGCCCAGGTCCTGAAGCCCCACGGTGGGCAAGGTGGCAATGTGGCATCGTCAACAACGGCGAGATGGCGGTACAGCATATCGGCTCGTGAGCATTAGATCGCTTCTTCCCACATGCCAAACAAACACTTATTCTCAATGAAACTCGCTAACCATAGCAATGCAGGACCTCGTGTTAAAGAAAACAAATGTTGACACTCCATGAGGATTTTCCAGATAAGTCAATGGATGCATTCATGTTTCGACATTTAAACCTGAAAAACTTTAGTTACTGCTTATCCACAGTCAAGTTTTACAGTAATGAGACCGATTAGGTTTTGACAACCATCGTTATCATCCCTGATAAAAAAATATAGATGCAAACACTTTGTCAAATTCAGACTTTTTTTAAATTGTTTTTTTTGAAGTGCCACATTGTTAAATGTTGTCTCCACCTACACATCAATCTCACCTTCCATAGTTTTGCTCCAAAGGGCACCTTGTCAATATTGTTCACTACTTTTACTGAGGCCTTGCCGCCTCTATCACCATGACCAATGTACACTCTGAAATTGTACTCTCCATAATTTTGGCCACTAAAGAAAATGCCCATCTGCCTACAGGTTCATTCAAAGCGCAGTGTTTTTCAATTAACACACTCTCCGACGAAGGAGCTTCACTACTTGGAGCCACGACTGTTTGACCTTTGCAAATTACAAAAGCCGCCTGCAGTCTTATTATTTCAGTGATGGGCTCCCACACCCATGGCCATTATCTTTACACGTCTCGTCAGGTCACCAATACGGTGAGAGCTACTCAAAGTCAAAGTGATTTCCTGCTCAAATGAGCATTGAGACAGCACTCACTCTGTTTACAGCCCCTGAGCCAGTGCTGGAAATTAGGCATACCTACGGCAGGGGTTGAGACTATCCATATGACAACTACTGGTACTTGTTTTATCTACCCCATGAGGTATGATGGGCCGAATAAACCGCCAACCAGGATGTTAACTTGCAGACTCTTGTGAGCTGCTGGCCCTACTGCTGAGCCGCCCGGCCAGATAAGAACGTGAGTAGGTTAACATCTTGCCACCGTGGTGCCTCTAGTCCGATGGAAACAATGGCATTTGCCACGGTAATGTGGAATTTCCATTGCTGGCTCAGGGGATGCCGAAAGGAGATGTTTGTTTGAGTATGGAAATTTCTTACACTTTTGATTCATGCAAGAATTGTAACATAATTGTAATACGCTAATAACTCGAACGATAATGTGCTCAAATGCAGTACAGAACTGCGTACATGCCAACGACAGATATGATTATGGGTATACCAAAAGGGAGGTCGAGTGACGGCGTAGTTGCGCGTGCACTGCACTCTAAACCTGCAACCTGGGTTTGACTCCAGGCCATGGCCAACGTAACTGGCGAGCGATATCTGAACCAGCTTAGGGGCCACCCCTTCGCCAACCTGCACCCCTGCACCAACCGGTGTGGTGAAGCATGATTAAACAACTCCCACGACCAGACAAGGCATACAGAGGCCTTCATCCAGCAGTGGATTGACATTTTATTTGAAGCGAGTCATTTTTCCAACTTTGACTTTTTGCAAAGAATCGAAGGATCGAGTTATTAATTGCACGCGGCGTAGTTCAGGATCGTAGAGGCGCGTAACAGGAAACGACCGAAGGCACGGACAAGCTTCCCTCGCACCGCACCTTTGCCAGCTCGTGCGCGTTGAGCACCTGGCGGCAGAACTGCCCGCCGAAGGTGCACGCGCCCGCCAGCGCAGAGATCGCCCTCGCCACCTCGTTCTCTTCCTCCGGGGGGGCCAACACAAACGAGCTGGTACTCGACACTGCGCAGAGGGAAGGGCGGCGCCACGGTTAGAACGCGACGGCTGAAAACCCGTCCGCCGCACGCTGCAACCGCAATTCGTTTCTTTAGAACTGCTCTTTGTGTTTAAGAAGAGCGTGGTGCTGACAACTCGCCGCCTCGTGTGCTGTGCCAGCCCTCATAGGGTGCTGCACGCCACCAGCACTTGCCCCAAAAGTCTGTTAAGGCTACACGGGGGATATTTGTCTTTGTGTGCTGGGAGACGATTGCATTATGAGAGGGGTATGGGTGCATATTTGGTGGAGTCATTGTTCCATCATCGCATCTCCGATTCGCACAGTTGGCTACGTACGTTGTGAAAGAAATTCAACATACATACAACCTCCACATCGTAAGACAGTGGTTAATTATTAAGGCAATTATTTCCCCCTGAACTGCGACTGCTTTTAAAGGATGTGTATACTTGCTGACCAGCCCCCTTAGTGGACATCTGTGAAAAAGAGCTCATCGGATTACTCCAGTCTAAATAAAGATTTTAATTCTGATTCACGGTATCAATTGAGTGTTGTTTTGATGTTTAGGTTGTGCCACAAGTACTGCTTGTGCATTTCTTGAGTGGATTCAGTCTAAAACAAATGACTTATTCGCGGCAAGACACCATCTGTCTCACTGCAGACTCCACACCAATATTAAACAATCTCTAGAGTATGCTATTGCCCACTGATATTTACATGCTCATTGATATTCAGAGCTAGCGCATCTCATTGCATTCAAGATCTTTGTAAGCCCATTAACCTCACCCTGCCATCCGTACTGCACGGGTGTGTGTACATGCAAAACTACAGTATTAATCATGCAAATCAACTTGAATATATAAACTAGACGTGTTTCCCACCGCCCCCAACCAAATTGATCCTTCACAGCAATTTACACATGTAAAAAAAAATACTGGTGAAAAATATTTGTTGACACACCCAGAATGGAAAGTGTTGAAAACTGAAACTACTGTTGTAGCTGAATTTGAGAAAGAGGAGGAGGGAGAGGGAAGGAGGGGAGGAAAGGACCTTAAGACGCCACCGAAGTTAAATCGGGATGCCAGTTCTCACCGCTCAAGCTCCGATGCCGAGCAGTGGGAGTGTCAACGTCGCTTGTGAGGATGCTCAGGATGTCCGTGGGCAGGCTTTCGACACTCTCCTCCCCCCGGGCCAGCGCAAGGCAGCCCATGGCCAATCGTACATCGAAGCAGCTGAAGCCAAAGTAGCGGCACACGCGGACGGCCTCCGAAATCTTATTCGCGTCCAACGACTGGTTCACCAACGTCCGCAGGGCTTGGGTCTCGCGCACGTCCAGCACGGTGGGGTCTTTCTCCAAGTTCACCGGCTCATCCTGCGATCGCACGATGCTCTCCGACAAGGAGGGCAGCCTCTTGAGGGATAGCTGGAGTGGCTCATTGAGGAGAGGGTGGTCTGAGAAACAGAACTTCGCGATGGTTTGGCTCAAGCCCAGTACGTCTGCCTCCAGGTTATGCTCGATTCTGTGCCTGCTTAATGTTGGACGAAGGCTTCTGCCCGTGGACAGAAGCAGCCGGATTTTGTGAAACCAACACCTTTTCTCCGTTGCTTCCAACTCCTTGGCACGCGCCGTCTTGTCGCTGCCGAGCCAGTGGCCGGACAGTGTGAGCAAGCAGAGCTCCTCGTAGACAAGCTCCGTAGCGGTCCCAGTTCTGCTGTGGGCGCCCGGCGTTTTGCTGCCCGACTCTGCATGCCACTTGGAAAGCTCCGATGCCTGCGCTTTGAAAAACTCTGCGGCCTTTCGGGGGGACATTGTTACGTCCTCGAAGGTGCTGTGGCAGCGCTTCCAAAAGTAGACCCTCGCCTTCGGCTCCTGCCACTGGCTTTTGTCCTTCATGGTGCCGATGGAATGAATGAGCTGTAATGAAAGGCAAAATAGACGAACTTTTTAAGAGCGTTTCCCTTTTGAAAACAGTTTGGTAAAATGCATGAAAAGTGTAATGTATTTTTTTTTTCAAGTAAAACCAAAAATTGGTTGCAACTTAACTACAGATCAACCATCGGACACTTCAAACCTATTTTGCTAGTGCGACCGGTAACTTTGCAAAGCAGCTGACATTTTTGTTAAGTGCTTCTTGAATCATATTTGGAGCAAATCTTTCAAATGTTTAAAACAAGTATCACAACTCGCAATTAGTTACTCTGGGGTTATAGTTCGTCCAGGCATGATGCCAATTTTCAGCTCTACCCTCCTCCCGCCACGCGATTGAATCGGGAAGCTCTGCGCGCCGCACCACTCGGCCACGCCACCGACCCCATCGGCATCTCGCGCCATTCTCCGATGTTCGGGAGGGAGCGCCCACCTCGTTAACGACCATGTCGCCGACGGGAAGGCTCACGAGGGCGGCCACCTCCTTGGCCTGCGTGAAGAGCCCCCTGTCCTGCAGGCTCGCGGTGATGCGCACGCAGTCGGCTCTCAGGGCCTCGGCGCTGAACTCCGCCAGCACCGATGGCGCAACGCAAACCCCCGAGCCGCGCAGGATCTCCAGCAGCGCGCTCAGCGCCGTGAAGTCGTGCACTGCGGGGGGGGGGAGTGGCAGGGCGTGCCTGTTCGTCACCTCGTTCCCTTCTGAACGGCTCCCTTTCAACGGGAGGGTTGAAAGCGTTCACGTGCACCGTTGAGATGCCGGAGGCAGAGCAGGATGAGTAGCGGGAGATTTGAGGGTGAGAGATGGTGGGATGTGGTGAAACGAGATGTGAAGAGAGTGGGCAGCTGCCAATTTGGGGGATCTGCCCTCCGAGACGTTTTGCTTTATGCTAGAGCACAATATGAATGCAAGTTCATTCATTCATATGATGAGAGAAGAGGCGGATAGTTAAAGTGTATGGAAAAAGAAAATCCGACCAGCAAACCCCATGCACTTAAGGGTTTAGAAGAGACAGTACATAGCAATGGTGTCGCTGGGAGTGGAAGTATCCAAGACAGCCAAAACATCAATCTATCTCTTATTTAGAAAAGTTTTGAGTCTATGGGGGTGGTGGGTTAGGGGTGAGGAAGATGAGCTGGCCGAGAGAAGACAATGACAGCTGTGTAAAGCATATGGCACATACCAGTGGACTTCAGGATGCGCTGCGACTTGGACAGCAGGCGAAAGAGGCGGTGAAGTTGATAGGGTGTGTCGCTGCGCTCAATGAGCAGCAGCAGGAGCATGGAGGCCTGGGTCTCCAGCCACTCCACGGAGACCCCCTCGTTGTCCCCGTGCGGGCACAACACCTTCAGCTGCGCACATACGAAACGAAAGATTCCCCCGTGTAACTTTCAAGAGACTGTTGGGGCAAGTGCTGTTGATGAGCACCTATGAAGGCCGGGAAAGCGCACATGGGGGCAGTATGGGCTAGCACCATGACCGTCTGGCTGCCTTTTGCCTTTCAAGTGCTGCTGTTTACACACTGCACCAAGCTGACTTAATCTAGTCGAGGTAGAGGACTAGTTTCGTTAGTGACATTATCCATGGTCAGGAATCTAACTCAGGCCGCCAGGTTCGTAGCGCAGTGCGCGAACCACTACGCTGCCGCTTCTCGCGCTCACATATGCGTGTCCAGGTACACAACGGGTGAGATGGTTTCAACATGGTCATCAACAATTGCACTTGTACAGCGCGTTTTGTTAGTCCACCGCTGGAGGATGGCCTCCCCCACGTCGCAGGCTGTGAGAGGTTATATGACCATACTTAACCACGGTGGTCAGTACAGGCTGGTGAAGGTGAAAAGCACGGAAATGGATTTAGCTGCACTGACTTCTTTTGACAATGTAGCATCGCAGCAGCAGCCTACTTGTCTGTTTCATGCGTGGTAGTTGCCCATTCGAGCACTCTCCGGGTGGTTTAACCCTGTACAGCTTCAGAGATATTATTGGATGGGGCTTATTACAAGAGATTTGGCGGCAATGGGCCACTGATGGAGACATACAAAACACATCACAGGGTTCATTATTCACAAAAAATCTGACTCAGTCCTGTGTTTTAACAATTCATAAATCAATGCTTTAGAAAGGAAATAACACCATTTAAAGGGGCTATTGTTTGGCTTAAAAGATCTACTGAAGAGACACCAAAAGTGTTCCTGCTCCGCGTCATCTTTCACGGTCTTTCTGCGATGTCAATTACATTGTTTGGGATGCCATACGCGAATAAGTGGCAACATTTGGCAACTTGGTGGAAAATAACTGCAATTATGCTTGGAAACAATTTTCGTCATCAACTCCTTTACCATACATTGAGGCTCACGACATTGGAGGAATGTACATTAGAAAAGAAATAAGGGTTTTTATAACAAAAAATAAATGGTAGCACCCACATCATCCAGGTCCCATATGAATTCCTGGAGCTTCAGTTTGGCGCCGCTGTAGTCCTTCTGCTCCATGCAGAGCTCAAACATATGCAGCAAATGCTGGAAGGGACACTTCTGCAGGGAGAGAAAAACACCACTCATGAGTTGCTCATGAGTTCAAATGTATATTGGAAAAATGCATTTCTAAAGGCTGTGGAGAGGTAATTAACTGACTCTATGGCTCGGGAACTCATCTGAACCCAAGCTATGCCTCAATACATATAAATATTTGTATTATTCATTCAGACATGCCTTTTATATACATCCCTTGCCCCACAAATTACTTTTCTTTATTTACCACGCTTAGGGGTCATTGATAAATCCCCACGCACACTTCACGCGTACGGAGTGAACCCAGAGAGGGCTACACTTGAGCGGCAGCAGGGACGCGTCACGGCTGTACCGGCAGAAAGAGCTGGAAACCGCTAATGAGGACGTGAGTCAGCCGTCGCCCCAGGCAGTCCTGCACAAGGCCCGAAAGCGCACAGGGTCCCCACACCGCGGCCATCTCCTGCCCCGGTCCTTCCTCGGGCTGCCCTTCCGCCGCATCCCAGGCTTGGGCCCACGCTGAGCGGGCACCGGGGTCAGCTGCGGACGCGGCGATCCACGCGCACAGGCAGCGCACGGGCTGCGCATCCTGCGAGACATGCGGCGGGATCGTCAGGTGACAGCGTGTCTGTCTGTGGGCCAGGGACGCAGCCACTGTGGGCGTCAGTGGGCGTCGTGGCTATCTGGACACTGCCAAAATGTATATATTGTTTAATCAGTTGCTGAGCCCCAAGGAACAACATTAACTCCCGGCAACCATTCGATCGGAGGACAACCTCCCCCCCCACCTCCAACTAACAAAGTGTGGCTCTGAGATCCAGGCTAACTAACAAGTCAACATCGTTGCCTCGTCTGGTTTTACTTTCGAGGTCGTGCCGCGTGCTCGTCGATAAGATGTTATGCCTCGGCTGGTATGTAGGAGGTCGTGGGATCGATCCCGACTCTGATGCCTGCTGTATATTTGGAGTTTGCGTGTCTCTCTCTCTCTCTCTCCCTGTGGTGGCATGGATTTTTTTCTCCGGGTCCTCCGGTGTTTCCTTCCACATTTGGAAACATGCGCTTAGAGTATTTGGTTGCTATAAATTTCCACCTGATAAGCCACTTCATGGAGCTATCATTTGTCGCTTCTAAAAAAAGAGCTATATAGCTCAGTGGGGCCTTACCTGGTAAAATAGAAAATTGTTACAAAAAAAGAATATGATCTTAAAAGTGCGCATTTACAAGGGCACATTTTTGCAGCAGCGGAATACTAAGCAGCATCAGCGATAACAACTGAACGGAATTATGAAGAAATAGGCTGATGCGTAAAGACAGTTTCAATTTTTTTTTTAAACCACACATCCAGCCTCCTTAACTCATGCCAGCTCACTGCATAACCTTGGAATTATGAGCAGATGAGCATCCTAACAAGTCATAGCAGTAAATGGCCTTTGTAAGACATGCAAGTCGATCATAATAATCCAGTTTTACTTTAATAAATTAACAGTTAATTTAATGATAAATCTCCGCTCATAATCACCTAATCTGTCCAAATGCTGTACCTCACCATCTTGTAGATTTCTGGCAATGATGGGCAGAGGAGGAGAGAGGTCACAAACGTATTCATTGTAGCCTTGTGCATGCATGTTCCGTGACACAGCAGGAGTGGCTGCAGATTAAATTGTGTGTGCAGTGAATGAAACGCAGATGATATCTGCTGTGCACACAGTCTAATACTCGGCAGTCAGCTGCTCTGCATGCTGTAGCTATGGACTAGGGAAATGATCATAACTCCACCATTACCCACTTCTCCATAACCACATGACCAATTTTTGACGGCGTTCTGAAAGCTTCTGTTACATACATGAGGCATGGATTCTTATACAAGGTCAGGCTGTTGATAGTGCCCAGCTCTTAATGGAAAAAAAAACAGCAGCATAATAAACCTGATGGGCCCTAACAACACATGTTAAAAAAACAAATAATGCTGGATAAAGCCCCCCCCCCACCCCATACTGCAGTGGTCGTGGGAGTTGTTTGACTATACTTCATTCAAGTGTGGGTTGGTGAAGGCAGAGGTGGCTTAGGGAGGGTTCACTTATCGCTCGCCACTGTTTGCTGCGGACAGGAACATAACTCGGGTTGCCGGGTTCAGAACACAGCGCACTCACCGGTTCACCACTGTTCCCCTACCCCACCGTATTAATTAGTTATGCAATAAACACAAGATAAATATCAGCCCGTGCTAGAGTCCTTTTGTACAATCCATCACACAATGGACCAGGGGTAACAACAACAGAACAGCGAGTCATTTTGTCCAGCAGTGAAGAGGAAAATCAGATGCCAGTCATGCATTCAGGAGGCTGCATACACAGCGAGGAAACTAGATATGGGACAATTAGTCCATTAAGCGATTGATCGACTGCTTGATTTTGTGATTGATTACTTGGGCCCCTTAAAAAAAATTGTGGCCACTCCCAAAATCCTGCTTCCCGAAAGCATAAATCTACCTACAAGCCATAAGGCCAGCACGATGGGGCTGTTGTTGCCGATGACGCGACCAAGCCTCGTGGCCATCATGACCTCCCTTCCAGCGGCACACGTGAGAGGAGTCAAGTAACGGTAATAAACAGCAATTATTTGTTTATCGATAGAGCATCATTTACGCAAGGACGTCTCGAGAGCATCTCTACTCGGCACCTAGCCTGCCAGCGGGCAATAGTCGGCCAATAGGGGGGAGGGGCGATGAATGCTGTGTGTAATCCCGATTGAGTGGTTCGTGGGTAATTTTTCGAAATTGGTAAATTGGACCATTAAACCGGATGTCTTCAGCTGAAGTTGATGCCACGGTGGCGAGATGTTAATTACCTTTGCGTGGTATACAAGAGGGCGTGGGTTCGATCCCAACCCTGATGGCTGTATATTCGGAGTGTGCATGGTCTCCCCATGGTCACGTGGAATTTTTCTCCGGGTCTTCCAGTTTTTCCCTCCACATTTTGAAACGTGCGTTTAGAGTACCTTCGGCTGCTATAAATGTCCACATGCTAAGCCACTACGCCGAGTTATCATTTGTGATAGCCAGGCCGTGTCTGAAAATTACCTACATTGCTCAGTGGGCCTTACATGGTAAAATAAAAATAGTTTAGTTAATAGCTTAGTTCAGACAGCTGTGTTCAACCCGCCCCCACCACGGGACCCGAGAATCCCACGCGGTACAAACCTGGAGGCCAGCAGCCAACACACCGAGCACAGGTGCTCTTTGGCTCACGGCCTGACTCAGCAGGTACGCGCACGGCCGCGGAGAGGCCAAGCTCTCGATCAGGACCCCGAACAAGTCGGGCGACTCAGCCACCTTTCTCCATCCCCGGAGGCTGGAGAAAGCCAGCAGCAGGTGGCTTCTGAGAGCAGGGCCGAAACCGTTGATCAGGGTCTTGACCTGGAAGCATTGAGGGGAAAATATTGATTTGCAATTATTAACTCAGATAAAGCCTCAAGACTCTTTTGGGCAGTTCCACAAATTAGGTAATCTCCACATTATACATATGTGGGTATAATTTTGGGTGAAGGTGTGTATCAATGTGGTATTGTAAAATATGGGTTAATTGTGAAAGGAGCCAATGGATTTGACGCATACGTGAAACTGAATGCCCCATCACCGCCATCCCAGCATGGATAAAAAAGTCATTTCGTCTGAATGTCTCCTTTATCAAGAAAGGTTTAAAAATATTTATATCTGAAACTGTCTGAAATGGTTGACATGATGTGTCCAAATATAAATTGACTTTGTATGCTCATTTTATAACACTACCTATTTAATGCGTTTTGAATATAATGCACATTTATTCACTTTATAATTTAAAAACGTCATGTGAACTTTGAGATGGATTAATAAGACTGAAATGTGTTATCAGTACGGTTGTTCCCAGCACTTCAATGTAAATTAAATGATGCTGATCGGTGAGCACATTCCTGGTAAAATTCATTTCGAAAGTAGCCACTTGGGACCAATTGTTTAATTGGATGTTAGCCACAGGTGACTATAACCACCTGTCCCATCAAATCCCAACTAAATGCAAATTAACATGGCTTTTAGAGAAACAAGCACTCGATAAACATTATCATGCACACGAGAAATTACAATGGAAATTGCTGCTTACATTAGGTTCCATGAAATACAAGGGGAGGGTTTTATAAGATATATCAAACCACACCTTTGTAAGACTGACTAGAGGTCAAAACCAATCCAATGTTGCCTAATGAAGTCCAGGCTTAATTAAGAAAATGCCCTTTTCCCCCTCTACCTATGACCGAAAGAATGCCTGCCTCTCTCTTTTCAAGGCGAATCCCATTTTTTCTCTGTAACATCTCGAGGTGCGGTCTCATGTAAATGCAACAAAATGCAAACTATATTGTACAATAAACAGATGCCACTTAAAAACATTTACATGGAATGCTCTTAGGGTAGTGTGTTAAACCTTAAATGCTGTAATTGGCTTAAGGTGATACCGAGGACCCATTCAAATATCACTCGCTACCGACGACAACCGTGGCCGTAACCATAACTCTCATCGTCGGTGGATTCATTACACAGCGTGCTAACCCGCTGCGCAACCCCGAGTTACATAACATGGACAATCAAAACAACTACGTGGTTCTGTGACCTGCTCGACGGGGTAGGCGTGGTGGTGGACGAAGGCGAGGAAAGGCAGCCACTGCTCGGCGGCGGCGCAGGCACGAGGGTAGACCTCCGTCAAGGCCACGCTGTGCCCCCGACAGAAGTGCACGACCAGGTCCCACTCCCTGCCCGCCTTGAGCGATGTGCTTTAGATGATGAAGGAACGAGAGAAGAGATGAGATGGGGGAGGGGAGGCACAGGAGAGTTTCTTTGATGTGTTTTTGTTTCGTCGTCACGCATATTTAAAAAGGCATGGTGCGCTTGGGTTTCATTCCACATGCTGAGAGCTGCAATTTCGGTTCAGAGGACTGCTTGCTTCAAAGATATAGGGAGCCAGGAGGCATGAACTGAGTTCGTGGATAGCGGCCATAAAGACTTCAACGTGAAGCTTACAAGAAAGTTAGTAGAGGGTCATTTCAAAAGTTACTCTTTGAACATTGCATATACAAAAATCAATACAAAGATACACAGCAGATCCCCATTTGCCGGCATGGCAATCTCACACAGGATCAACAGCAAACACAAGGGGTTATATACATTATCATTCATGAGTGTGGAACTCACATGGATGTAAAATGATACTGGCTCAGAATCAAAATCACGTCGCCAGGTTAATAGCGCAATGTGCTAGCCACTGCGCCATCACTCTTCCCCCATTCACCTTTTACCTCAAGGAGAAACTGATCCACAAAGGGGAGGCCCCCACCTCAATGAGCACCTAAAATCGATAGTCAACCGCACCGTCACTTCTGACAACGTAACTGCACCTGTCCAGCCCAGCCTCCTCCACCCTGAGAGCGACGGCGCTCTCCAGTTCGCCGAGAAGGAACGAGACCGCCGGCTCCACGCTATGCACCAGCTCCACCAGCCTTCCCACTGCAGCACGCGACAACGGCGGGGAGACGGCAAAACGTGTGGTTGGGACGGGGGTGGGAGTGGAAAATAAAACAAAATGTTCAGTTACACTAGGTTCGTGTCTAACAGCAACCGCAGCATTACAAGTTGTGCCACCTTGTGTCTTTGTATGTTTTCAGAGCCGCGCACGCTTTATTTTAGACAAGTGGAGGCCCTTGGGGCCCTGACCTTTGCTTCTCCTCCGACAACACCGCCTGCCACAATGTGGCACCAACGATTAGCACGGTTGGCAACGTACGATGCAAAGGAAGTCAAACATACATACGAGTCCAGATCCTCCTACCACTCCGCCAGCAGGCCACCTCCCGCACTGCCGAGACATCCGCTCTGCCCTATCTTCCCACACATCCCTGGCTTCGAATCAAAAATCCAAACACATACTCTCTCCTGACTGCTTTCCGTTGCCCTGACGAGACTGTGGATGGCCTCTATGTGACACCCACTCAGGCTTGTTTTACATTAAATTGCCGAGCTGTACGTTACATCAAAAAATAAAATGGTTCGGCAGGTCAAGGTGGTGTAATGTATTAGGTTTTGAAGAGGCATTCAACCACCAGTTCGTTAAGTTATATTCACCTTCCCAGGTCCCGTATCAGAGGGCCCGAACGTTTGATCAATCTTATGATTAATGACACCTACTTTCATCACTATTCATTCTGCAGCACTGTCCCCAGGGTAGTTTTAAAGCCATATCTAAAGGGTAGAAAAGGACAACGCTGACAAATACATTCTCCGAAACAAGTTTCTCTGCTGCAAATGAAAAAGGTTCACCCGATTCCTCCCCCCCATCCTTCTCGGTGAAAGCGAATCTCGCTCAAAAGCCACGAACCCTCTCACCCAAGCTGCCGCGGAGCAACTCCCGGGCTTCCAGGTCCCTGGCGGCGCCGGAGACAGACGAAACACCGGAGGTGGAGCCCCGGCCGACGCTCGACACCGAACCGGAGTCGGAGCCCAGCACGGAACCGGAGTCGGCGGTGGGGACGGCGTGCTCGGAAGGGCCAAGGAGGTGGGCGCTGACGAGGCGCGCGGCGTGCACGTCCACGCGCACGAGCGCCGTCGGGACGGCCAGCAGCTCGAGGAAGGCGACGCACGCGGCCGGGACGGCGGGCGAGTCGAAGTGAACGAGCGCCAGCGTGTAGGCCTCCTCGCTCGCCCGCACCAAACTGCATCGCGCACGGCACATCCACAAGAAGATCAGGAAGATGATGAGGAAGGAGAGGATAAGAAGATGAAGACGATGATGAAGCAGAAAAAGATGAAGGAGAAGAAGACGACGATGAAGCAGAAGAAGACGATGAAGAACAACAACAACAACAACAGCAACTGGCCAGGGCCTAAGAGGATCCTGGGTTTCTTATTTTAGTGTCCAGTAAGGCTCGGAGGGAAATGATGGATGTTCAAAATGTCTACGAGTTAAAATTGTAAACGAGAATGATATGGTTGTGTTGTTGTTGTTGTACGTCACCATAAGTGACGTCTGGAATATGCCCGCTGACAATAGGACGAGGCACACGAATATTAGGAAAACAAAAAAAATTGGAGACATCAGATTAACTGTTTAGGAGAGCGAGTTAGCTTGGGTGGGTACAAATCTTTTAAATGGATATGCCAAATACATAGCCACACATGGGTCATAGACCACACCTAGCCCGCATATGTGTTGACTAGGGGTTCAAACTGCACCTGCAAGTGTATATCAATAAAGGCATCAACTTTCCAGGTAGTTGGCGGATGTCAAGTATAGCATTGAAGGTCAGGATGCTTGTGGTTCTAAACTTCAAGAAGAGTCTCACTTGCACCCACTTGAGATAATTAAATAATTAGTTAAGAGCTATGTGTGGTCAGTGCTAGAGGGTGGGGATATATAATGCTATGTTTGGCTGAAGGCCCAAATCGTCAAAATATTCATGTATTTCAATAATGGCAGGATACACATTGACAGATTGAAAAGAACTGTTATTACTTTTACTTATGTGCAAGTTCCCTAAAGCAATAACTTAATAAATAATACTTCAACGGTTTTTACAACCGAGCCAAAGCAGGCCCTGATGAAGCTATAAGGAGTACATTAACGGCCACCACTGTGAAATGCAGCTGCCCAATTGGTGCAAATGGACACAAACACACCCCACATAATGATGGCATAATGTGCCCTTTGCACATTATGCAAAGGGCAGATAGAATAACAAAACAGTGCCACCGCATTATTAACAGCGAAGCCTCGAGTGCAAAGTGGGATGCATTGAACGCGGAATCCAATCAAGCAGTGAGCAAGGCAGTTTCACCCTTCTCATTGAACACTCCGGGCATCCCCTCTAATGATATGTCACTCAATTATCCTGCTTCGTTATTAACTATTCTTCTTATTTACACGCACGCATATGAGAAATAAAGTGCTCTTGTTATTGTCCACCCCCTCCACTACCCTTGCCGAAGCACAGAAGTGCGGTTCCATTTGAACGGGTAATAATGTGACAAAGGCTTCTCGTTACGCGCATCGCAAGCCACAAAATGACACGCGCAAGGCCGCTTCGTAGCCTCTGTCATCCTCTGCCTGTTCCATGGACAATGGGCAGTGTTATAAAATACAATGCTGGAAGGACATCGTTGATGATATTTCGGGGGTTTGTTGGAAATGCATAGATGTGGGGAGAAGGGGGGAAGGTCGGTGGCAAAAAAGTATTTATGGAATACATTTTCACATATTTAATTATTTTACCATTTTGGAACTAAACCCATACAAATATTTTCGGAATTTTCAGAGCCGCCGCCTCTGCCTTTTGCATTTTGTGGTACATGTAGGCAAAGCACTACGAAGATCCCATTTGACATATTTACAGCACAGTGGGATTGTGCTGACCCGCATTGGTTCACACATTTTAAATCCTCGTTTTTTTTATTTTCTGAATTTCAAAACATTTTTTTAGAAAAGAGACGCCGGTGATTTCGAACATAACTTAGACTTAACCAGCTATTTTCACATACGGATTGGAACCAATCCACCAAACCAATTTAGACAAAAATCTGTACTGAATGCCACCACATTGAATTATTTTTTATAAAGGAGCCCCAGGCATTTGTAATCCTCCTTCCAGACTCAAAGAAATGTGCAATTAAGCATATCAAATTTCTTAACAGCCAATGTCACAGCCCTCACAGACCACACAGGCAGATGGAATGCATATTATTGGCAGATTTCATGGAATGTTAAAAAACAGAGAAAAGTCTATCCATGAAATGTTAGCAATTTAATTAATGGCACGGTTGTGTAATTAAATAAAGTATTATCCTCAAAGCCAATCTTTTCAAACCGTGGACCTTTTTCTGGGTTTTCATGTCATCATCAGCAGAGGGCATTGTTTTTCAAGCATTAAGAAATATTTTACGCAAACCCTCGTGAACTTTTGGAAGAGTCGAATTAAATAAAAGAAAGTGAATTAACTGTTATAATTTAATATAATACTTTTTGAAAATGTAAATTAAAAGTTTCCTCTTACAGGAAGCCCATAGCCACAACTTAAAATATATTCATAAAAATAGAGGTGGCTCATCAGTTGCCATGAACAGGAAGCAAAAGTTTCGAGACTGTTCAGCTGTTAATCATTGAACAATGTGTGTTGCTCAATGACTGGAACACCAAGGTCCACCGAAAAGACTGATAAAACGTTGACAAACACCTTGAGTTTTAGGAAGCTCCAACTTGTTATCGAGTGCTTGGGGACACATATGACCAAGAAACATCAGAGAAGGGACTGCATACACATCCATTGACATCAAATACCCGAGCGAACCACTGAAATTATGACTTGGCTCAAAGCAAGAAGCAACGGCGCATCTAACAAAGTACAACATTGACTGTACCGGCAGCAGCAGCACACGGTCCGGTTTGGAGGATTATTTTTTTCGGTTCGCAACCGCAAAAAAAGTTTTTTGAACACAATGTCGTTCACAATGTTGTTCATTGCTTGCCACAAATGAACCATAATACCTTGCTGATCTCGTCAAGGAGCAAAAACCATTAAGTGAACTCCGGTCATCCTCGCAGTGGCTTTTGGCTAGCCATCAAACAAAGACGGTCACTGCATTGTGCGCTCTCAGATGCGCTTCTGCGGCCGTCTTGAATGCTTTTCCTTCCGATATTAGGAAGCCACTGGAGCTATGCATTTTGAAATCATCTAGAGTGAAAATATTTTTCTTTCCGAACTGCTTTTTCTGTTTCGTTTGTTGTCCTTCCTCTGCACCTCCAATTAGCATGGTTGGCTAAGTACGTTGCAAAAATAAGTTCAACATGCATGATCCCGGTGCCAGCCAACGACTGCCCAATTACCTGCGGGAAGACAGCGAGCCACGCTCGAGGCGCCAGGCCAGGAAGGAGGCGAAGGCATAGGCGGGGCGGCCGTGCAACAAGAAGTACATGAAGCCCAGTGTCTCCCGCGTGCTGTGCCGGCTCACCAGCGACGGCAGCGAGAAGTGCGGTAACTCCGACGCGGCGTCTGCGGCGGGGGGGGGGGCGCGCAAAGTTGTCGGATTGACCAGGTTGGCACACCAACCACCAGTTACTTATCTTTGGTAGCGGGAATACATTCGGCCTATGACCAAATCACGCTCCCCGGAATGCACCCAATCTCAGTGATTAAAGCAGGGAAGGGCCATACACAAACCGCTTGCCATATGGCTGCAGAGCTACATGGTGCTTAGTGCAGCAAATTCCATTGTATTGCATTTGTGCTCCCAAGTATATGCTCACTACATTTACCAGGCCATACATACCTGCGTGGTAAAGTATGGTCAAATAGCCTCCATGAATGGCACGGTGTGGGGAGACCCTGATCTAGCAGTGAACTGACAAAAGGTTGGCTTATGCATGTACACAACAAATGCACAAACAGGTCCAATTATGTTCATGTTTTATGACTGGTCTGGCAGTGTATAGCCCCCAGATATTGTGCCCGGAAGCAGATTATCCTACTCAATGTCATGTTTCAAAGCTACATCTTGCATCAATATTTAAAAGCCACATTTTACTTTGTTAGGAAATTGGAGGTTTGGAATGTAGGCTGCATTTGTGTAGCCAGGAACAAACTCTGGTGCGTATTCCTCCCAGTCTCAGGAATAATGAATGTCAATGACTATCTTTCACCACTGCGGTGACAACTAGAGCAGCGAGTGGGGTGAATCCAATATGGCAATACTTCTACATACTGCCCGACATAAGGTCCACGGAAATTTTTAGCGTCCATTTTTGTAAAACATGATAATGTAGTGATTGCTGTGGTTCATTTGACTTTGTTTGGCATTGCACTTCCTGATGAAAGTTTAGGAAGAAACAAAAGCACAAGAAATTAAAGTTCGAAATAAATAGTTCTTACCCATGAATTCATGTGCTGCAAAATATTTTCTGGGGTCATTGACAGAATGGCAATTATAGACCACTGCCTTGGCAGTCTAGTTAATTGTTTATTGTACAAGCGATAGCACATGCATCGAAAGCGTTATAGGTTATAAAGTTACAATAAAAATAAAATATACATTGGGCTCATGTTGATCCAGATGGAGTTAAAGTTTTTTTAAGTTAAACTTTATTCATACTGAAACAACATAAAAGTTACGAGGAAACCGATTTTGTGATCATTGTCATTTGGTGAATATTAACGTTGCATTGTACTGTGCAAGTTAAAATTATGTCGGGGGTTGCATTTAAAAGTGAGAGTATACCAAGCAGGGCAGGCTGACAACATAAAATATCACGTATGTATCCTGAACTTCTTTCGCGCCATACGTAGCCAACCGTGCTAATCGGATGTGCGAGGTCAAGATTGTAAATGTTGTGGCTTGGCTCTCCAATACACCGGTGTGATGTACTCGCGACAAATTGGCATGTTCTGCTTACGTGACAACCCTTACTCGTTGGCTGTGTAGGGTAGTTTAACGACAAATGTAGATATTTACGCGATCTAACCCAAAAAAAAACACTATTATGGAGGTAAGGACGTGATGCATGTGCGTGTCCTCATATATAAACACATGACACCAACACAGTGGACATTGAAACACGAGAGTTGTATCAATTTTAATTAATTATACTACCTTAGAATATGTACTTTTATCTTAGTGTAAAGTTTACATTAATCGTGTACAAGTATTAATACAGGATACAAACCTGCGATTTGAATTGCCATTGTATAAACACTCAGTTCCTTCACATAGCTACACTTGAAAAAATATAAAGTGCCTAATGAGTGCAAGTGCCAAAAAATATCATCCCCAACCTGACTTCCACTACAAATATTTTACAAACATTATTATAAATACATTTTCAAGCATGGTAACCGGGCAGGAACAGAAATACTGATGGCGAGATCAATCTCGTGGATCACTACACTAGATCCCGTCAGAAAAGAATGGGACACGAAGGTAAGAGAAAGTTGCCTCAGATGGCTCGAATGAGCCATAAGGAGAGAGGAAAACGACATTGGAAGGAATGGGATAAACATGAAAATACTAGCGCAGACTACGAGGCAGACTTATAAATTGAATATTCAAAGTGGTGGAGCAAAGATATCATCAAGGACTTTGCGGTGGATATGGAGATGACCCAGGGCATAAATGGGTGGAGAAAGACTATGTAACAAAAGCTGAATAGTATGCAAATAAGCATGCATAAATGCATGCTGGAAATTACACTAAGATAGAAAGAGGACACACGTGAGGAATAAACAAAAATTAGACATCGTATTGACTGTTAATAAAAGTGGGCTTGGGCAAGACACGTCGCGAGGAGGAACAAAAAGAGATGGACGTCATTGTTGACAATGTCAGTGGACAGTGACCCAGAGTGACCACTTCGAACAGAGCAATGAGAATGGCTCATGCGCAGGAGCGAGGTGCAATATTGCTCACTGTTCCATCAATGAGCGGTGCATCAAGCATGACTGATTTTGATGTTTCAAAATAAAATGGTCATCAGTGCTGCATTGAATGCTGTATTCTTTTTTTAGTTGGGAGCTGGCAGGATGCGGCATTTCTCGCGTAATCAATCCGAAGAGAAACTTACCTGCAGCTGCCAAAGAATTTGCTTCTTGCCATCCGTAGAGGCGCGACGGATCAAAGGGAGTCAGGGCCTGGGACACAGCAAATAAGCACCGATAGTAGTGAAGCCTTGCCCGGAAATCTGTCTTTGTCCCGCTCATTTTTTACTTTTACTCTCCCTTTTTAGAGATCTCCGCCGCTTCTACGCTCTGTTACACAACAGGGCACTGACTGGGTGGGTACACCACGGCAAGTTATTTTCGAGAGGAAAAATATAAGAAAAAATACATTCAAAGACACAAAAAAACTTTGGCTAATTAAGTGGTCTTCAAAGTCACCAAGGCTCAAAGAAACGTGGCAGCACACTCCTCTTTCAGCAATTTACTTTCCACAAGGTGATTGTCTGAATTTCATCACATCTCCCAATTGCCTAATTGAATGAGTTTCATTTGTAAAACAAGATGAGCACTCCCATGTATCTGTATAGGAGTTATTTATTTCCTGTAGCGCATCCATCGCATTTCACACGGATTTTATAGAAATCTTGAAAATTTGATTCAAGATCGTAGTCAACTTAACCACGTGCAACTCTGAAAGGCAGAACACTGCAACTATTCTGGTATATTCATGTGGCTTTGTACATCAATTTCCACAATAAAACATCCCAATAATATTCCACTCTGCCTGAGTGCAAACCATTAAAGATATGCCTACACATACAAAAAACACGTGTATGCAAGCCTGCATGAGCAAACTGGCCAAGCGCAGTGGTTCATGCGTATAATTCGTTGAACTTCAGCAAGGGTTGGTGCATCACCGATACCAATTATTTACCCAGAAATAAAATCGCCGGGCCTCAATACTCTTTTTTAAAGTGAATGCTGCATTTGGATGTTTGGCAAAAAAAAAGTGTAAGCGTATTTTGTTTTCATGTGGGAGAACCCCAGAGTACACCCCCTCAGCACTGCCATCTCCTGGCCACACCTCGCAGCCCCACGCCTACAACACCTCGAAAGCCCCTCGTGGTAATCCATCAAAGGACCAATAAGACTCAACACTGCTTGGCATGATGGAGCAAATTTCGGGCGAATTTATCATAGACAATGGATCACACCGGATTGCAGGATCAGAAGATGTGCACGACAGCTGCTTGAACGACATCAATCAAGGTGCCTGTAGGACGCAGTAAAGCAAGTAGAGTTCTGACTCTCGCACAGCGTGGGTGTCGATTCTCTCGCAAAAATTAGAGAAGTTGCCTATGTAAATGAAGATTATGAAATAGTTTACAGCCCTTTGTCACTCCACGAATGGACAAAGGCCTTCCCCCAGTGTTGGCCGACGGGTTGTTTGACTACACATCACCACGCTGGCGAGTGCGGGTATGCTCGAACCCGGTCTCTCTTTTTCTGCCCCGCTTCATTCGAGTCATTCGTACGCGATCTGAAAACAATGATTCACCTGGAGCAAGTGGTAGAGCGAGACGTCGGGAAAAGGCAGGCCGTGCGTGCTCTGCTGTGGGAAGAGGGCGGCTCTCAGCTTGGGGAATCGCGACAAAGCGAGCCTCAGCAGCTGCCCATCCACCTGCGTGAACCGGAGAACAAATACGCGTCTTGCGTATAATAAACACCTTAGCACACAATAATATAGGCGTAATTGCGAACAAATATTATATGAGCGTTGTACATTATCCCTTTTGTCAATCGACTGCTGAAGGCCCTCCCCACCCATGCCATGTGAGTTGTGGCGGTTACTTGACCATACTTCACCACGCTGCTCAGCGTGGGTGGGTGAAGGTGGCGCGCAGAGATGCAGGAGGATTGTTTAGTACAATGGATGCTTCTGCATTGCTCTCTGTTGACCACCATGTGGCAAAGACCTTCAGCCACTTATGACCACCTGGCGTGCATGGTGGCTGTCCATCCAAGCATTATCTACGTTCAACATTGCTTAGTTTTGAGGATTTCATAAGGTCCTGCAAGATTTGGCAATTTGGTCAAAGTCACAAACATTATAAAACAATATATTTTATTTTATCACGTTTGAGATTAATGTCTTTGTGCCATGTGTGTAAACATTGACTGTGTTTACGTGGATGAATGAATGTGGGAGAGAGGCATTATTCGTAGATATCCAGCAAATCCCTCACCAACTGCGTTTTTCGCATCCGTGGTATTTATGCATCCACGGTTTTCCGTCGGCATACCAATTTTCTAACCACGGTATGGAGTTTTGTGTATCCTGCGGTTTAGCATGGCAACCAGCACTTGAAATAAAAAAAATCACCCGCAATCTGGCTGCTATAAATTTCCACGTAAGCCACATCGTTGAGCTATCATTTGTGGCCATGTCACTTCTGAAAAAAAGCTATATAACTCCGTGGGCCTTACCTGGTAAAATAAAAAAAAGTAGTTGAATGTATATTCTTGGTTCTTTCGGTAAAGTCACATAGAAGGGAAACAATAAAATAATAAAAATGTAAAACAATTTTTCTGTTTGTTTCCCTTCTACGTGACTTTACCGAAGGAACCAAGAATATGAATCCCTGCAGTCACGAAAGCTTTAAATCAAAATGTAGTTGAATGTAGTTTTTAGTACGGTATTCCCTTCTGTGCATCGTCTCACCTCCCAGCTTTCCCCATCGCTCTCTTGCCACCACCAAGTGGAGGTAGAGGGTGGGCAAAGCCCCTCTTTCTTATAACATGTATTGTTTTCGTAACATGTTATTGTGAATATACAACCTTTATTGTTTTTTAGTGTGTATTTGTGTTTAGTAAGGAACAGGCAACTTGGTTAGGCTTTGACGAGTGTGACCGCGGTCGCGGTTGCACCCCGCCCCCCCCACCCCGCCCGTAGTTGGCGAAGGATTATTGCACTTTATTACGACTCTCAGTCTTCAACAACTGCACAAAAAACCACCCAAGTGGTCCACAAGGAGCAGTGGCGCGACGCGAGAAATGTAATGCCCACTAGGAGAAGGCCTGCAGCTGGGGAAAAGCAGCACTCGTACAAGCACGGAAACAATGTTAAAATATTAAAAGGAACAACATGACAGCTTCATAAAACTTAAATTATTTCACGACTCCGCTTGAATAAGAAATTATTAGGTTTCACCCTTTCCTTGAGCGCTCGAGTTGCAAAGATTTGAACTGCACCAGGACAGCCGAAGTGCCGGGGGGACCTATTTGGTTTCATTCGTGTGTTTGTGGGTAAATGCATAGCCCTTTCTGGCAATCCACTGCTGGATGAGGGCCTCCTAATGCTACATTTGTCAATGGAATTATGCGACCATACTTCATCACGCTGGTTCGCGAGGGTTGGCAAAAGGTGGAGAGAATAGATATGGGAACATTGAAGCAGAGTACAGTACAACAATGGAGTTTGCTGCACTGTCTCCCCCCCCCCCCCTGCACATAATGCATTGCAGCCCCGATTAGGCCATAATCTGGGTGCATGCTGATTGCCCACCCGAGCACACTGTTCATGCTCAACTCCTCTGGGCTTCTAGGCACAAACGAGATTGGGCAAAGTCCAGGAGGTTATACGGTTATATGGTCAGAGACCATTTATTGTACAATGTACAAAAATACATGTGAATAATTAAGCATTGGACAGTATTAATCTCATGACAGCCCCGAGCCAGAGCAATTCCTAATTCTTACATTGCGGGCCATTCAATTTGACTGGGGGCAGTCAACGCGCAATTGCGCGTTAGGTGGGGAATGTTGGCCGAGTGGATTGCACATCGCTGTAACGGATTGGAATTTTAATGTGCGCGCATTTTAAATGCCTGTGTATTTTGTATGTTAAACACAGAGCAGACAAGGATCAGACTGGCGCGTGAACGTTTCTCTCACTAATTTTACCACACTCTTGGCTGCTCGGGTTGTGGACACGGTTCATTAAAATCCAAGCCTTCTCTCAGAAAATGAATGCAATGGGCCATGTATTAATCTCATTATTATTCATGCCGACGCATTTGATAGACCTCACGCCTAACAATAACATGAATATTAATTAGTAATAATTCATTGATGGGCTGTAACCGTACTTGCATGATAGCGATGGTTTTATCTTTAAGACACTTGCAGACCCTACCTCCACTAGCTCAATACTTCTACAACAAAACAGGAAAGCTAGCAGCATGCACTTTATTAAGTGCACACTTTCAATTATTTATGTGGCACACCTGTACATTTTCGTGCCTTGAGAAATAAGGCAATGTATATATAAAAAACACAGCAAATTAATTAATAAATGTCAGTTCCACGATGAAGGAATTGGGTTTTCATTTGTGACCAAGATAACTGTGGATGGCCTTGTGATTACACAGCCTATTGAGGCACAACAGTGGAGTATATATGCATTATACACAAACATACCTGTAAAGTGGATCAATGATAAGATTGCTGTGCAATGAATCCAAGTGACCAGAATTCAATTTCCAAGCCATGACTAAGATAAGTGGCAACTGATATCAGAACCAGTCCTGCCCTTCCCTTCACCAACCAGTACTGACCTGCATGGGAACGTAGTGTGGGGAAGGTCTTCACCCATTAGTACATTGAGAATGACTGTAATTTATTTAATTTTATACATACCTGCAACTGCACACAGTTATCTCCCAATATGGAAACATATAACAATATATTGGCGAATAAAGCAAGGCTTTATTGTATGGTATTTTTGAAAAACATCCATCCTAAGTGGCCACGCACACAACTCAGAACCCACTTGACAATGCAATAGCCTGAAATCAGCACCAGGCTTGTTGCCGACGTCTATGGCCTGGGCCCTGTACACACAACTTGTTTCAAGTGCCAACCCTGTCACTGTGTGTTGCACGATTATCAATGGCCATGCAAATCTGTAAGACTTATAATGCATGTCATCCCTCCTGGACACAACGAACATCATAACTCGATAGATTTTTTTTTTATCATTCTTATGCAACCCATAGCTCAAAACCAGACCGATAAACATCCTGGTTTCGTATGCAGGCGCCAATGATGAAGCATCCCACGGGCCTCGAAAACACAGGAAACAACAAATGTCACAACTGCTTGCTTAATTCTGCATGGGGTTCCAGGGCACTGCACACACTGGAGAGAGAAGGAAGGCAAAATTGCTCCCCCTGTGGGAACAAATACCGTGGCGGCAGCGGCTTCCTACCTGGGGATTTTGGGTACCATTTGTATCGCTCTGGCGGGCGAGATTGTTCCCTATTCCTAATACTAGACGTCCTAAAGAATCACTGCCGAGCGCATTCAAACAATGGCCTAATGGGACATAACCGTCATAACCTAATGCCAGTGTCATCAGTTCTATTGTTATTATTTATTGTTCATGGCTTACACCTGGTGTTTATTTCATTTTGGTTAGAGGACAAGAAGAACAGGGTGATTATTGCCAAGACCACTGTTGTGTTCGTGTAATGGTCTAAACTTGAATTTATTTTAAATTACCCGCAAATTGCTCAACTGAAATATATACATATAATAATCGCACCTCCAATTAGCACAGTTTACTGCGTACAGTGCGAAAGAAGTTAAAAGTACATATATAGCAATCATCCCCCCCCCCCCCTGGCAGGGCCAGCCTCAAAAAAGAGCCATGACACTAAGCGAGGCTTTCCTTTGCAAACAAGCGTAATAATTTTTTTTATACATGACATGGTACTAATTCTCTGACCCATTTGACTGGTATGATGGTGCATATGCGCCTACCACAAAGGACATACAAACCTGCTCAGTGGAACAGCAGGGCAAACACATCAGAGCATTGCATAAATTACCCCTATATGTTATGGGCTTTGATCGAGGAAGATACTCCATAATAATCTGTGACTAAAGACAGGTGCCTGGAACACAAGGTGCATTATTTTTAAACCCGTATATCAATTCAGGTCGAGCGTATATCACTTCATTGGCCATGTGGGTTAGCGGTAGAGTGAACGGTTCGCAATTCTGGCTTTCGAAATTAACCTAGCCCAACATCTCTCTGGGGACGATACATTTAGTCGTGCTTTGTGGGAAAGTCACGAGTGGTTGTCCAATGGATAGACTCGCCCCTGCGTAAGGATAGTGGAATTTCCACCAATGGTTCAGGGCTGTAAAAAAGGAGATAAGAGCAATGCCTCCGTGCTCATATAAGCAGGAAATCTCTAATTTTTTAACATACCGTTTTCCAGCACAAGTTTAAATTCTTTCTCCCGGTTTCAACTTGTTCCTCTCGCATTTTTGACCAAACAGTTGAACAGCAATTGCATGAGCACGCTTGTCAGGTGAAAAGTGCTGTGCTTTTGCCAGCTGATCAAGTGTGAATGAGTGGACAGAAGCCGCACACAGCTCAGCAGATCAAAGAAATGTCCTCTATTTCTGAGCTAAATAATGTAAAAAGTTCAACTTCAAAGCATGTTACTTATGTTTTGGAACCAAACTTATTCAACATAACTACTGAATTATGGCACGATATGAAAGGAAGTTATAATTTTGTTTTTTGTGAACAATTTTCCCTTACTCTATTCTAGTTTTGCGCAAAACGCGTTTTGCCTCGATAGATTATTTTTTGTTTACACAAACCTGAGTAACAGCACGCTTGCGTTCTCTCATTATGAACGAATCTCCGGAAGTCATTCTGATTTACGGGCCTCGAAAAGACAAGCGTGGACATCTAAAATGGCCACAAAAGATCACTCGAGCAGTTCATGAAACCGACCCATTGTGCACGCACTCTGCATTGAAAGCACGCTGACATTTGGACGCCGTGCAAATAGCAATCACTTCACCTCCGCCCTTGGATCTGTGAACTGTGCCCACATATCAGGCTGTGTGTGTGTGTCGTGCCTCAGTTATGAGTCAGCACATGTGCCTCGATTTGTGGCATGTGATACAAGCGAGGACCCCTCAGCTGTTTTGTTGCTGGAGCCTGCGTGAAGTGAGCCAAAGTGTTGTTCATTATCTCATGGGTAATCTTTAACAAAAATATGTTCCCCCAGTTATATCCTGATTGTGCTATTGGAGAAAAATATATCCATTCGGATCTCACACAGAGTTGTGCAACCCGTCATGTAAGAGAATGGCCCATCTAAGTGGACATGAGAGAGCTACCTCTGAGACACCTTCAAGCGATCTCTGTCCACAGAGTAGGGGGAGGGGGCAGCACTTTCCCTTAATACTGACACGAATCTTTGTTGCATGACAGTTAATCAACAATTTTACATTTTTACAGAGCTGGCATTTCGAATTTAGGTCAATGGGCTGCCACCATCACTTCACCTCACATTTGTGAAAAACACAGTTTTTGTATTAGATAGTTGCCTGCATTTAAGCCCGGGATTCAATGGCACTAGCTCAGCCACCCAGCCACCTCTGGCACATGAGTTTAACAATAACCCCAGCAATATTGTGGTGCTAGACAATGGATGTTCCTGGTAATTTTGCACGTAACATGCTTACAGCCATGGGCATGTCTTTTGTGCAGGATCAGCTGCCGTAATATGCGCATGTGCGCAGATTTGCGAACTACATGAAGGACTGTACACATTTGGTGCATATAAACTTTGAAAGTTCAGCAATAATGAATCCGTAAAATGTTCACAAGCCTTGCGCTTAACTCTTATCAACCGGCACAGCTGGTCATCGCTCAAAACAAAACAGACAGTGGCTGCAGACCGTCGGGGGTGGATTATCGAGCAGGACTGGTATTAAGACGATTACATATGACGTTAATTAAATAATTAGTAATTTTGTGGATATAATTGATTAATAATAATAGATTACATTTCATAGTGATGCCTTTCTTATTGCCACGTGACAAACTGTATCGATAATCAGGCAATAAAAGGATGCTGCTGAGGATTATTTCAAAACCAGCTGGCGAGGAAATCAACCGATGGGGGGGGGGGGGGGGGGGGGGGGGCAGTCAGGATTGACGACCGGTGTCCATGCAGGCTGTGGGACACCTACCTGGGAGACACCTCCGTCCAGACCACCAGGTGAGTAGAGCAAGGTGGCGGGCGCCAGCAGTGTACGACCTTCTGTCAGCATGCTGCTCACACCAGCCTGGCTGCTGGGCAGGACCATCTGAGCGTTGGCCAAGCTGGCGAGGTACAGGGCCCGCGTATCTGCCGGGGCAAAATCAAAAAGAGAAGCCCACAAGAAAAAATAAATCCGTTCACACCTATTTGGACATTAATCTCCCTGTGCTGTATATGCTTGACGTAAATGTCCCAGCTCCGTATAACCGCTCTGCAATAACCCTGATAACCTTGATGCGTGATTTTTTTTTTCTCCCAACGCTACTTGAAAGCCACTTCAAAACTGTTTTTTGACGTATGCAATTTCTCCACTGTTACCACACTGGTGAGCTGCATCTTCCATTTCAACACCCTGCATTATCAAAATCTCGTTGCACGCATTTACATTCCATTAACTGGCCAGCGTTGATTAAATCACCAGAGAAAAGGTGGGATTAAGATAAGCGGTTGACGTGTGGCTTTCTTGGCCCATCGTGTTGAAACGGGGGGACCATTTTTTTTATTCACCATCTATATTCATAATCATAAGCCACGTTCCATCAACCGCTGAAAGAGGGCCTCTCAAACGTCAGCCAACCGTCAAGGCCACGGTCCTGGGATCTCACAATCCATCCCGCTCCTGCTCAGAAGCCGTCATTGTAACAACGACATGGAACAAACGGAAGAATATGATAGAACTTCATAAAGAAAGCTGCAAAAAGTGGGGCTCAAGGTAAATATGATAAGACATAAACATGCATTAGAAATCATCCATTAGAACAAAACGAAGATTTTTTTGTCATTCATGATAAAACTGTTTCCACTTCCCAAAATGATTCGGGGAGAATGAGAACTCCGTATATATTGATATTGCCTCTCACCTCAAATTCTCAACGATTATTTACTTCATACAAAGCCCAAATTAGCAACACTTACAAATCCAACAGAATGCAACAAAAATATCTCTGCAATCGATGGCAATCAGAAGCGCGAGGTTGTAACAGCGGTGGTTATTGCTTGTGATCTTGTCTGCTGCTCAGGGGGGAATATTGGAACGTGGAGGGAGGTGGGCAGGGAATCGATTAGCCGCGGTCCACTGCAGCCGTGTTCACACTCCGAGCTTGTGCCCAGCGTGGCCAGCACGCCTTCCGTCTACACTGGCGATCGTCTGAACAAAACCGTGCACAGAAAGCAATGCACAACATCGCTGTCGTAATTAAGTTATTTGGTTTTTAATTATTACATTGTATTATGTTTGACCTGTTTATATATAGGCTGTATATATGTTCTGATGGTTTGTTAGTCTTTATGCTCATGAGAAACTGTTAATTTTCCCTTTTCCTCAGGATGTCACAGTGTTAAGTTTTATCTCCAACTTTGGGTCAATCTGAAAGTTATGTTAAATTCTGCGTAATTATGCCACTTTATAAGAAGACTCGTACCCCATACCTCGATTTAAAGCACAATTTTATTAATCTGTTGGCTTTGCAATTCGTGCAAAGAAAACAAAACTCCAGCAGAATGGTAAGAAAATGTTGATCGACGTTTTGAAATGATTATTTTAGCATTGAATATCAGAAACGCTTTGTTGTGCTTCGAGTTCAATGCACACTAATTTTTGTTTTCAGAATAGCCAAAGGACTACGTAGTTTGTTTCTCTGAAGTAGAGGGAAAAACCAAAGCAGGGAAGGCAAGCAAAGGGCTTCCAAAAATGTTCGTGAAATAATGAACAATTCTCAAATGTCATTAGACCTCCTTTGCCAGTACCAAAATGTAATAATAGGGTTTTCCTCTTTTTTCTGGCAACAAAACTAAAACCTTTTTACAAGGATTCATGTCTGCATTAACCACAATACCTGCAGTCAAAATGCAAAAAAAACATACTATGATAATATATGCATTGTCCTTGAAACTGATTGGTCCACACCAAGGGACGGCTGTGGACCAATCAGTTTCAAGGCAATGCATATATTATCAAAGTATGTTTTTTGTTTGCATTTTGACTGCAGGTATTTGTGGTTAATGCAGACATGAATCCTTGTAAAATGGTTTAAATTTTGTTGCCGGAAAAAGGGGAAAAACCCAATTCTCAAATGTTGGAGTTGCAGTGTATGAGACGGCTCATGTGATTTGTGTTGTGGTGCTGCTCACAGACTTAATTTGTTTTAATTTTAAATTTATTTTGTTTGTGTATACTCATTATATTTAAATGGAGTATGACCACCACATGGAGAGACAGAAAGAGGAACACATGGATCAGAGGGGAAGAACATGTGACAATATTTGTGGTAACTTTCTGACCCATCGCAACTGGACATCTATGAAAAAAAGCTTCATAGCTCATCAGATTTCTGTAGGATAAATGATTCTGAGTGGCAGCCAAAGGAATGAACGTTTCTAATCGGATGTTCACTGAGGCAAGGAGGAGTGATGATATCGGCTCGTGTTCAGGAGCTAGATTGTTGCATCACGTGACCCAGAGATGGCAACAGTTGGATGAGGGATTTATCCAGCAGTGGATAAATCATGACTGATTATTATAGCCATCATATCGAAGGAAACGCTAGTCAACCCTTCAAAGAGACTATAAAATGTGGTGTTAACCCATAAAATATTTAAAAGTATCACAGTGCATGTGGCTAAAACAAAAACCTTCACAACACAAAAAGCTTCAAATGAAGAACAGATCACATTAATTTATTATAAGTTTGCATTTTTCTGAAAGCATGTTCCGTGCCCCAGGGTCTCTCCTCACGACTTATATTCCATTATTGCACAAAACAAAAACAACTGGCTCACTGGACGGATGAAGAATCAGCCAGAAAGCTGACAAAATCAATGACTCCCGCATCAACAAAATGATTGTTATCCAAACCGACGGTGAAGTTGATGCGTTCTAAGGTCCAGCGACACTCGAGAGACAACCGGTCCTCCGTAAAGAACATCCAAGGCGGAAACTAAATTCCCTTTGAAATATAATAATAATATGACTGCACCTATTTCAAACCAGTATTGTATTTTGCATGTAAATATATATTTTTTTCTTCCCAATGTGAATTATTTTAGATGAAAGGCTTCTGGGGAAATGCTGCCATATGCATACAATGCAATACAGTTTTATCAAGCATCTAAAGACAAATATATCAGAAAGCAGGATGAAGCCAGGGAGAATATATGGTAGCATAGAAGTAGAGTATAACACTGTCCTCTGCTGCTCACAACATAGCGACTCACCTGCCTATAACAACCTGGCATGTATTTTGGTCACCCATCCAAGGAGCACCAAGGCCCGACTCTGCTTAGTTTCCGAGATCTCACGAGACAGGGTGCATTCTCCTGGAAATTTGTGGAAAAGCGCTTCATAGCTCATCAGATTTCTCTAGCATAAATAAAGATAAGGAAAGATTCTCAAGATTCTGATTCGGTTTGATTTGGCCAAAGGCCCGTATTAAGTATCGCACACCAAATGGTTGCGGTACTGGAGCAAACCAGAGGTTATTCTGGAAAAGATCCGAAATATAATTTGTCTATGACAATTAAATATTTCTAACGTGTGCAATTTTGCTGTGGAAATGTGTTTACCCCCACCCACTCCCACCAAAGTGAGAACTATAGCAGTAATTACAATAATGGATAGAGTGTAATTGAAATGTTTAAAAATCATGCCTTGTAATGTGGCCATGTGACCTCTGTATCAACAACCATATCTCGGCCTCCAGACTCGTTCCAAAGGAAGGAATTATAGACCGATTGATTGATTGATTATATGACTGGCTGCAGTCAGGCAATAACCACACTTACAAGGTGAGACAGAAAGGAGCAGAGGAGCTCAGCAAAGTCATTGCTTTGGGAGAGGCCAAGGACACGTACACTTTTAGGGAATTACCATTAAGGAGGCAAGAGGTATTGATGTCTTCTTCGTCTTTGCCATGGCCAGGGAGTTGATCAAAAACGCTTACATGTTCATGTCAATGTTGGCGAGTCAGTGAAGAGCTTTGAGAATATCCTGGTTAAAAATCTGAAATGCCCCTCCCCCTCCACCAAAGAATATCCCTTCCTCCCCTCCCCCCCACATGCTCTAACGAGTCCGGTGTGCCTGATACCATCGATGGCCCTGGTAATGCCATCCAGAACGTCAGGATGTTGCAATGTATGATGTGAAGAAAGACGTGGAATGAAAATATTGCGTAAAAAAATATTCATCTGAAATTCTGGGCAGTGAATTATTAAAGCATGCATCGTCGCACTATGAAGTCCAGGGTATTTACGGAAAACTCAAACTCAAGTTAGGTGTGCGACAGGCAAGCATTAAACCCACACACAATACCTGCCGGTTGCTGGTCGCCGTGCGATAAATGCTGGATTTCACAAATGTGGAGGAGAAGGTCAAACCAAGGATGGGCGGCCCTCAGAGCTTCGTCAGAGAGGACAGGTGGACCCAATGATTGCTCCAGCCTGATAACACAAACGCAGGCAACGGAAAATAAAATCATTCTTATTTCTCAAGGTGCATGTTACACAGCTCTGAGAAACCATGCCCTTGAACATTAGGCACATCAAAACATTCTCAGATCAAGCCTTCCACTCGTGCTTAGTAGTGAGGCAGCGTGACCTCCCAAATCTTGAAACATGACTGTAGCATGCTGGACATGCAGCATTCAAGTCAGACAATTTTGGCACTGGATCTTTTACTTTCAACCGAGTAAAACACAAGCCATACGACAGATAAGGAGGAATTATAAATGAATACAATGGCTGAAGGTTACTTGAAGAGAATGGGGATAATGCAAGCGCTTGCATGACACTTGCAAGGGATTTCCATCAGAAGTGTACAACACGTCAAAAGCTTTGTGTGAAATGGTACAAAAGACTAAGAATATTCATTCACTGGAAGCGTTTGAGAAACGTCCATCCCGATGACAAGAAATGGGCAAATTACCACAAGTTTCAAACGCTCATAACTGACCCTGAAATAACTCGGGCAGCAGACTTCACAGCAAAGTATGCAATTGTATCACGTGCAAATGACAACATCTTAAACCGAACTGACATCTCACCACTCGTAATCATCAAAGCGAAACTTTCACAAAAAGGAAAGCAATCAGCAATAAAACATAAGAAACAGGGATCACATGCTGTGAAATGTGTCTTATTACAAACATGTGTGCCAATACCAAATGGCCAAAATGAAAAAATATCGTAGGATAACAAAACTATCCTACGTGACTTTACCAAAAGAACCAAGAATATGAATCCCTGCAGTCACGAAAGCTTTAAATCAAAATTGATCCTATTAAATTACACTATTATTCCATGCACAACGTTACAATACATTAACCATTATTCTATTTTATTACACTACTACACAAATGTTAACGTGGAAGAGTAGGCCAAAATATCCCGTGGAGGGCCGCCGCTCGAGTTCCCTCGAGTGGCGACCCTTCCGTCAACAGTGACATGAACGAGAAGTTACAGGGGCGGTGGAGGGGTGAGTGGTAGGGCCATGCCGGATGACCGGTAGGTGGGGGGTACATGGGAGGGTGTGGGGGCCTGGGGGTTTGCCAGGCCCGAGTGGAGGGGCACCCGGGAGTGGCGAGATGGGGATGTTGGGGCGTTTGCTCAGTGACTGGTGAAGCTTCCTCTCGTCCGTATAAAATATTCTCGCAAAACAAATATATTAAATAGTTATTATTAGTAATACAATGCTATTGCAGTTGCTACATCTGGTAGTCACATGTTTAATCGCAAATTAAACACGTTTAGAATAATTACTATGCGGAAGAAGGTCCAGAAGGTTGTGGGTAACCAATTAAACACACGTACAGCTGTACAAAAGTTAACTTAATCAAGAAAAAGTGTAGAATTAAATCTACCTGACGCTACTGCTTCAAATTATGAATATGCATAGTCTACCTGTCGATTATAATGCTCGGTTGCAAAGAGATCCTATTGGAAAGTGGTTCCTGTAAGGCCTCGCAGATCGAGGGAGTGATTTACTTGCAGGCACTCTGTTATCAGAAGTGACGGGAGACATTCGTGACATTATAATGTACGGCCCCTGAATCCACTTTAAATGGCAGTAACTACAGTGCGGTTTTATCTACCAAACCAGCGGCTAGGCTGGAAAGAACAATGCGGCTTTTACGACAGCTTCAACTCCCCAGGGCATGTGTTGGCACTAAATGAGATGCTGGCCCTATTTTCAGTGACTTGTAGACTTCTTGTGGCTCAAATGGAAACGTCCGGCAACGTTTTCACAATTGCAGAAAAGACACCACGAGATATGCCGCAGCCTGGCTTATCTCGTACACACGTGGGACCGCCTGTGGCCTCCACAGTGCAGCCAATACTCTTCACGCTGTCACGGTGGGTGCGGATACGTTTAAAACAGCTTGGTCTTCAGCAGAGTAGAGTTTGGACTTTCATAACTAAAAACGTAGTTTTTTTTTTTTTTACAATAACACCGATATCATGAAGGTATTTGTGAAGTATGGTCAATGAAAAAAGGACGAGATGCAATTTTTCAATATAAAACACTAAGTTGTAAAAACAAAGTGGATATCCTTTCCATACTCTGATGTATTATTACGTGAAAACTGAATTTTCCAATAAATGCGGTTTATAAAAAATAACCACTCTTTTAAAGGGTTTAAAATTTGACTATTGAACTGGTGACTAGCAAGAGACATTAGTTAATTGGGAAATAAGTATGGGATTAGGAAAATTAAAGAACAAAGATGGTAGGCGACAGAAATGCAGATGTCTCCATTTGAACCCCCGCAAAAATCCTCTTCTAACACTAAAAAAATAGTGCAGGGCCAATGCCCACGTCCGAATAGGGTGTTATTGATCGTCAGCACCGAACAGCGATAGTGGCACTTGATCTCTTGCAATCTGATAAGAGGGCAGGATCCTCAGTTCCGGCTTTTCCCCAGTTAGGACAAGATTTATGAGGCACCACTTGTTGGTTTCATAAGATCCCCGTGCTAAAGGTGACCACTCGGGGAAGTATCCACAAGGTGACACGAAGGATATAAAGTCATTTTCTGAAAGCGTGTGGCAATAATCCGGAGCAAAATTGCATCAAAAGGTGATTGGGAAACAAGAGTTCCTTAGAGTTCATGACACCCCGCAACACACATTTAGACGTGTCGTTTCGACAAACTTGGATTGCAAAGTAAAGTGGTACTTATTTTGTTTTGTATAATTATGGGACTGTTGATACTTTGACTCGATTTGTAAAGTCACTTGGGAAATAAAACAGGCACAGAGTGATGTGTCCTAGCTGTTGTTCATGACTTTCGTAAAGCCAAACTTAAAATGGACTGACAGAATGCGTGATACCATTTTTTTTATTTACAACCGTGCAAAAGTATATAAACACGCACCTAACTTGCAGTTGTGATGCTAAAAAAGTCAAAAGAAATCTCAAGTCAATGTGTATTTACTTAAAAGAAGGCAATGTGCATTTACGACATTAATCATCGTCATTATGATCAGCCATGTTCTATTCACTGCTGGATGAAGGCTTCTTAGAGCAGTCTAGTAATGCAACTATCCCCTGCTCATGCAGATGAGGTGGTCTCTTCTCTCCACCTCCGCAGTGGTTGTATATCCCACGCATTCCTTTCTTCGGCTGCTATGCCATCGTTAGTCTTTATCTCTTCCAGCAATGACTCCTGCCCAAGCCCACTTGATTTTCTCAACGGTCAACATGATGCCTCCACAATTATTATTTTTTTCCTCTCTAATCAAAGCATTACTTTAAAGTCTCTCAGTGGAATTCCAAACATGCAACTTTCTATGATTCTCTGCACTTTCTTAAGTCTCCAAAGGGTGGCCCTTTTAATATCCAGGGTGGCCCTTTTAAAAAGAATGTTTTTCAGCAATGCATTATAATTATGTAAACATGTCCGCAATACCCAAAACAGGGTTCGGTTCCCTCAGCACAAATATGAATCACATGAGCATTATTTAAAGGCCTGCAGGACATTGACAGGCTGTCATGAACATGTGGAGAATTAGCTGTCATGGAGGGCTTTATAGAAGTGCTGCCATATTCAATTATTTTCCCAGCAGCTCCTCTAAAAGCAGTGTCAAGTCAGCAATCAAGCCTGTCGGTCCTGTTCCATGATATCTCTTGAATGGTCTCTACAATCTCGAAAAAAAAATTCAGGGCCAGTTAAAGACCACACCATTTCGCCCGGGATTGCTTTTCATGTCAAAAGATTAAAGGTGAGAGGTTACAATGATTCCAAATGGCTGTCACATGCAGGGAGGGGAAATAGAGGCGAGACAAAATACACATTCCACTGAAACGACTGGTAATCATTAGTTTGTCCCAACATGGAAGATAAGCGGATTCAAAGCTGCTTCTGCTTACTTGTTAAATTTATCACACTCTTGTCAGTTTCAAATATAAAAGCCACCGCACAACCACTGGACACAGCTGTTATTCTAGTGCCCACATGTGTTCACTGGTCAACAATCGTAAGTAGCTAACACAAGTGTTGTCGGCCAAACCAAGCAAATCAGATGGCTTTATTGAAGATATCACCTTCTTCCAGAAAAACACAAAAACCTATTTTTACAATACGGACCAATGTACCCACAACTAAACATATAAATCTTCAATTCCATCAATCTGGTACTCATTTTAAATCACTGCCAAGGGAAAAAAGTTTATTCCAACCGTGAAATAACTTTTTGGAGTCGGATATTCTCCAACGCAACACCCAACGAGACCACTGCAACCAGCATTAACTTTAGGCCAAAAGGAATCCATAACAGATAATTAAACTAAACGAACGTGAAGTGGTCACGCACACTAAAGCCCCGTCCATCATCATGATCAACATCCGTGATAAATCCAATCCCGGATGAAGGTCTCCTTCCGCATGTTTTCGCGATCTCTCATCAGGGTCTTGACATGCCAAAAATCCAACTCGCTCCTGCACGGGAGCCAATCGCGTTGTTTTATCTCCATAAAGGTCTTGTTTTCAGGCATGTTCCTCTTTTGGGCGTCATTCCATCACCAGCCTCATCCAATGGTCATCGTCTCTTTTAGCGATGGGGTCCTGCCTAAGCTCAGTTACTTTTTCCCAACAGTCGATATGCTGACCAGCAATTTGTGTTCTTTGACACAGAGCGTTCCTTTCTCTGTCTCAGTCTCAGAGTAATTTCGAACTACACCTTCTGCATGGCTTTCTGAACTATATGCCATTGCTAGGGATATGTACTGCTTGAGAATGTTCTTCAAGGCACAATGGAATGTTTATTTTCATGTACAGGTTAAATCTTCCAAAAGCACTACAATCTGCTCTTGTTCACCTCTAAATCATCATTTTGATCCTGCTCCAAATTAAACTAGTGTCCAAGATATCTTGACTTTAAGCTTTCGTGACTGCAGGAATAGATATTCTATGGGTCTTTCGGTGGCTTTACCGAAAGACCCATAGAAAATGTCCAATATATAATACTCCGTTGTGTTTTCCAGTTGTGCTTTGTACTAATCAGATAATGGGCGACAGTTGTCTTACACTGCACATCACTCTCACTGTCAATTGGTCACATTTGCTCAAAGTTATGTTGATGGTGATCTACTACAAGAGGATCACAATGCACTTATTCAGGAAATGGTTGGGTTTTTACATATGCACAAACAGCTGCGTGCTTTGTAGACATTTTCACATCTCGTTTCAGACTCACTGCTTTTCCGGCCCACATTATTATTTTGGTACAACGAGTTCGTCTGGTCATTTACACATTTGACATCGCAAAATTCGAGAGGTGGTTAATATTTTCTCATCGCTTAACAGTAAATGTGGTAAACAGAATAGCGGCGTCCGAGCGCGAACACGTGCTCATACCTGTAGTAGTGCAGGTAGGCATAGAGGAGGTGCCGCAGCTCGCTCTCCACACAGTAGCGGATGAAACCATCGTGGAAAAGCTCCACGTCCGACGGTTCGATAAGTCGAGGCGCGTAGTATGCGAGGGGGTCCGCTCCATTGTGCGAGCCTTCCACGAGCGCCCTGGCAATAAAAAAAAGCACGGTTACTCGTCAGTAGGTGTCGAAGACGAACTTTAAAAGTTTGGCGATGCAGCTCCGTTGGCAGTGGTGCAAAAGCACAAACAACAAGACCAAAAAATAGGCTAAGAATTCAACAAAACATGAACATTTAAAACGTACTGTAAAAAAATGAAACGCACCTGTCAGCCATTGCCTTGCGGAGAGTGAGCGGATGAATAGGCTGCATAAGACCACCTGTTCTACTCAACCGGACGATCAACCTCTCCAGATCAGACACTTCTGCTGGAACAAAGCATCCCCGCCTTCAAAAGCACACACACACACCCACACACATGCAAACACGAGTACAGTCAATTAGCAACGGGTGCTACATATAGACATAAGTGTGCGATCTGATTTGTTTTGCGTTCGCCGAATGAGCCAAAGTCACACGGGCGTACAGTTCTGGGTCACGGGGCTCAGTACGAACAGTGTCTACACTTGAAACTCTGGAGCCAGGACGCACCAAAACTCGCATGCACCAAAGTTGCATCAGACTAGTTGCCGTTTATTTTCCCCATGCTGTGCTTTAAAGCACCTGCGAGAGAGATACGTTTATTGTCTAGCAGCCTCAAAATTCTGCTAGACACGCCATCCAATGGAAGGCGTTATCGTGAGAACAAAAGGGGAGCCCCCCGCCCCCCGCCCCGTTGGTGATGGGCACCTATCGACGGTCCCAACGATATTCCATAAAAAGGTGGTAAGCGTCTGGTGCCGTGGTGCCACAAGGTGGACCGGAATGGGATCATATTTACAAAGTTACACTTGTGTGCCAAATATCTTTTAAACAGCTGTACGGTCACCAAAAAAAGCGATAATTTATTGTGGCGCCACACAAAACAAGCACGTGTGTATCATTGTCGCCTTTTAACCAGCGACAAAAGGTAGAAAATCATTAAATACATGTGTGCACCCTTGCTCACAGAAAGGGTGGCAATCTACTGACAGTGGACTGCATGATGCAAAGGCATCCAAAGAGGGTACAAGTGTGCTGGGATGATTAAAGAGGAGATGGAGTTTATTATAACTTGGGACACGTTGGATACTTGGGCAAGCTGCACAGGAACAATGGGCTGGGTAGCCTCGCGGAGCCTTTACACAGAAGCAGATTTCGATGTGGGGAAAAACTTTGATATTCTTTTTTTTAAGTTTGACAATGTAAAAAAACGAATGACGCTCAATGGTGACGTGTAAGGAAATTGGATGAGCCCAAATAGCACAGAGGTATCAAAAGAAGGCTATGAACTGTGTCCGAGTCACAAAAGCTGTACAAAACACAGCTACAATCTGAGCCGTGACAAGCATCAAATGAATATTGGAAAAAGTAGCCTACGCATGAAACATAATTACCTCAGTTTAATCAAAAGTTGGACGGAAGACATGCTGCTAAAATATTTGTCAGACTGCAGTTAAAAGAGCTGAAGGAGTCAGTGATTACAGTGCCTTTCTTACGACTAAAAATGACCTGGACCTAGATATTTGCTGCTGTGCATTTGAAAAGGTATTATTTGGCATGCTTTGAGATTCAATAAGCTGCTAGTTCAACATACAGCTGCTTAGGAGAGAAAAGAAAAATCAGCTCCCTCGTGGAACAAAGTCCATTGAGCACCAAAAAAACCTGTTTTTAAATTATGCAAAACATAAGACTTACAATGTCCTCTAATACAAAAAAGGTTGCAATTGTAATATACACCTATTTCAATATAAACGTTGACTACTCTAAATGTTAAAACCTTATGGGGAAAAAATAAGCAATGGTTGCAAAGTATGCTGGCATTAACATTAATATTTAAATGTTAATTACAACTTAATGATGATTCATTTCAAAGATTGGAAATTCTGCAGAAAATATCAGTGTAATATTGGATGCCTGAACTGGGTCTGATGTCACAATTTGGATAGCATGTTAGTTATGCCACGGAAAGCACACCTGACAAATTTCCTCCATTAGCCTTTCATTAATGTGTGACTCGAGAAGGCATTTAATTATTCCTAACAGGGATCCTGAAATGGGCCATTGATCAAATACCCCACAATTTCAAACACGTTATTAATGATGTATTAGATAAATAAAAATTATAATGTACAACCCTTTGCAAATCAGATTCCTCCAGGATTAATAAAGATTCGGATTCAACTCCTGTATGAAGCCCTACCCTTTCGGTGACAGTCGTCAAGGTTGAATTATGTATGTAGAACTTCTTTCGTACCGTACGTAGCCAACCGTGCTAATCGGAGGTGCGGGTTGTTTGGTTATACTTCAAGACGCTGGTCCAGGGCGGGTTGGCAAAGTGGGAACCGATTAGCATGGCTAGCTCCGTAGGGTGGTGCGAAATAAGTTCAAGCATACATACATACATGGTACTTGTCATTGATGTTAAAGAGCGGTCGGGAATGGAAACTCATCTCGCCAGGTCCACGGCACGGTGTGCAAGCCACTGTGCCACCGCCCCGCAATGCATGCCATAATCACATTTTTAATTCACGAATCACATCACATTCAGCCGCAGACAGTCCTGCCATATTGGACCTGGGGCCTTAGTCCGGAGCCTAAGGTCCGGGATGGAGGTGTAACTGGTGTAACTGTAGTCACGTGTTGGCCAGGATTATGACGATTTGGCCAGCGAGCTGCAGTTACGTGTAAAAGCATTCGGTAAATAAATAACCACATTTTTAATGTTCACCATCTCTATCCTTGTTTCCCTGGCCGTCTGTCTGTGTAGAAAGCCACATTGTTCCACTATGAGCACTCGCCTGATTAAAAAACGACTTGTATTGATTTCCAAAGCACGAGGGAAATATTCCCATAATGTTGCAATATAATGCTCATCCTTAATCCTCTGCTGGAAATGAAATAGCGTTTCTCAAAGAGTTATGACAACTAGGCTCTAAAAATAATAAAAATGAACGTTCCATCAAAAAACACAGTTGGCTTCTACAAGACAGCAGAATACACCCACTGGCATTTGGCAATCTCATGGAATTCATCAGTGTCTTTTTGATTTAAGGTCACTTATTATCAAATTACATAATAAAAAAAGACCTATTACATAAAAGGAATATTCTGGAAGCACAACTTTACCATGGTTATTGACAGACACATTAAATACTGTAACACATAATAACACAATTTTTACTCTTATCAAGGGTGCATGGAGTCTACCATGGTGCAATGGTCAGCACACTGGTTTAGAAATCCAGGTCACCAGTTATATATGTATATTTAATTTCATCTGCACCGTACATAACCAACCGTGCCAATCGAAGGTGCGGGGGACTACTATTTGTGAATAGAAATACCTGGGGTCTCGCAGTTGCTGAGGGCAGCAGGGAAGCACTGCCCGAGGGTCATGACCTCTGGTTTCGTAAATCCACCCCCCCTTTCCCCGCCTCTATCCACCCAGCAGTACAAATGTGTACACCACAATTAGTCGATCGGTAGGTCACATGTGGCTTCTGGCCAGCCTAGCATATGAGGTCAAATACACTCTAGAGCTCCCTTGACTAATAAATAAAAGAGGGACAACACAAGCAGAGATTTTCAGCAACAACAGTGATAACTACTTTTAAATCTTGACTTACCAAGCTTTCGTGACTGCAGGAATTCATATTCTTTGGGTCTTTCGGTAAAGTCACGTAGATGGTTGCAGTTTTTTGTTATTTTCTTTGAACCATCTACGTGACTTTACCAAAATACCCAAAGAATATAACTACTTTTATTAAGGCACTTTTAACACACTTACATTTCAACAAGAACATTTTAATCCCAACGTTTAAAATTCTAACACAATGTTTCCGTTGCCGAAATATCGTGACCTCCCTGGAGAGGACTTGCGCAGACACACAGAGGTCCGCTCACCTTGCCATCTCATCCAGCACAGCATCGCGGAGGTGCAGGCTACACAATGAGCAGCCGTAGGACATGTCGACAGGGAGGTCGGGCCAGGCGGCCTCCTGCACCACGCCTCCGGCCGAAGCCGCAGCCCAGCGGCCCAGCCGTGGACCATCATTGCGCGAAGTCAGGAAGGACCAAAGCACCTCGGGGGAGTAGGCGGTCGAGTCTGGTCAAAGGGAAAAAACGGCGTCGTTATTTTTTTAATGGAGCTGTGAAGCTACTTTGCTATTTGCCTGGCAAATATCACGTCGGTCTGTCTGTCCTAGAATGCGTCACATGCTTACTCGAAACCCTTAAATTCAATGGCTACAAAACTCACCACACAGCTTACCAACACCGATATGTAGATCTGCAGAGCAGAGCAGGATTGATAACAATACTTAAAAAAGTGTTAAAAAATTACATTTTTATTCTATGGGTCTTTCGTTAAAGTCACGTACGTAGAAAAATAATTAAAATATCACGTTTCGATCGCAACACAAGCAATCATTGCGATAGAAACGTCGTGAATATTTTAATTATTTTTCTATGTACGTGGCTTTACCGAAAGACCCATAGAATATGTATTCCTGCAGTCATGAAAGCTTTAAGTCAAGAAATAAAATATGTTGTGTTATGAACCAGTGCAAGATGTGCGTTTGATTTAAAGCTTTCGTGACTGCAGGGATTCATATTCTTGGTTCTTTCGGTAAAGTCACATAGAAGGGAAACAATCAAATAATTAAAATATAAAATACAATACAATTCTCACGACGTTTCGACTGCAACACAAGCAATCATCATCAGGTGTGAAAACCACAGCAAGAAAATTCTAGAAAAAACGCCACTTGTGTTGCAGTCGAAACGTCGTGAGAATTTTGTTTCATATTTTTATTATTTTATTGTTTCCCCTCTACGTGACTTTACCGAAAGAACCAAGAATATAAGATGTGCGTATTACAATCTGAGCATTAATGTTACTGACATGTGTGTTTGAGTATTTGTAAGCGTACATTTCTTAGTAGAGATGAACCCCCTAACACAAAACAGATACTCTGTTAATAGACTGGCTTATAAGATTAGTCTGTGTTCAGGAATTGGTGCAGGTGTCAAACAAGTAGGTACTTTGTAAAAACGAAAATCTCAGTTATGGGTGCTGAAGGTCAAAGCCATGTGTACAAAAAGTAGTCGGAAATGTGCAACATCTTTTGCTCAAAAGTATTTCTTAACAAACTGTATTTTTTTTACATTCTTAGCTCTTTCGGTAAAGTCCCGTTGAAGGGAAACAATAAAATAAGAAAATATATATAAATTATATATACGTGACTTTAACCGAAAGAGCTAAGAATATGAATTACTGCAGTCACGAAAGCTTTAAATCAAAAATGTATTTTTTTATTACATTTTCAGTTCTCTGCAAGCGTATGAAAGTATTTAAATTCTCAAATATCTTCTAAACTTTACGCACAAATTGGGATTGTGCGCTCGTGCCCCCGGGAAAATCAGAGTGTGGCACTTTTAAGATGGAAAATTTAGCGATGGACACGTCCTGTAACACAGGTGGTGGGCACTGTTGGAACGCTCGTGTGCACCACGGGGTGCGACGGGCGCGATAAATTGCAGCGATGTCGTGTATGGCGAGGCAACAAACGTGCGGCCACTGAGGTGTGAATGATTTCACAGGACTAAATTGAGCCAGATGCACAAAACGAGCTTACCTTTGTCCACAGCTTTATCTGTGCCCGCATGCCGGTCCAGAAGGATCCTTTGCCGAGTAACATCATCCCATCGATATGCCCAGTCCAGCATAATGCTGACCTCGCCCGTAGTCGCCTGACCAGAGGTTGTGACTCTCTTGAGCAGGGCATCTCTGCTGCCCTCAGCCACTGCGAGACCCCAGATATTTCTATTCACATCAAAATCACAGCACAATTGGAAAATTATTAAAAATAGCTACTCTCAATCATTCAAACCGATGCTTCAAATATTGGCAAGAATTTGAAGATAAGGTTACAATGTTTCATATACACTGAGGTATTTTTGTCAATCAACTGCTGGATGAGGGCCTCCTGAAGTCATATGGAACGTGGGGGTACCATGACTAAACTTCACCATGCTGGTCAATGTGGGTTGCTGATGGCGGGGAGCACAGATGTGGGAGCATAGAGGTATAGTACAACAATGGATATTGCTTCACAGCTCTTGGCTCTGCGCCACATAGCCTGGCAGTCTTATGACAACCGGTCTATGCTTGGCGGTCACTCCAAGGTAAGCCCCTGCATAACTTCGAACCTCTGATTAGACCAGGCACATTGTCCATGATTGGTGAAGGAGGGCCCATGAAGACAATCGCAATGTCATTAGTTTTCTGTAGCTTTTAAATAATACAAAAAGGGGCATACAAATCTTGACTTAAAGCTTCTATGACTGCAGGAATTCATATTCTTTGGGTCGTTCGGTAAAGTCACGTAGATAGGTTCAAAGATGACGATGGTTTGTGTTGCCATCGAAACGTCGTAGTTTTTTGTTATTTTCTTTGAACCATCTACGTGACTTTACCGAAAGACCCAAAGAATAAGGGGCATACAAACTTCTTCAATTTAAACTAAAGGGAAGGACAGAGTTCTAAAAACTTAAGTGCTACCTGTCAATATAATCTGTGGATAGCAGTTAGAAGTTAACAAGCAGTATTAGATACCAGGGTTTCATACAATAAATAAGCAGTGGCTCTCATCTCAAAAACATAGCCCAAGGTATTTCAAATTGACTCGCACAAGGGTATCAATTTATGTCGTAATGATGCCGTTCAATCATGAAAGAAAGTTCAGTGTGCGAATGCAGCAGATGGCTGAAAGTATAATTCTGATATAAATGAAAAGAGAATTCACCGGAATACATTTCATTTGACATGAGTGTTATGGATAAGTGCCTTTTGGCCAGTTAGTGTATGGGTCCAAGTCGATGCATCTTGAGGTTTATTAAAAAAATTCCATCCCACACAAATAAGATTTGTTGAGTGTGGTCGAGCAGATCTGCAAACCGGTAACTTTGATGGATCAGATCTGGGTCACAGATATGGACCCTGTGTAGTGAACAAGGTCGTTTATTGAGGGGCAGCAGAAAAAGTTAAGTTCTGATGGACTATGTTTTTAGAAACAGAGTACCCCCCCCCCCCCTGAATGTGGGGGTTTTCTCTTGGCAATGTGGTTTCCACCCATGCACTAAACAACTCTAAAAATAACTGTCAAACATGACAGTAAGGAGCATCCTCCATACAGAGATTCTAAAGATTGAAGCTGTCGTGGGTAAATAAGGAGCATAGGCAGCACCACTCACTCTGTGTTACATGCTGAATGCAGTGAAGTCCATAACCTTGGATGAGAATAAACTATACAATTCACGATGCATACTCTTTGGTTCTTTCGGTAAAGTCACGTAGGTAAAAAATCAATAAAGTTAAGTTAAAATAAAGCAACAATTGAAAACTAAATCAAATCACGACGTTTTGGAGGCAACACAAGCTTCTGTCATCAGGTGTAACTGTCACAGCAAAATTACTGTTATGTATGTGAGTATGTGAAGCTTGTGTTGCCTCCGAAACGTCGTGATTTGATTTAGTTGTTTTCAATTGTTTTATTTTAACTTAACTTTATTCTATTTTTATTATTACCTACGTGACTTTACCGAAAGAACCAAAGAGTATGGATCATTGCAGTCACGAAAACTTCAAATATAGAATTCACGATGCATCAATTAATCAATTAAAAAACACTAATATACTCCAAAATACACGTCCAGAAGCATTGCAAGTGTGAAAATGCATTAATGTTAATCAAAGGAAATTTTACTCAGATGTTAAATTCAAGTGTGTCTGTTATTAAGGATGGGTTGTTTTAACGTAATAAATTCGCCATTCTGCCCAGTGTGGCTTTGGTGAATGGAGCACATTTTGTCTCGCCTCTCACAGAGTACCCGACTGCTATGTGGAATGCCCCTCTGTTGCAGAGCGAGCCACCTCGGATCTCATTACGGTCAGGTCAATAAAGCGAACGCAACGAACAACAGAAATGAGGAAGTAAAACGCGACATAAAATAAACGATTACCGAATCAACTCATGACCCCCAAATTGTAACAATTAAATCAACTCACTGGAGAGAGGGGGGGGGGGGGTGTGGTCACAAGTCTCATACAAATTAATTGATCCCACCCGAGTCTCTGTAATATCGCCACAGCAGTATCACACTTCCACTGGAGGTCATGCACCCACAAAACAACAGGGCCTCTTCATACAAAAAGCCACATACATTTAAAAGCGAGACTGAGTGCAAATGCTTCATTAATATGTCATCATCATCCTTGAAGCTCTGTCGTACCGACAGGTCTGTTCCTTTCACCTGATGACGGCCGCTTGCGTTGTGGCCGAAACGTCGTGAGAATTTTGTGTTATTTTATTATTTTATTCTCATTCTACGTGAGTTTACCGAAAGAACCAAAGAAGATGCATCCTGATCATGTAGAGTATGTGACATTTCCACCGGAGACATTACATAGCCCTGAGCTGATCACCCACAAGCTCGGCATTTCACAAAAGATTTTAAATCACCAAGCGTTCTGATGTATTCATTAATATACAAGTATTCTAGCCTCAAGGTGTTCACCAGCAGAGTCATGACCAGCAAATCTCTTAATTGAAAGTATAAACAATTCCTACGGAGGGAGCTGGTAGGTACGTTGGGTTGCTCGGTCAATGGCGGCGTGGTGTATTTCGCAAATATGCCCAACTGTGAGGACGGGCACAAGCCGGCGTGAGTAGGTTAAACGTTGAGCTTTATAAGAGCACCACGGGGTGACCAGCCCCTCCCCACCCAGCCCCACCCCTCCCACCCCCCACCCTCCCCACCCCCCACCCAGCCCACCCTCCCCACCCAGCCCCTCCCCACCCTTCCCACCCAGCCCCTTCCCAGCCCCTCCTCACCCTCCCCTCTCCACCCAACCCCTACCCCTCCCATTTTATCCGGGTGTCCGGATACACGTGGACAGACATCCACAGACATCCACAATTAATCCCCTGCCTCCTGTGAATTAATCCCGGTTGGGCTTCCAGTCCACTACGTTTCTTACCAGTAATAATGAATTGTTAAAGCAACCTGGACTTTCATGTAGCCCTTAAAACATTGTCTCTTGGTTTAAAAGGAAAGAATTACTATTCTTGGTTCTTTCGGTAAAGTCACGTAGAAGGGAAACAATAAAATAATACAAATATAAAACAATAAAATTATCACGACGTTTCGATTGCAACACAAGCAATCATCATCAGGTGTGAAAACCACAACAAGAAAATTCAAAATTTCCACAAGAAGAAAATTCAAATTGTTTCCCTTCTACGTGACTTTACCGAAAGAACCAAGAATATGAATCCCTGCAGTCACGAAAGCTTTAAATCAAAATTAAAAAATTACTGTGATGGGAAGGAATTCCGAATAAGATGTACAGGATCTGCAGGGCAAATGAAAATGAACTGCTCCACATTGAAATACCCTCCCATCATCTCTTCTCACGAGTTCTTACAACCTTGCTCAATGTAAGTAAAACACATTAACTGGTATCTATGACACCTTCAACGGTGTGCTTTGTTGTTGTTCGCTTAGCGCTTTGGGCCTGTGCTCTGCAATTGATATTTTTAAAAACACAATTAAAGGATACATATCTAAACACTCCAAGGACATGCTGACAAAGATCTATTTGGTGAAAAAGTTTGATATTTCCCCCATTAAGCACAACTATTCCTTTTGTCGTTGAAACTTTATTTATTAACATAAATTATTCACCATGCATGGGTTTCGTCACGAACCATCAGCATTTTTAAACACTAAACAAAAGCCGAGTTGGCGTGTACAGCATTATATCTTTTTTTCAAGCGGCATGTAATTCACTACATGCATACACATGTATTTATAGCCACGAAAGACAAAGATCTCCTGCATAGCCTTCAACAATGTTGGGACAAGTGCTATTCCACGAGCACCTATGAAGGCCTGCATGGCACCACGAGGGAGTGGGTGGCCAGCACCACGCCCGGCCACCTGTCTCCCCAGTGACGATGGTTATCACATATATCGCTCCAGATAGTTATTTAAGGCTGAATCGATCTAGGAGAGTCCCAGGACCGGTTCGGATATTCGTCACGAATACTGGTCGTGAGCGGGAATCTAAATTTTGAGCCACAGACAATCACACACATGTGCAACCCACTGCACGCTTTCCACGTTGTGGTCAGTTTATAATGTGGTATTTTCAGCCACTATTTGGATAGTATACACGCAAATGTTCTAAAGACTTTTCACAATAATTTTCAGATTCTTGGTCTAAAAAGACACCTTTGTACTGTTTACCGTTCATGATGTTGATTTTAAAAATGTCTCATGTGTAGCAAGCACTCTTGAACCATCTGCTGTTGTCACATGTGCGGTAATGACGCTCAATGCCGTGTCTGAATTTGTTGCTGTCTGAATTTGTTGCGCTTGAACCGTCACCGTTGTTTCTATTTTAACCAGGCCACTCTTGCTTTTCTCTTTAATGTGGACGTGAAATTTTTTTAAAATCTTTTTTTGTTGCTCAAAGTGCTTGTGTTTGGAGAAAATAAGTATGGAGATGATTATGTATACAAGCATCTCTGAAGAATGATTTAGCAAACAAAATTTGCAATGTTAAACTGTGCCAATATCTACTATTGAATGTCATGATACATTACATCTATAATAACAACAAATGTATTTTGAAGCTACTAATATATCATTAGACCTCCTTTGCCAGTACCAAAATGTAATAATAGGGTTTTTCCCTGTTTTCTGGCAACAAAACTGAAACCTTTTTACAAGGATTCATGTCTGCATTAACCACGATACCTGCAGTCAAAATGCAAACAAAAAACATACTATGATAATATATGTATTGTCCTTGAAACTGATTGGTGTGGACCAACTGATTGGTGTGGACCAATCAGTTTCAAGGACAATACATATATTATCATAGTATGTTTTTGTTTGCTTTTTGACTGCAGGTATTGTGGTTAATGCAAACATGAATCCTTGTAAAAAGGTTTCAGTTTTGATGCCAAAAAAAGGGGAAAAACCCTATTATTACTGCTAATATATGTTTTAAATACAGCACAAATAACAATGCCTAAAGTTAAATGTTGACAACGACAAAAAATCCCCACGTAACCCAATTTTGTATTCAGCTGACATTTAAAAATAATCGGAATGTATTCTATTACATTTAAAATGAAAATAAAACGTAAACTCGGTTAAATATTTAAAACCTTTTTATGCTCAAATTCACCTCAAAATACATAGGTGAAATCCAGCAGAATCACAAGAACACTATACCCTCTCTGAGAAAGGGGTAATTCAGTGACATTAAGTCCCCACTGCTTCTTTGTGAGCTGTGACCTCGTGGGCTTCACAGCCCAGCCCACTCTATTTGAACTCTCTCCGCTGAGGTCCCTGGCCATTATGCTTTTAACTTTTTTTTCCTTCTCTCTCTCCCCCTGTGCTTCCTCTTTTTTTTCTCTCTTCGGTCCTGGCTCTCAAAATGTTACATGCTTCAATTTCTCAGAATGTAATTAGGCTTCATTTGGTGTCATTTCAGGCATCACATCAACGGGATGTCTTTTTTTCCGCGACCTATTTTTTTGACGTGCGTTTATAAATTAAAATAATTAAACGGGTGGCATTTTCTCATTTTCACAGCAAACTACCGCTACAGTAATACTTCAGATAAAAAGTGATGACGTTAACAAAATAATCATTGTTTCCAATCAAATATTTATTCACCTAGTTTGCTTGTTAATCATCACCGTTATTTGTTTAGTCTTCTCTGTATCGAATTCTCCAAATCTTTTCTTGCCGGAGCGTGCAGCCGAGAGGCCAGGGTGGATGTGTTGGCGAAACGGTGTGAGGGGGGGGATGGAGGGTGGTGGGGCTCACATTTTAAACTAGCGTATTGATGTTTTCTTAGCCGACAGATCCCAGGAATGTTTTTAAAGTAATTCGGTTTTTGTGCAGGGACTCACGTTGAGCTCCTCGCCGTCCCCTTGCCAATGTCATCATCCTCCGTGCGGGGAGCGTAGAGCGACTCCACACGACGTACAAATTCGGCGGTCGTTATTTCGCTCTGGGTCAGCGAATCTGCCTCAATCAACTTCTCAACCTTTGCAAACGACAAAGACAAAGATCCCCCGTATAGTTTATATATATGGTCGGGGGCAAGTGCTGTTAAGCGAGAGCACCTATGAAGGCCGGCATGAAAAACGAGGGAGTGACCAACACCACGCCCGGCCACCTATGTCTCCCCAGTGATGACATTTACATACCACACACTAGGTACTCATTTGCGGCCGAGTTGACCTGGGAGAGGCCCATGACCGGTGCAGATAATCGCCACTGGTGTTAGCTGCGAGCGGGAATCGAACTCGGGTCGCCAGCTTTGTAGCGCAGCACGTCACAACTACCACTCCCCTGACAAATTCAGCGACGTACAAATTCAATGGTAGTTATTTCACTCCGAGAGAACCCGCCTCAATCAACTTTTCAACCTTTCCAAGCGACACACGCACATGGTTAGAATGCTAAAACAGAAAAATGATGAAACGATTAAATACTGATCACAAGTTATGTTAAATACACAACTGCACAAATGCAGAGGCCTGGAGCAGCAGTTGACAATTTGCGGGCGATGCGTGTGTCGACCCCTCTGTCTATAGAATGATTAGCAGCACTCTGTTTGACAAACCAAAGTGCACAAATGAAGGACAGGCGACCTTGATGAACGGGCGGCAGCTAATGGAGGACATGCTCGTCATGCGCCGCATGCTGGGAGGGCTCCCCGCGGAATTTACCGTACCCTCGATTGCACGGGATGATTGGAGCATCTTACGCCAAAAAAACTCACCAGGAAGTCCCGCAGGTTTCTCTCCAGTGTGTAACAACAAATGTTGCACAACTGCTCAGTTGTATCGAATCCCTGCAAATGAGATACAAACAACAGTCATGTACAATGCACATCTCTGCAAGGTATTGTTACATATACAGCCCTCGTGTCGATCCACTGCTGGTTGACGGTCGCCGCATGACGTGCAGGTCGTAAGGGTTGCTTGACCATACTTAACTATGCTGGGCTATGCGAGTTGGGGAAGGCGAGGAGGAGAGACATGGGAACGTAAATGGCACAACTGGGATATAAATTGGGGGAAAATAAAAAAAATACATTTGAATTACAATTGCAAAATCTATCATAATCGTCACTCAATACCAAGCCTCCCATGCAGTAACACCTCAAGGCGACCTGCAGCAGGGGAGTTCTAGTGGCAGCTGTCCCTGTTAGGTACAAGGTGAAAGCAGCACTAGCCAGAGAGTGGACATCAGCCTGCCAGTAGAGGACAATGTTGCAATGTGGCTTCCCTAATTCAGTGAGCTGCAGGTACTTAATTAAATTTGGACAATGGATCCAGCATACACAAGGGACAACTCCTTTTCGAACGCTGTCATCCTGAGATGTTTAACGTCGACCACGCAGCAGGTACCATGTTGAAGATGAGCTTCGTGGCCATGCCGAGGTCACCACCCTGCAGGGCGCAGTGGGCCAGGTGGAGCCCCCTGTTCGTGAAGGGGCCGAGCCTCCAGGCCCCGTGGCCCCTCATGCGTAGCCACGCCTGAGCCACAGGGATCTGGTTTGTGAGCACAGCATCCCGGATCACTTCCTGCAATGGATGGTCGGAGTGGAAAGGGGATTTATAAAAGGTAAAGGTGCAGCCTTGGCAATTGCTCAAATCTACTCCACAGCTTGTGTAAGGACCTCCCCCCTTCCAGAGGGTATTTTTGGATGATGCTTCAATGATCGCTAGGACATGTATGTATGTACACACTTTGAACTTCTTTGGACTGTATGTAGCCAACCGTGCTAATCGAACGTCTCAGAAAACGTGGGAGTACTCACACTTTAGCCCATCACATGCAAACCTGCTGAGTAAAAGATGCAAGCGGTGGGGGGGGGGCATTTATGAACAATTGAAGATTTGAAATGTCTTATTAACTAACACAGAATGTATAATACTGTACAGACTTGTGCATAGCAAAAACAAGCTCAAGCATGATAAGGAGCTGCGTTGGAAGGGCTGCCAACAAGCACAAAACTTAATCTTTTTCCATTGACACTGCCTTATAAACAGAACGAAATAATAATGCATAGGCTGACCACATAATCAATCTGGATTTGTAAAGTAATTAAATTATACTCAGTCTTAAAGCTCTGAGGTCATGTATTTGAAGGCAGTAAATGAAGAGGAAGAAGCAGGGTTTTTTTATTTTTATATGAAGGCAATGTTAAGGCAGATGAACAGGAAAGGTATAAAAATAAATCCGGATAGCAAGAACACAAAACAAACGCTCCCACAGAAAAGTGATACGTTGCAATAAAAAAAGGTCCTGAAAAGTGCACAAATACTGTTTGTATTTTCAAGGAAGTTCTAGAAAAATGTGATAACCTACAAAAAGTTAATTCTCCAAAAGTTGAGTTTTATTGAGGGCAGGCAGATTAGGTTGGAGTGAGTGAATCACAAAGTTCACAGTGCAGCCATACGCGAGGCGAGTCGTCATGATATCAGCCATGTTTAATCCATTGCTGAATGAAGGCCTCTCTCCAAGCCACTACCACCTCACGCTATCCTGCGAAGTAATAATCCAAATAGCAAATGCATATGAAGCGATGTCGTCATATTCTTGGTAAAACATCCCCTCAAGACGCATTCCATTCCTTGGCTGCCACTCCGTTTTTATTCTGGACCATCAGTCATCGTCCCTTCTAACAGATATGTCCTGCCCAGACGATGGTTGATGCTTTATAGTGGCAATGGGGGGGGGGGGAGGGCAGCTGTACAATAGAAATTCGGCATTTCATTGAAAAAACATAGTTTTTCAAAAAAAATATTGACATGAGTTATAGTTTTTCCAGGACAACTCTTTTACGCATCGTGATTTTCTAAGAAAAATATTTTACACAGGACAACAAGCGATATAATTGAGCGTTTATGGACTACCACTTGCGAAAACGAAAGCATGCAGGTTCAATACGATACAGCCTTAAGTGCGAAAGGAACAACCTGACCAACAGGACTTCAGGCACATTAAAGTGATATCAATTTAAAAGGGTAATCAGCCAAATCCAGCCCATTTTTTTTTTCATCAAATACAAGGGATACTTCTAACCCCTTTGACATATACAGGCAATATTAAAACAAAGGGCGGAGGAGGCATGATATGAAGCGATTCACATTAAGTCAGTGCACAGAGACCTCAAACACACAAATAAGTGGAAAACAAGGGTCATTTTTGTGTCGACATCTTGAAATTTTACGACAGTTCCCAATATCAAACGAGACCGTATAATACAATGAAATGTCAACAGGTAGTGAGTATTGTACAGGACACTGCATTTTACTGCAGAGCTCCAATCTGAAACACAGAGGAGCGTACTCTTGCATAAAAATTGCATGACATGACCCATCAACAATGGAAAGAATAATGCGGCAATCGTTTCAGCCTGTCATAAATTTTAAGTGGTACAAACAACAACTATTTGCATATATTAAACTCCTGACAAAGACCGAACAAATTATTGCCGTGTTTAATTGAAACAGCTAAGAATATAGGGTCACACCTGTCAAAATTTTCAAACGAGGCACTCGATTTCGGGGTGTTCATTTCCCCGATGCTTTACTCCCTTACCAAAATATCAACGTGGGAAAGCAACCATGGCAGCAATTAACTCACTACATATTTTTTGGTATCCCTTCCCGCACATCTGGAAAACAATAGTGCGAGCAGCAAGTCCTTGCACAACATGAAATGTGCTCGCTTTTCGTCTCCTCTTGTTCAACCGTGCGCACTCTCGCCCAATGTAGATATAGAAACTTGAACAAAAATGAAAAATACACCCGGAACTAACCAGAACAAGCAGGTGGTGAGAGAAAGAGCTATACTGCCTGTCAAACAAACTTCAAAATTAGCTAGTGTGGATGGGGTAAAATGAGACAAAGCCTCAGGGAAAAGGGGCACGCTACAGTCTGCATGGACCACGGGTTGCGGAGGAGAACACTAGCTGCCGTTTTGAGTTTGGGGCACGGGCATATCGTTTTTTTGACGATTACGTGCGTGTGCATTTTAAGTGCCGGCCGTGAAAATCTTACGTTTTGAACGGCTGTAATTTTTTGAGAGTCTATTGCAGGAAATTTATAGGGAAGTTATGAAGATCACGGAAGTAAAAAAAAGATGTCAGTCAAATCTTGTTTGACATCTGTGAGACTGAAATGGAAGACCGGTCTACATACACCGCATTAATCTCGCATAAAATCCCTTTTCCAGTGCTGTAAATCTACGTGCTGATGCGCTTCCATCCAATTCCAAAACATACAAGCCAAGATGCACTGAGAATGAATATGGGTTATGCAACTATTTACATGTGAATCAAGCATTGTAATAAACTTGTATTCTACAACAGCCAAAACATTTAGAATGCAATATTTAAAAAACGGTCACACAGGTATAAATGCTAGGCTTATTCCTAAGCCATACCTCAAAGCAATACTTGTCATAGACCCCTCTATATTCCACCAAAACAGCCCTTCTCAATGTCGAGAACCATCTTGCAAACTCCTTCAATGCCAGTCTTTCTTCAATTCTCATTCTTCTTGACACTTCCTTAAACCTTGACACCGTTGATCACCCCCACTCTTGTTTCCACTCTCTCCGACCTCGGCATCTCCGGCACTCGCACTCTAAGATGTTTTTTCTTGTTCGTGTTTTTGCTTTTTTGTTTTGTTGTGGTTGCACCCGATTCAAGAAGCCGGATGGCTCACAGGGCTATACCAAAATAAAGAAACTGAAACTAAACTGAAACTCTTTTGGCTCAAGCCTTACCTTTCTTCTCGCACATCGTCAATCTCCTTCAATCCTCAACCCTCTTCCCCGCCCCCCTCTCAATGTTGGTGTTCTGCAGGATTCAGGTCTGGGTCCTTCACTCCATATTTTTCACCCCTTGAATCTGTCATCTCCTCTTTATACTTTCCTCACCATTCCTTTGCCAACGTGACCCACATCTTCATCTCCTTGCTATCTTTCGCCCCCTCACATTTCCTCTCAAATCTCCTCCAGCCGAGCTACCATACAATTCTGGATGACGCTTCCCGCACCTCTGATTATATCATCGCACGGGTGGCTACGTATGGTGCGAAAGAAGTTCAACATACATGTGTACAGGCTTTATTTTCTCTCTCTCAATCTTTCCAAAACATCATTTCATTTTCTTTCCGGTCTCCCACTCTCCCATTCCCACCATCTGCTTCTCTCCTTTCTCCCTCGCTCCTGCTTCCCTCTGCCCTCAACCTTTGATTCTTCGCTCACTTTTCTCTCCACATATCGTAGCTACGACTCGCATCTACAGGAAAATCCGCACTCTCATTTCACTTTCTGCCAAACCAAACTCCTGGTGCATGCTCTGGTCTGAACCCATCTGGAGAACTTCTGCAATTCTCTTCTTGGTCTCCTTACCGAAGCTCTTGCGATCTCCTCCAACAAATGGAAAATTGCTTCCGTGCGGATTATTTTCAATCTCCCATTTGATCCTCACGATTCACCTCTCCTCCTTTAACTTCCCTGGCTTCATGTTGACTACACCCGCTGTCTTTTCAAATACCTTACACTCATCTTTAAATCTCTCCATGGCCTTTACCCACCTAATCTTGCCTCTCTCATCTCCTTTTGTCCCCTCTCGTCCTCTGCATTTCCAATCTTCCCTCTTGTCCCTCCTCCATACCAAATCTCGTTTTCGATCTTTCTCTCTCATTGCACCCCTCCCCACTGGACTAAACTTCTCCTGTACATTAAGCAGTCCCCATCTTAACCTCCTTCCGTTCCTGCCTCAAAGCTCACCTCTTCTCCATTGCCCCTCTCTTCCTCTTTCCTCTCTTCGCCCTGCTCTTTTGTGATCCCGATGTGTCCTCTGTTGCGGTCACTCACTCCCCTGCCATCTGAGTAACTCAATTGTGTTACTGCTTTTAAAATTAGGTTAAGTGGCTTGAGCTAAGGCACTCGGAATATAAAATAAGATAAGAATCCATAAATGGCTCACACTATCCTTGTAATGTGCCAATGTCGAAACCTATTGACCACCCCTTGATTTGAAGCTTTCGTGACTGCAAGGATTCATACTCTTTGGTTTTTTCGGTAAATACTCTTTGGTTCTATTCGGTAAAGTCACGTAAAGTAACGTAGGTAAAACTATAAAATAAAAGAATACATGAAAAAAACGACTAAATTAAATCATGACGTTTCGGGCGCAACACAAGTGTCCTTCTTCAGGTTGGGACAAAGTAGCGAAAGCACAAACGCTTAAGTGTGTCTCAGAGATGGCTGTGACGAGGGATTATATAGTCGCGGGGCATGGAGGGAGGGGGGGCCATGGCGAGTGTGGGGGCGGGGTGTGGGCTGGTAGGCAACGATGGGCTAATTTTGTTGTTTTTTCATTTATTATTTTATTCTATAGTTTTACCTACGTGACTTTACCGAAAAAACCGAAGAGTATGACCACCCCTTGTTGATGAAGTACATTTCCCCCAATAAGGTCTACACATTAGCTTCACTGTATTAAGCCCCATCATGAACAATCGAGCAACCCACACGACTTCCGAGGATCCCCGACAAAGGAACAGAAATTGAATGCAGCAGCCAGAAGGCAGCAGCCACAATCGTTACTTTCTTTCCATCGCTGTCTTCCCAGCAGCCATATCGTCATATCTTTTTTTACAGGCATTCGTGGTGGCAAGATGCTGCAGCAGCAATATTTAGTTACAATTATGAATGCGTGATCAGTTCCGCTGTACACTGCATGACACTGACTAGTCACTTAAATAAGGGATTCCGATATACGAGACAGGTTTTTGCTCCCCTGTGATGGACTGCGGGTGAAGCAGACTAACTCACAAATCGCAGACAAAGTACCCCTACCCTCCAGCAACCCATGGCAATATCTTCTCATTTGTTGTTTTGCAATGCTACATTGTATTTTGCCGTTGGAATAATCAACACGTATCCACAGGCACAGAAGTGGCAAGGTACTGTACACTTTGAACATGTGCTTTCACGATTGCAGACTGGACATGAAAGATGCAATTTTAATCAACATTAAAAGGTTCGGGGGAAAAACACTTGCACCATCTAAATGGCCTGATCACAAGCAGTTAACAATCTTAAGCAAAAGCTGTTTTTAAAGTATCCAAGTGTTTTCAGACTAATAAGTCATTAACATAAGCCCCAGGAAGATGCAATATCTTACATCATTAATTGCAGGTTAATTCACCGAAAAGGATAATTTATTTTGATGTTACTAACAGTAAACGTATATCGTGAAGTTTCAGAGGTCTCGTCTATTAATATAAGGAGTCATCCGTCTTCCTCTATCACTCGTGGTGGCAAGATGCTGCAGCAGAAATATTTGCAGTTACAATTATGAATGCGTGATCAGTTCCGCTGTACACTGCATGACACTGACTAGTCACTTCAATAAGGGATTCCGATATACGAGACAGGTTTTTGCTCCCCTGTGATGGACTGCGGGTGAAGCAGACTACCTCACAAATCGCAAAGTACCCCTACCCTCCAGCAACCCATGGCAATATCTTCTCATTTGTTGTTTTGCAATGCTACATTGTATTTTGCCGTTGGAATAACCAACACGTATCCACAGGCACAGAAGTTGCAAGGTACTGTACACTTTGAACATGTGCTTTCACGATTGCAGACTGGACATGAAAGATGCAATTTTAATCAACATTAAATGGTTCGGGGGAAAAAAACACTTGCACCATCTAAATGGCCTGATCACAAGCAGTTAACAATCTTAAGCAAAAGCTGTTTTTAAAGTATCCAAGTGTTTTCAGACTAATACGTCTATAACATAAGCCCCAGGAAGATGCAATATCTTACATCATTATTTGCAGGTTAATTAACCGAAAAGGATAATTTATTTTGATGTTACTAACAGTAAACGAATATCGTGAAGTTTCAGAGGTCTCCTCTATGAATATAAGGCGTCATCCCTCTTCCTCTATCAAAACACAGTCTTGTACCAATAGTCAACAAAACCCCACTGACCCTTTCCAGACAAATCACCCTATCAATCATAATCTTCTTTTGAAGCCGAGTCAGCGAACCATCAAGATCTTTGTTTTCCCATCAGTGACAGAATGCACTCCCAGTTTCCTTTTACATGACCCGTTATGTTATTTGCAACCAGGTAAGAGCTCATGGTGACAATTAGGAGAGTTCATCACCTAGCAATGGATAGATTATGGCTGTTGAGGACAATGATAATGAAAATCTCATTAAGATTATGAGTCTCTTTTTAATGCTGTTTACTTTACTTTCTGACCATTATGCACCACGTGACTCTGCTGCAACAAGCAATGCGACGTCTAATACGTTAATAATTGGCAAAATGTCTATAAGCGTGGGGAACCTTTAGCCTGTAGGCCAAATATGACCCACGACTTAATTTAATAATGAAATTGGCCACTAATGATATCTATCCATCATGGTAAGTATCTTAGCTATAATGATCGTATATTAGAGGGCAATAAGACTGCATTTTTTTTCATTTCAGTATTCTGTCACGTCTCTCACTGCAGGAGCCTCTTGCGAAGACAATAATGACCTAGGAATGTGTGTGTGTCTTAATGTATGGCCTACAAAAAAGGTATTTTTTTAAAAGCCCGAAGTAAGCAAATGTTTCCTCACCCCCTGGTCTACTTCAAGAAATTAAACTCGCAAGAGAACAACAGTCAAGCGGCACGGCACAAGGGCACGAAGCAGCAAGGCAGTGACACTCACATCAGTGGGGAGCTCATCCCAGTGTTCAGTGCCGGGCAGGTCCAAGATTTCCTCGTTCGACTCTCCGCTACCCGCGTGGCCGCCACCACCACCTCCGTGTTCCTCCTCCTCCTCGTCCTCGTCCTGCCGCCACGGGTAGCGCCGCATGTACTGCCGCAGCTCAATAAGGAATCCCATCAGGAGCTGTGCACACTTCTCCTGGTGCTGGTCGAGGCCTCGAGAGACAAAAAAAGGAGCCGTGGTGTCAATTTTGGGGAGATTACTATGTTGACAATACGTGCGCCCAATAAAGCGTGTAGGAATTGTTTGTTTTATATGCGTCCACCATGTTTATAATGGGGTCACGTGACCCTCTGCACCTGCTAGAGGCATATACATTCACTACAAGATAAGAAATCTGTTCATGAATCGAATCACAACACTCAAACGAACGTACAGGGGCTTACTATTTACTTGTTTATTTTTTAGTAAAACGTTTAAAAAGTGTGTATGCGATCATAAACCAAATGAAACCATTTCTTTTCACTATGAAACCAATTTTCGATAAAGACATGTTTGAATATCAACACAGGACGTTCACAAACCCACTTGCTGTTCTATAGCCATTTAGGGCATTTCACACAAACCTATGAAATCCACCAACCACAGCCCTTGCTTCCAGAGCGCTGTATTGCAAATATACAAGTACAACCCACCACACGCACGCACACGACTAGGCTCAGCTCAGTTTACACAAATTCACTGTAGAAAGTGTCATCAAATGCCCACTGTGGCTAGAGATGCACAACTTCTTCGAACAATTTCCTTGCATTAAGTGGTCTTCTTCGTTCATATAGCTGATGGAGATGCAAATAACCACTGTGATGTCTCCTTTGTATTTGTGGATCAGGCATTGTGTCGTGATATATTGTATGGGCGGTTCTGGATGACCACAGTTGCACACTGGAGAGTTTTTAATTTTCCAATTATGCATGTATGTTGAACTTCTTTTGCACCGTGCGTTAGCCAACCGTGCTAATCGGAGATGTGGGGGAGGACAAAAAACTAAAACACAAAAAGTAGTTTTAAAGAAATTAATTTTCAATCTAGATTTATAAGTGGATAGCTCCAGTAGCTTCCTAATATAGCAAGAACATTCCAGACGGCTCCAGAAGTGCATCCGAAATTGCGCGATGCACTGACTTTGTTTGATGGCTAGCCAAAACCCACCGCGAGAATGAACCACAGTTTGCGCGATGGTGTGTGTTCCTTGACGAGATCAGCAAACCATGGGTAATGCCAGGTATCCATGGCGTCTGCCATGGTTTATGCAGATGCGGTTTAGGCTATCCCATGAGCTTCGTGGAAGATCAAACCCACGGATCTTCCGCGTTGGGCCTTTCACAAAGTGTGTGTGAGAGTGGTAACGTACTGGGAGTGGGGTCGTACAGCCGGCGCAGTTGGGTGTGAAGGAAACCGAGCGCGCGGTGCAAGAGCTGCTCGGCAAATGGCTGGGACGACGCATCCGCGCTGCTCCCCGCAACGGCGTGACGCAGCACCTCGAGTGCAGGGACCAGATCCTGGAGGCCTGGAATTGGCATGCACGCAATCAACATTGCCATTCACACGGTTTAGCGGCTGTTTAATCTGATCCGTGCGTATATGCAGATTGAACCATCCAAAAAGAAAAATACGCAGCCATAAAATGACGGCGCAAATGGCAAGCGTATTTAGTGTGGGCTGGAGATTACACATAAATCAAAACGTCTTGGTGTAACTCTTAACACAAGATATCCATAAATCATCACGCCGAGCACAATTTGCTGAATTTAACATTTTACGTGGAAAACCACGCTATAAATCTGTTTACGTGCTAAATAACCGTCTATTGACTGCATTATTGAATACGCCAGATCATACCTTTCAGTTGCGTCAATGTTGTTTGACCCTCCCTCACATCAAACAAGTTTTCTTGGCTCTTGAGAAAAAAATCCACTGTGTCAAGCTGCCTGTTCTTTAGAGCGGCCTAACACGCAAGCGCACAATTTGAGGAAATTAAAAAAAGATGCAAGTGTGCTGATGGAAATTCTCACGGCATTGTATGATAATGCAAATATAAAAAATATTTATCATAATGAAAAATTATACATTCGTTTTTTTTTATATATGTTATCAATTACTATTGTGAGTTCATCTTTTTGTATATTTCAATGCTGCCCATATTTAATTTCTCTTCCTTTAGGGCTATTTCTTATATCATGACTTATATGTAAATCTTACCTTCATCTTTTAATAACCAATTATAAATGTAATCGCCCCAAGTCTTAATTTGCATAAAGTTTTGCACACACATTACACAAGGCTATTGTTACATTTTCAACGTCTAAGATTTTTTCTCTAGACAAAGCACTGCCCACACATTTGCGTGAGATAAACAGCCGGGTTGGAGGGTGGGGGAGTGGGGTTAGGGGAGGTCAGTATGACGCACACTGTCAGATGAGATGCAAGTGTGATACAAGTGACATCATCAGGCAGATGTGAGCAGTAACAACACCACAGAACATCCGTGAAAAAGAGCTTCACACAGCTCATCGGATTCCTCCAGTTTAAATAAATATGCCGATTCTGAAAGATTCACTGCACACTTCACCGCCCACGCACCAGTCAGCCAAACTTTTTTTTTATATATATAATATTTTACGATGTGTGTTTGCCAGACAAACATTGCGGTGACAAGGACAAACTGATGACAATGTACAGTTTCGAGTTTTCTGAGCAAAACAAAAGTTATACAGCAGCCTCTTGGTTCGTGTCATTAAAACTTAGGCATAGGTTAGGAGTATAAAAAGGACATATCTTTGGTAAATTGAAAATAAACATCTGAGTAGCATATTCTAACAATGAAACAAAAAGTTACGTACAGCCCTTTGTCTATCCACTTCTGGAAGAAGGCATTTACATTCCGTGTGGGTCATAGAGCTTCATAGCTCATCGGATTTCTCCAGCATAAATACATAATCTGATTCGGATTGTCACTTCACAACGCTGGTCTTGATGGGTTGGTGAAGGAGGGTGGGGGTTCAAATATTACTCACCACTGATATTAGTTGTAGCTTGGAATCAAACTCAGATCACTGGGCTCATAGCAGCATGCTAATCATTGTGCCCACTACTCAGCCCATTACGACATACGATCACAAATAATGTTAATATATTGAGCATTGTATAGTTCAAAATATGATACAGTGAGAGAAAAAAGTATTTGATCCCCTGCTGATTTTGTACGTTTGCCCACTGACAAAGAAATGATCAGTCCATAATTTTAATGGTAGGTTTATTTGAACGGTGAGAGAATAACAACAAAAAAATCCAGAAAAATGCATGTAAAAAATGTTATAAATTGATTTGTATTTTAATGAGGGAAATAAGTATTTGACCCCTCTGCAAAACATGACTTAGTACTTGGTGGCAAAACCCTTGTTGGCAATCACAGAGGTCAGACGTTTCTTGTAGTTGGCCACCAGGTTTGCAAACATCTCAGGAGGGATCTCCAAGTCATTAAGGTTTCGAGGCTGACGTTTGGCAACTCGAACCTTCAGCTCCCTACACAGATTTTCTATGGGATTAAGGTCTGGAGACTGGCTAGGCCACTCCAGGACCTTAATGTGCTTCTTCTTGAGCCACTCCTTTGTTGCCTTGGCCGTGTGTTTTGGGTCATAATGCAGACATGATTCCTTGTAAAAATGTTTCAGTTTGGTGTTTTAACAACTTAACACCTGTTTTGTTGCCAGATGAAAGGGGAAAACGTATTCTCAATTTAAAGGGTTTTTTAATCTCCAGTCTTACGAGGGTTGTCTGCATAAAATAATGGATTTGCATACAGTGAGGGAAAAAAAGTATTTTATCCCCTGCTGATTTTGTACGTTTGCCCACTGATAAAGAAATGATCAGTCTATCATTTTAATGATAGGTTTATTTGAACAGTGAGAGACAGAATAACAAGAAAATCCAGAAAAACGCATGTCAAAAATGTTATAAATTGATTTGCATTTTAATGAGGGAAATAAGCATTTGGCCCCCTCTCAATCAGAAAGATGTCTGACTCCCACTCCCTTTAAGAGTGTGCTCCTAATCTCAGCTCGTTACCTGTATAAAAGACACCTGTCCACATAAGCAATCAATCAGATTCCAAACTCTCCACCATGGCCAAGACCAAAGAGCTCTCCAAGGATGTCAGGGACAAGATTGTAGACCTACACAAGGCTGGAATGGGCTACAAGACCATTGCCAAGCAGCTTGGTGAGAAGGTGACAATAGTTGGTGTGATTATTCGCAAATGGGAGAAACACAAAAGAACTGTCAATCTCCCTCGGCCTGGGGCTCCATGCAAGATCTCACCTCGTGGAGTTGCAATGATCATGAGAACGGTGAGGAATCAGCCCAGAACTACACGGGAGGATCTTGTCAATGATCTCAAGGCAGCTGGGACCATAGTCACCAAGAAAACAATTGGTAACACACTACGCCATGAAGGACTGAAATCCTGCAGCGCCCGCAAGGTCCCCCTGCTCAAGAAAGCACATATACATGCCCGTCTGAAGTTTGCCAATGAGCATCTGAATGATTCAGAGGATAACTGGGTGAAAGTGTTGTGGTCAGATGAGACCAAAACGGAGCTCTTTGGCATCAACTCAACTCGCGGTGTTTGGAGGAGGAGGAATGCTGCCTATGACCCCAAGAACACCATCCCCACCGTCAAACATGGAGGTGGAAACATTATGCTTTGAGGGTGTTTTTCTGCTAAGGGGACAGGACAACTTCACCACATCAAAGGGACGATGGATGGGGCCATGTATCGTCAAACTTGGGTGAGAACCTCCTTCCCTCAGCCAGGGCATTGAAAATGGGTCGTGGATGGGTATTCCAGCATGACAATGACCTAAAACACACGGCCAAGGCGACAAAGGAGTGGCTCCAGACTTTAATCCCATAGAAAATCTGTGAACGGAGCTGAAGGTTCGAGTTACCAAATGTCAGCCTCGAAACCTTAATGACGTGGAAAAGATCTGCAAAGAGGAGTGGGACAAAATCCCTCCTGAGATGTGTGCAAACCTGGTACCCAACTACAAGAAACGTCTGACCTCTGTGATTGCCAACAAGGGTTTTGCCACCAAGTACTAAGTCATGTTTTGCAGAGGGGTCAAATACTTATTTCCTTCTTTAAAATGCAAATCAATTTATAACATTTTTGACATGCGTTTTTCTGGATTTTCTTGTTATTCTGTCTCTCACTGTTCAAATAAACCTATCATTAAAATGATAGACTGATCATTTCTTTGTCAGTGGGCAAACGTACAAAATCAGCAGGGGATAAAATACTTTTTTCCCTCACTGTATGCAAACAATTATTTTATGCAGACAACCCTCATAAGACTGGAAATTAAAAAAACCTTTAAATTGAGAATACGTTTTTTTCCCTTTCATCTGGCAACAAAACAGGTGTTAAGTTGTTAAAACACCAAACTGAAACAATTTTACAAGGAATCATGTCTGCATTAACCACAATACTTGTGGTCAAAATGCAAACAACAAAAAAAACACTCTGATAATATATGCATTGTCCTTGAAACTGATTGGTCCACACCAGAGACACCTTTATTTTGAGCCTCGTCTTAAACGGTGTTAGAGACCAGAGGATGCCAAAAGGCGTACAAAAAAAGGCATACTTTAAATTATTGTCGAATTTCAATACTTCACCAAGAAGGCCAGTGGGGGTTGTTATCAGGATGGCTGAGGGATCAATTCAGATATAATTCATGTCAGCCATCGCTGACAATCGAACTCTGCTCATCAGGTTCATAGCACAGCATGCTAACCAATGGGTCACCACCCCACCCGACAGTATGCATTATCAGTAATTATTTATGGACATTTTACCAGGGACCTTGCAAAAAAACTTTATATTTGCACAGCCAAAATGTAGTTTAAACTTCAACTGCATGGCTATTTTATTTGAGACGGCATAAATCACAGCAAAAAAACAGTTTTTTAATCATCGTTAATATCCTGCACACAAAGAAACCTATTGGGCCTTTTAGTACCATCCTATTAGGCAGTCGATTTTTTAAATGTAAGATTTAAAACATATTTTAGTTTTTCTTTGATTACTGATTTTGCTAACTTGTTTTGTTTAAATATACTTCTAAAGATCAATAATTAATTTGCAAGCGGCAAAACTTTTCAACAAGTAATAATTTTAATGGTTTTTCACTTATAAAAAAAAAAATCCCAGACACTCAAACTAGGTTGTGCTGATATAATGGATGTTCTCTTTCCTATTAAACGCCCGTTTATCATGAAGTCGATATTGATAACATTACAATAGGAAGGCATTTTTAAAACGTGTACTTTCACGCTGGCATGCAATTTCAAAATAATGCATTTAAAAATGCTTCCATTTTATTCACAGAAATGTTTGTCTTCATCCATTTCCATAATTCTGCAGCTTGGCCATTATAAAGCTCTATTACTTTTGTAAATGCTTGACAAAGGAACAATTCTTTTTTTGTCCGATGGATGACAGAAACCCAAAGACGCAAATTTTGGTCCGAGTTGAATCCCATAATTCCATTTGCTTTTCATTAAAACTTCTGTATATTCATCCACTGAGATGCATTACATTGGCGTTGTCTAGCTATATAATCACCAGATTGTATTATTTTCTTAATGTACAATAAGGAATAAAAATAATACATCTACTATTTGCTCTTTATAGATTTATAATGAATGAACCACAATGTTTGGTAGACTCTGTGTATATTTGTGTATCTCACTGCATATGAATGACTGATTACTGAAGTTATGTTACCTGCATATTCCACCGTCAAGCAAGGGACGAATCAAGAACAGCAAATTAAATGGTAATCCCCCTGTGCTTTCGAGTGTCATAGACGACCCAAGCAGCTTTTACAGATTAGGGCTCTCCAATAGTGCAGGGTGATACAGGCAATTGCAATACATCTCTGTAATACCTAGGGGTATTGCCAGTGTCATCCTGATACTGAGTATTGCTCGAGAAATACACGTATTGCAGATAATGCCTATCTCTGCCCTTGAATTGGAAAAATATGTTGAATAATTGCTATTTAATAAACAACTGGACGTGCAACGATGAGCACTTAATACTACTTGGCTGAATACCAAAAACCTTATGGAGGTTTCTGCAAATCTAAATTTGAAGCCGAATAATATTTTGTAAATGTCTTTCAATAAAGAGGCACATGTCTCTGCCACTGTATCCCTGTCTCCATTTCTATTTGTCTGTCTCTCCCTGTTTCTACATATGCCTGTGTATCTTTGTGTTTCTCCCTCGACCTCCGCATATCTGTCCCTCTCCAACCCTCTGTTCAGCCAACCGAATAGCACGGTTGGCTACGTATAATGTCAAATAAGTTCAACATACATAGATGTTTCTCTGTGCGTCTTGATCTCTGTCTCCCTCTGAATCTGTGCCCCCCTCACGAAAACGGAGCAGCAGCAGAAGGTTGTAGCATCACAGGAACACAAGGGCTGGCGATGGCTTAGAGAGGCCTTCATCCAGCAGTGGATAGCTCATGGCCAATTGATAATAAGATAATAAAGTAAAAACTAAAATACAGCCAGTATATGGTCAAATTGTAAGGCTAAGCAAATATTTAGGTCACCTGTATAATTAGATTAATAGTCTTCTTTGGTTCTTTCGGTAAAGTCATGTAGAATGAGAATAAAATAATAAATTGATAAAATAAAATAACACAATAATATTCTCACAACGTTTCGGCCACAACACAAGCGGCCTTCATCAGGTGAAGGGACGAGACTGTCTGGAGTGCTCCAGCGCTGTCCTCCAGACAGTCTCGTCCCCTTCACCTGATGAAGGCCGCTTGTGTTGTGGCCGAAACGTCGTGAGAATAATATTGTGTTATTTTATTTTATCAATTTATTATTTTATTCTCATTCTACGTGACTTTACCGAAAGAACCAAAGAAGATGAATCCTTGCAGTCACGAAAGCTTTAAATCGAAATTTAGCTTAATAGTAGTGATATGGGAAATTGCAAGGATTCGTGGTCCCAGAATCGACAGGAAATAAAGTATCGGTATCGCTGTAATGAGTGATATCAATAGCAAACACAGGATGCAACGGATATACTTGCAGGTTCTAACCATTCATAGCCACGATAATTATCAGACAGCCTTCCCAACTGGTGCTTGATATGTGCTGTCACAGGGGACAGTCCTACCTCCAGGGCATGGATGGGAATGGAGCAGCGGGTCCAGTTGTTGCGGTCGCAGACGGCATCCACCACACCAACGCCGGAATGAATCATGAGGCGCTTCAACAGTTCATCCTGACCAATTCCAAAAAGAACCATGCTCAAGCCAGTTTCTGGAGAAAAGAACACGCGCACGGATGCATGCACTGAATGGGGATGTATATATATGTATACGCGCCAAAAATACAATGCGACATTTAAGCCATGTTTTAAGCAACCAATTTTGATACTCTAAACACAGAGAGACATCAAAATTGCCAACTATTAATTTTGAGCTCTCCCAATTATAGTCAGGTTTTACCACGTATTGTTTGGCATTATTTACGACGTTTCCCTCCACGTGCTGGGAACCTCTTCAGGATGAAAGGTCAAGGCAATGCTGGACAACGCGCTTGTACATCCAGAACACGCATTCAAAAGCTACATGGCAGAACCGTGAAAATTTGCACAGTAAATTAGGAGACTTGCACAAAGTGTCAAAGTTAATTTAATCATTTTCGAAAATTACCTTTCATGAGCAAACACGGATGCTCAACTTGTTCCATTTCTACAGGTATGCAAGGTCCTTCCATCCTGTGGGTCATCAGGATCCCACTCGAAAGCTGCCACAGGACCACAGTTACCCCATTCGTCTCGCCATTTGGATGGCCAATGGCAAACAGGACTGAGGTGTTGCAGATGGAAAAAATTGTGACGCTCTCAACTTGCTCGACAGGCTCGACAAGACGGACAAAACACAGGCCAGGATTCTGCTCAAAGTTGCCTCCGTCGCACGATGAAGCCTCTGCAGAGTTGAACTCTGTCGTTTTTTCTCGTGCGGGGTCTTTGACGCCGTCATCAGCGCCAGGCTGAAATGCTCTCAGCGTGGTAGCGTGGTCAGGTTTATTCTTCTGCTTTGCCGCGGCCTGCTGAGGGCAACCATAAGCCTTATCGATGCTCGCGTGGAGCCTTTCCAGCTGCGCTTCCCACGACCTGCAGGAAAAAAGCACATGTTCTGTGTAACACCCTGGCATATTAACCCATTACCACTCCAATAACATACATGTACGTACATGTACGTCATAAGTTTTCTTAAGATTACATCCAGATGACGTATGTGTACGAGTCTCCCACAAGGCCATGCCGGAGGGTGCGTGGAACAGTTTGGCGCCAGCTATCAAAGAGTGCGGTCATGTCAATATAGTTCTGTGCGGTGAGTATAATGTCTTTAAAAACAACGGCACTATGCCTCTCTAAATAAAATTAACGCTTATTGCTTGTGCGTTGAGAATGAGCAGTGAACGGGACACACCCTGAAACTTGCAGATGTCTCAGAGGCACATGTTTATTTAGACTTAATGGTGGAAGTCCATTAAAGTGTTCACACCAAAGAAGACCACTTTTTAAAATGATAATTATTTTTCAAAAAGATATTGTGGACAAAGCCAATGTCCATAACACCCAAAGTCAGACTTTTTTTTTTGCAAAAGGCAATTACACGCTTCCGTCTTTACTGAAATACATCTACGCCTAGGAAATGTAATCCGTGTTACAGATAAGATGCTTCACAAAAGCGCAGAAAGTTAATCAGATCTGTGTGAACATCTATTACGAGAATCGAGTAACAAGGAAGCATCTTCGAGTACTGTACTGCATTTTGACGCGAAACAAACACTCATACCCCCACGAGGATTTTAAAATTAATTATCTATCTATTCCAAACACATGTATGTTTCTTCATTAGGCTGGCTCAGACTACTTGATTATAAGGCTTAGTAAGGAAGAGGGATTAGAGGTTAATAATATCAGTGAAAGCATCTCAGCCCATTAGCTTTACCACAGCGGCGAGGTCATACATCCTACTTGCATTGCATGTTACCTTTTTGTGAAAAATAGCACGAACACACACTTGTGTGCCAATACATCACAGGTTCAGCTCACCCTCTTACAAGGGAGCACAAGATAATCTTGAGAACAGAACCATCTCAAAGAATCCAACAGCAATTTTGAGGTTGTTTGTAAAACGCATTCTACCGCAACACAAGTAATCATGAGACCCCAAACCTACAACTCAAAAAAACTACTTTCCATCATCTCTTCTTTTAAAACCACAAGATGAAAGAAATCATATTCTTGGTTCTTTCGGTAAAGTCACGTTGAAGGGAAACAATAACATAATAAAATATATATAAAACAATAAAATTCTCACGACGTTTCGACTGTAACACAAACAGTCATCATCAGGTGTGAAAACCAACGGCAAGATCATTTGAAAGAAGTGGCGGTTTGTATTTATTTATTTTTAAACGTTAGCACCACGGATAGCGATTTGACAGTTTGTTTAGAAGGACGAGTCCATCTATGTTCGGAAAAGAGGAGGGGGGAGACGAAAAATTAATGTATGCTGTCTGAAAGCCACCGTAAGCGTGGACAATCAATTAAGACCCGAAATGGTTTATCAAATCCTTCCAATGATTGCTAAGCCAGAATCCATCTTCTCGGTTGAAACTGTCTCTGTGTTTGTATATGTGGATAGCCTCATAAACGAATCTCTCATGGTAGCTTGATGGCTTGCAAATAACCTCTGTCTTGGAGAAGTCAATGTCATGTGAGCCTACTGAATTATAACAGTAATCTGCCACGGCCGAGGTGTTGGTCCTACCGTGTTTAAGGTCTGCTTTGTGTTCACGAATGCGGTCCGAGACATGTCGTTTGGTTTCTCCAATGTAACTACTACCACAGAGGCAACTTAGTTTGTAGACACCAGGGTACTGTATGTCCAGAATCACACCTTTTACAGACGGATAAACCATTTCGGGTCTTAATTGATTGTTCACGCTTATGGTGGTTTTCAGACAGCATACATTAATTTTTCGTCTCCCCCCCCCCCTCTTTTCCGAACATAGATGGACTCGTCTTTCTAAACAAACTGTCAAATCGCTATCCATGGTGCTAACGTTTAAAAATAAATAAATACAAACCGCCACTTCTTTCAAATGTTCTTGCCGTTGGTTTTCACACCTGATGATGACTGTGTTACAGTCGAAACGTCGTGAGAATTTTACTGTTTTATATATATTTGTTCCCCTTCAACGTGACTTTACCGAAAGAACCAAGAATACGAATCCCTGCAGTCACAAAACCTTTAAATCAAAATGAAAGAAATCGTTTATTAAAATCACTGTATGCATTCAAATTTCATGGATGCAGGGGTGTCATACATTTTTCTAATGAAAAACAAACTCGCATATATTTCAACATAATTCTGGAATAACTAATAACTATTGTTTTTCCCTGAAACCTGACCTCACAGGCTTCCTTATTTCATAAGACCTACAATATCCTAAACAAATTATACATTTTTCACCTTACCTGTGTTTTCCTATTAACTTCAATTATCAATAGAAATCACGTAAATATTAAACACCAATCACGATGACACATGCCTGTAATCAAATGCTTTACATACATGGTTCATGAATTACACCAATCCATATAGTGTACATGAAATTCCCGAATTGGCTGGCCTATGAGATTACCAGTACAATACATAAAACATGGTATTAAACAAATTATTGGGCGATGCTGCATTGGCAGTGATGCACAAGAACAATAAATAACGTCAATAACACTGCCTTAAAAGGAAAAACATAAGTAAATTTGATCTTCATGAATGTAAAAGGGTGTTGCTTTTTTAACATACATTTTTTGCGTGCTATGAAAGAGGAAGATTTCCCTGAACCATCACCCATTATATCGTTTCTTTTTAAGGCAGCGTTATTGATGAATAGTATTTCCCAGATTCATTAATTTTCTTCAGGCTCTCCAGTTACATCCCACTAGCAAAAGACACATTGAGGCTTGCTTGGATATATAAACAAAACCCACTATCATTACCATAAGCAAACAAATGAGCACTCATGTCGTGGTTACAGAATGCAAGGCATGCAATCTGATGATTGGAGTAGCTGATCACAAACCTGTCCGGGTTGAACGGGAGCTGGGCATGAAAGGCTCTCTCCACATCATCCTCATCCAAATGCTCATCCAATTCGTCAATTTCTTCTTGGCTGGAAGTGTGTGGATCCTCAAGCCAACTTCCCTGAAACATGTGATCTGGAAACCTCCTGTCAAAAAAGGGTCATGGCACAGCCAAGCATCCATTAACATTTTGATGCCTTACTTCGTGCTGACATTTGGCGCGTGACACTCAACGTTATGCAATGAATATAAAGCTCATGTCACCTTATCACACGTATGCAAATTTGTCTCGCTGCTGCTGCTGCTGTATGCATAACTGCAGATCCCTTAATGGATCCATAATGGGTTCACGGCAAAGCTTTTTACAAGACTATCATTGGTGTTAATGCCATTTTTCATTTGAGGGTAATTTTAAATTTGATGCATGACAAAAGTTATACAGAATATATACAAGACATATAAAATGAGAAACAGTGTATAATATCCAGTTGATATATATATTACTCCTAAACAAAAAGGTAACTTACAGCAATTAGAGAATTTTTCTGTAATTAACTGCTTAAAATTGTAACGTCAATAGCTTAATTTGTGCAGTTGTCCGACGTACAGTGAGGGAAAAAACGATTTTATCCACTGCTGATTTTGTACGTTTGCCCACTGACAAAGAAATGATCAGTCTATAATTTTAATGGTAGGTTTATTTGAACAGTGAGACAGAATAACAAAAAAATCCAGAAAAACGCATGTCAAAAATGTTATAAATTGATTTGCATTTTAATGAGGGAAATAAGTATTTGACCACTCTGCAAAACATGACTTAGTACTTGGTGGCAAAACCCTTGTTGGCAATCACAGACGTCAGACGTTTCTTGTAGTTGGCCACCAGGTTTGCACACATCTCAGGAGGGATCTCCAAGTCATTAAGGTTTCGAGGCTGACGTTTGGCACTCGAACCTTGGAGACTGGCTAGGCCACTCCAGGACCTTAATGTGCTTCTTCTTGAGCCACTCCTTTGTTGCCTTGGCCGTGTGTTTTGGGTCATTGTCATGCTGGAATACCCATCCACGACACATTTTCAATGCCCTAGCTGAGAGAAGGATGTTCTCACCCAAGATTTGATGGTACATGGCCCCGTCCATCGTCCCTTTGATGCGGTGAAGTTGTCCTGTCCCCTTAGCAGAAAAACACCCCCAAAGTATAATGTTTCCACCTCCATGTTTGACGGTGGGGATGGTGTTCTTGGGGTCATAGGCAGCATTCCTCCTCCTCCAAACACGGCGAGTTGAATTTGTGCCAGAGCTCCATTTTGGTCTCATCTGACCACAACACTTTCACCCAGTTGTCCTCTGAATCATTCAAATGTTCATTGGCAAACTTCAGACGGGCATGTATATGTGCTTTCTTGAGCAGGGGGACCTTGCGGGTGCTGCAGGATTTCAGTCCTTCACAGCGTAGTGTGTTACCAATTGTTTTCTTGGTGACTATGGTCCCAGCTGCCTTGAGATCATTGACAAGATCCTCCCGTGTAGTTCTGGGCTGATTCCTCACCGTTCTCATGATCATTGGAACTCCAAGAGGTGAGATCTTGCATGAAGCCCCAGGCCGAGGGAGATTGACAGTTCTTTTGTGTTTCTTCCATTTGCGAATAATCGCACCAACTATTATCACCTTCTCACCAAGCTGCTTGGCAATGGCCTTGTAGCCCATTCCAGCCTTGTGTAGGTCTACAATCTTGTCCCTGACATCCTTGGAGAGCTCCTTTGGTCTTGGCCATGATAGAGAGTTTGGAATCTGATTGATTGCTTCTGTGGACAGGTGTCTTTTATACAAGTAACAAGCTGAGATTAGGAGCACTCCCTTTAAGAGTGTGCTCCTCATCTCAGCTCGTTACCTGTAAAAAAGACACCTGGGAGCCAGAAATCTTTCTGATTGAGAGGGGGTCAAATACTTATTTCCCTCATTAAAATGCAAATCAATTTAAAACATTTTTGATGTGTTTTTCTGGATTTTGTTGTTGTTATTCTGTCTCTCACTGTTCAAATAACCCTACCATTAAAATTATAGACTGATCATTTCTTTGTCAGTGGGCAAACGTACAAAATCAGCAGGGGATCAAATACTTTTTTTCCCTCACTGTAAAGGAGTGCTATGTCAATTCAACCTAGACGCTGCTTCTGCCATTAAACATGTTAAATTTATCCTTTAAAAACATGTTCTAGTAGCTTGATTATGCTTTGTATAACAATACGAAAATAGCAGGAATTTGTCTTTGCACCAACTGATTAAAATAGAATCGTACGTTCGCCATACGTGGTGCCATTAAATTGTGAATGTTATGGACTGTTTCTAATTCATGAACATTATAAGAAAATTATGCTGTTGCATTTAGACTCGTGAAATGGACAAAACTGGACAACTCTGAGATAAACATGAGAAATAATAGGAACTGGTAAAAAAAAATAAGAAAAAAGTATCGATTCTTGAACCAAATCGCAACCCCGTGACAATTCATTGCATCGCTGAGTGTGAACAATTACCTAATATTAACGTAAACGCATCTTCCACTGTATGTTATAACTGCCGCTTTATTTAAATTAATTTTACACAGACATAACAGAAAGACACACCTGAAATAGTCGACAGGGGAGACGCATACGGCACGGAGAGAGGAGTCCACCGCCACAATCACCCCAAGGTCATCCGATGGCCTCAAAAAGCCAAACGGTGTGCCACTGCCAAGGCCCGACGGGGGTGATGGCAGGATCAGTGAAAGATCAATTGCCCCCACACACACTCCAGTGATTGTGCTATAGATATCTGGGTTCGCACTATTAGGGAAAAACGCGATGTTCTTCAAATGATAGCATGGGGTAGTCAAAAGGTGCAGGTGGTTAGAGAATAGCAGCGTAAAAAAAATACATTATTTCTTTTGAAGTCAAATTAATTGTCCTTTGTGTTGTAACAAAAAAATGTCGTTCGCAAGTGTTTGCTCTACATTTTTGTAGAAGAGAACAACACCGTGCCATTTAAAGATGAGCCAAATGTATTAATTTGTATGGTGGTTTTTAAACAAGTTACTTTTTTGTTATTTACAAACAAATTTACATGCACATTTTTTACATTTCCGGTAAATATTTGGCAATGTACTTTGTATTCAATATTTTAATTATATTTAAAAGATAAAAGTAAATTCAAGGGTAGATAAATTTAAAAAATCCAATATACATAAAGCAGATAAACATAGATAGAATGTATACTAAATTAAATAGGTTATATTTCAATGTCTTCAAATTAACAAAGCTTACATGAATTGATTATAATTTAATTTATGCATTTCTTCAAATATATATTTTGACGGCAGCACAAATTATTCTGAAAATTAATTTCTTATAAAAGTGAAGTGCATTAACATAACTATGGTTTAACGTATTTTTGCAAATGTTGTATTTACACATGCGATAGCAACACTTACCCATAATTGTTTTTTTTGGGTTAGTTCGCTCAAATATGTCGTTATAACCCGCCACCACCCGACACAGCCAACTAGTAAGGGTTGTCACGTAAACAGAATATGCCAATTCGTCACTAGTACGTGACAACCCTTACTAGTTGGCTGTGTTGAGTGGTGGCAGATTTTAGCGACATTTATATATTTACGCGATCTAACCCAAAAAACCTCTATTATGGATGATATTTGTCGCGAAAGCCTACGAGTTAAGCATAAATTACATCTCCATAACTTGTGCAAATCTAACTGTGGTTCAATAATAGTCTGTTGAATTTTAACATAATTGCAGTTATGAAAAAAAACGGATAAGACCAAAAAATGTCCACACAATACTTTCCTTAAGAAAAAGCTGTGTTAAACACCTTGTATTTTGTGACAGGATTCTTGTGAAAAAAAAATGAAACATGGTGGGAAACTTGAAAAAAACCTTCCTTGCTATCCAGTCTAATGGGAATTCAGCTCAACACACTGCAGGTTAAATAAACACCAACTCGTTTACGCACCTAGCCCGAGTGGCAAAGGCCCTCCCAAGGGAAATCTGGGCATTTAAAGCATCTGTCCCTTACTGATGCACCACATGTTTGGGTTCCGGCAAGACTGACTTTGGTAGCTCTCATTTTCAGGGAGCACCATGGGGTTTTCTTACGCCAGAGGCAGGAGATCCAATTTACACGTGGCTCTGAAAGCGCTTTCTTTAACTCGCGCGCGCATCTCATGCACTCGCGGCACCGTTAAACATCACCTGGGGAATGTTTCTCGTATACAATTTGGCATATTTTGTTTCCTCGAACAGAAATTACGTGCCGAAATTCACACGTTGAAAGGTTTTTTTTTTTTGGTTTTCCCGTGAAGCTCTGCCGATTCGTTGCAAAAGCGCCGTGCTCCGACTCATGACTGCCACAAAGCAACGCTTTAAATTCACAGCTTTGCATTTCAAACAGAATAAACGCAGGCACTGCGACGCTAGCAGCAGGATACAGATTTGGCCGTCGGCGTGCAGCGCGAGCAGTTTCTGCAGGCAGAGCCGAACGTCCACCGGCTCGTCCCGGGCCGTGGCGGCAGGAAGCAGCGCGCACTGAAGCTGCACGTCTGCCCAGCAACCGTCGGCATGGCAACCGTAGGGCAGCCAGAGCAATCGAACGACGAGACGACCACGCAGCAGAACGGTCGCCACGCCATCCACGAAGCTCAGCAGCCTCGAGCGGAGTTGTTCGCCAGCATCTGGATAACAAATCCAATAAAAAACTTTCTATCAGTGTTCTTTTAAACGTGATATTTATCAAAAATGTAAGTTCATGATGGCGAGGATAATGCTTGTTTTTAATTCCCTTCAGTTGTTCCTTTTCTCAAATTGTTTTAAGCCTTAGTCAATTCAGGAAATGTATTCATTATTATCGATTACACCATCATTACTGATTGTTGCAGGCCCCTTGGCATTTTGGTCCTCAACAACCGTGATGAAAAACTCAAATATTTTCTTTGATCGCAAAGTGATGAAAATATTTCAAATCGAACATGCGAGTAGTTTAATCACCGAGCGTGATTAAGAGGCCATTGTAAAAACGTTGCGAGTAGCTCAATTATAAAATTCACAACCATTTACGGCCTTCGTCCAGGAAAGTCACAAAAAAATTGCACATGAACGACGCATTCATGCAAGCACCCCGATACTTCGTTTTAAAATCAAACATCTTTGAATGTTTGGAACTAGATAATTTTATTTCTTCATTAAACGCTTATATCATTTTACATCTGGAAGACTTAATTGAACACGACATTTCGTGTGAATTTTCTCTCGTCGTTAAGTAGATGGCCTTGCTGGGGGTTCAGTTCGATGCGGACTATCGCCTGTTTGGGATTGCGGGATCGAGATAAGGCGACATAGAGCTGCTGGCCGTGCGAGAAGACCGCCGTCTGCAGATCGATTCCAATGTAATCGAACGTCTGTCCCTGCGCCTCCATCGTCCATGCAGGGGGCGCGTAGGTTTGCAGCGCCCCCTGCATGAAATAAACGGAAAGTGCAGCATTCATCACATAGATAAAATTGTGCGCTTATTTATATAAATACAAGCGCTTATCTTAGATCATGTGATGCACTGCTTGGGATGAGAGTAAAATATGTATTATTAGGATCGTGACATTACAAGTATTATGCTTGTTTACCAAGGAAAGCTTCACTCAGCCCCAACAATTTTCAAGGGTCCTGCCAATTTTCAAAGGAGGTGGCATGTATAATCATAATTGAGTAATTTTCAGATTACTTCAGCATTGAGCTCTTTAGCAAATCCCAGTTGCATTGTATGATTTTGTTACAGCTTCAGGAGGTAACCGGAAAATGCAGAGAAATCTCATACAGAACAGGGGGAAAACATACAAATTCCACACAGATAGGCACTCGAGTCAAGAATCGAACTCATGCCCATCTTGCTGTGAAGCACAAGTGGTACCACTCTCACCCAGCCGACATAACAGTGATAAAACATCACCTTGCACGCACGGACGCACACACTTGAGGTTTTCCTTAACATTTCCCAGTCTTTGTATTCGTAGACTATTATTAAATTTGTGCTGAAATGTGAAATGGTGATTTATTATATAATTCAGCATTCGTGAGCTTTATATGAATCTAGATTTTTTGTTGTTGTTGCTGCTTTGTGTGTACTGAAAAAAACCCCGCCATCTCAATGGGCTCTCTAGCCTGGTTTTAAACAAATGCCATCTCATGCTAACACTTATTGTAAAGCATCTCTACTTTGGCACTAGCGCCCGTTAATATGAAGGGTGCAATGCAGTATTCATTGTTTAAAACAGTGGAACACTATCTGCCATAGCGATGTTAACACCGTTACACATGAGTAGCATATAAGGAGGAAGACGGCGACAGTGTACTGTACTAGTAATAAATTGGCATGTTCTGTTTACATGACAATACTTACCAATTGGCTGTCCCGGGTGGTGGCAGGATTAACGACACATTTATATATTAACGCGATCTAACCGAAAAAACCTGTATTATGAACAAAGGATGTATTAAATCTTGACTTAAAGCTTTTGTGACTGCAGGAATTAATATTCTTTGGGTTTTCGGTAAAGTCACATAGATAGGTTCAAAGGAAATAACAAAAAAACAGTAGTTTTTGTTTTTTGTTATTTTCTTTGAACCTATCTACGTGACTTTACTAAAAGACCCATAGAATACGAAAGGATGTATTCACGGTTTTGTACATTCATCCAAAATAAAATTTCGGAAGATAATTTTTTATATGTATCCTAAAATATTACATCATACAAAGTGTCGTTACTTCCATGCCATCACTTCCTCACTTTCCCAACAAAAGTGGCATGTAGCATAATTTTTACGAGGTAAATGTCACTTTCTTAATTTAGGAATAATAACATTAGAATTAAAATGACAAAAAATAGAAAATTCACTGCATAAACAGTAAATTATTAAAATACAATAATTGATCTTCAATATGAAATGAAATAAAAAATAAAGTATAAGAATCTTAAAATCCCTTTGTGCAAAGAAACTTTATCAAAACTCACCCCAATCTTTTAAAACATCAAAATATACCAAATATAAGGGTTGTCAGGACCCCTCTCTGCTCTGAGGTGAGAAGACCGCACGACCCTTCCAAGACACAGATACAGTGTGATGTGTCAGCACCGCTGGAATGAACGGGTTCCAAAATACAAAACCACACAATGGAAAACGAGGCTAAAAAAGATGTGATGAGTAGTTATGCAAATCAAGTTTCCATACATTGATGCAATGTCACTTTTGACAGTCAAGATAGCTATAAGATTGAAATTAACCTTGGAGGACACGGTCATCCGCTAACATCCAATGCATGTCAACTGTCATAATGCATAGCAGTTGACGAATTTTATATTTCCTCCTCTCTCGGATTACCCCACGAATGCATGAGAATGTCCATTGCCGACAAGAGAATGAAAGCTTCATCAAGCCAAATATACTTAAAACAAACAATTGACTCTAAAGGGTACATTTTAGCCTCAAATGCTTGGGCAGACAGACTGAAAGTATATAAGTCATGGCTGTCACAACACCTTCTTTTATTTCTTGGTTCTTTCGGTAAAGTCACGTAGAAGGGAAACAATAAAATAATAAAAATATAAAACAATAAAATTCTCACGACGTTTCGACTGCAACACAAGCAATCATCATCAGGTGTGAAAACCACAGCAGGAAATTTTGAAAAAAGTGGCGGTTTTTTTAACGTTAGCACCAAGGAGAGCGATTTGGCAGTTATTCAGATGGACGAGTCCATCTATGTTCGGAAAAGAGGAGGGGGGGGAGACGAAAAATTAATGTATGCTGTCTGAAAGCCACCGTAAGCGTGAACAATCAATTAAGACCCGAAATGATTTATCAATTCCTTCCAATGATTTCTAAGCCAGAATTCATCTTCTCAGTTAAAATTGTCTGTGTTTGTATATGTGGATAGCCTCATGAACGAATATCTCATGGTAGCCAGATGGCTTGCAAAGAACCTCTGTCATGTGAGCCTACTGAATTATAACAGTGATCTGCCACGGCTGAGGTGTTGGTCCTACCGTGTTTTAGGTCTGCTTTGTATTCACGAATGCGGTCCGAGATATGTCGTTACTACCACAGAGGCAACTTAGTTTGTAGACGCCAGGGTACTGTATGTCCAGAATCACATCTTTTACAGACGGAACCAGATCATGGATTTTATGAAATGTGTTGAATCGGACCTGGATCTTGTGTTTATTCAAGATTTTGGAGATCTTTTTTTGTGATCCCCGCAATGTAGGGTAAAGTGATGGTTTTGAAAGGCTCCTCAAGAGGGTCCTTCTTCATAATCGGAGTGATAGCTTTGTGGATTGTGTAGTCGGAGTAACCTTAAGAGATGGTGTACGTGCTTGAGTTCACTGGCTATGTGTTCCTGGTCGGATATGCATTGGGCTCTATGGTGCAGAGTCCTGATGAGGGAATTCTTCTGGGATGGATGGTGGTGGGAATTCTGTTTCAGGTAAGCATCCGCATGGGTAGCTTTCCTGTAGACAGAGTGGCTCATTGAACCATCAGGTCTCTTTTTTATTAGGACATCCAAAAAAGGTAGCTTGCCATCTTTTTAGACTTCCATGGTAAATCTGATGGCTGGGTGTATGGAATTGATGTGGTCGAGGCATTGGTCTAGAGCAAGCCAGCCATGTGGCCAGATGACAAAAGTGTCATCCACGTACCTCTTCCATAAGGTTGGGCACAGAGTGGCAGTCTGGATGGCGTCAGTCTCAAATTTCTCCATGAAAATGTTGGCTACAACCAGAGATAGGGGGGAGCCCATTGGGGTGCCCTCAGTTTGTGTGTAGAATGTTCCATTCCAAGTGAAGTATGTATTGGTTAAGCAGTGTCTCACCAGGGGGGTACCTCAGTGTTTAGTCCTTGATGAACCAAGTCTTCAATAATTGCGATGGTGTCAGGTACAGGAACTTTGGTGAATAAGGAAACTACATCAAAATTGACAATCAGGTCGTCTGGGGACAGGGAAATACCCGTGATTGTCGATACCAGGCGAGTAGAATTTTGTACCGCAGAGGTGGTTTTTCCAGGGAAAAGCCACAGGATTTCAGACAGAAAACGAGCCAGTTTGTAGGTGGGGGAGTTGATAGTAGAGACGATGGGACGAAGGGGTGTATCTGCTTTATGTATTTTTGGTAAGCCATATAATCTTGGTGGCCTGGCAGCAGAAGGTTTCAATGAGAACTGTTTGGTTTGATCAATTAATGCGGTTGAATCAGAAATGATTTTGTTGGTTTGTATGACGAGGCTGTTGGTGGGATCTCTTTTGATTTTTGTATAGCTGCCATCGTTGAGTAATTCTTGAATTTTGTTGTTATATTCTATTTTATCCATGATGACAGTGGCATTGCCCTTGTCAGCTGAGAGGATGACAATGTCATCCCTCTTTTTTAATTGCTAGCTGGTATCTTAGCGTTTGAGGGTTGCAGCGATTTGAGATCTTACTATGTCTGCAGCGATGTGACCCAGGCCCTTGAGAGCCACGTCTACTTTCCTGAAACCGGATTCCCACCACCATCCATCCCAGAAGAATTCCCTCATCAAGACTCTGCACCATAGAGCCCAATGCATATCCGACCAGGAACACATAGCCAGTGAACTCAAGCACGTACACCGTCTCTTAAGGCTAATGGTTACTCCGACTACACAATCCGCAAAGCTATCACTCCAACCATGAAGAAGGACCCTCTTGAGGAGCCTTTCAAAACCATCACTTTAGCCTACATTGCAGGGATCACAAAAAATATCTCCAAAATCTTGAATAAACACAAGATCCAGGTCCGATTCAACACATTACATAAAATCCGTGATCTGGTTCCGTCTATAAAAGATGTGATTCCGGACATACAGTACCCTGGCGTCTACAAACTAAGTTGCCTCTGTGGTAGTAGTTATATTGGAGAAACCAAACGACATATCTCAGATCGCATTCGTGAACCCAAAGCAGACCTAAAAGACGGTAGGACCAACACCTCGGCCGTGGCAGATCACTGTTATAATTCAGTAGGCTCACATGACACTGACTTTTCCAAGACAGAGGTTCTTTTCAAGCCATCTGGCTACCATGAGAGATTCATTCATGAGGCTATCCACATATACAAACACAGAGACAATTTCAACCGAGAAGATGGATTCTGGCTTAGCAATCATTGGAAGAATTTGATAAACCATTTCTGGTCTTAATTGATTGTTCACGCTTACGGTGGCTTTCAGACCGCATCCATTATTTTCGTCTCCCCCCTCCTCTTTTCCGAACATAGATGGACTCGTCCATCTGAATAACTGCCAAATCGCTCTCCGTGGTGCTAACATTAAAAAAGCGCCACTTTTTTCAAATTTTCTTGCTGTGGTTTTCACACCTGATGATGATTGCTTGTGTTGCAGTCGAAACGTCGTGAGAATTTTATTGTTTTATATTTTTATTGTTTCCCTTCTAAGTGATTTTACCGAAAGAACCAAGAATATGAATCCCTGCAGTCACGAAAGCTTTAAATCTAAATTTCAAACACCTTCTCTGTCGTGCAGTCCAAGGTATGCCATCAGCTGGGAGGCCTGGCACGTGCGGGGCCTTGCCATGACCCAGTCGCCACCGTCGTCATCTCGCTGGAGCTCATGCAGCGTGACAGCGCCATCTTCATCGGTGCTGACCAGACGCACACCTTCACCCTCGTTACTACCACCACCTTCCCCAGCTTCCCCGGCTTCACACTCCCACAGAAAGCTGGGGATGATGGAACCAAGACAGGGACAGAAGAGGGAGAAATTACCACTGCACCACGGGGAAAAATAAAACAAATTACGAGTGCACGAGGCACGGAAGAAACAATAGTCGCTGATCATCTTAACAGGGTGTATTTTAAGATAGAATATGAATTGATAGTATATTTTAAAAGAAATCTGCAGCAGTGAAATGTAATCAAATTTTTGTTGTATTAAAAAAGTTATATTCAAGCTGGTCAAGTATGCAATTCATTCATACTTAAAGCTTTGAGAAAAGTGCTTTTGCTAGACAGAAGCAAGGGAAATGATTCTTCAGGGTTAAGCACAGCAGAAATTCCAAAGGAAATGTAATGTTTGCAATTGCCTGCATCTATCCTCTGACTCACCGAATGTCAATTGACTCGACCCGATGCATGCTGCATTTTTATTAAACAATGAGATTGTATAATTACAATGCTGGTAAACTGGAGAATAGTATAAAACTGGACAGTCTTGAAATAGCATTTTAAAAAATATATATTACATTTTATGAGCTCGTCTTTAATGAGAATATTTTGACATTGGCTTATATCTCAGGAGTGCTATCCTTTGGGTCTTCCGGTTAAGTCTTGTAGATAAGTTCAACGAAAATAACTAAATAAAAAAACCACACCTGATGACGACCGCTTGTGTTGCAATCAAAACGACCGCTTGTGTTGCAATCAAAACCTCGCAGTTTTTGGTTATTTTCTTTGAACCTATCTACGTGACTTTACCGAAAGACCCAAAGAATATGAATTTCTGCAGTCACGAAAGCTTTAAGTCTCAGGAGTCCGTCAAGCAATGTGCTTACAAAAACTTGTTTAGCAGATAGAAGTGGACATTCACAATTAATCCAAGTTGAAATAGTTTTTATCCATAAAAAAATTATACCACTTAATGTGAATCTCTGCATTGTGTTTAGTTTGTTGTCCTCCTGCACCTCCAATTAGCACGATTGGCTACGTACGGTGTGAAATAAGTTCAACATACATCTATTTTTTTCTGCAATGGAGTGATTTAAATCGCATGCATGCCATGAAACAGTAACGCTTCACCTTACCATTCTTCACACAATTATAATACTTGTTGTATATGTTATTGTGACACACATAAATCACAACAAAAATAACCTTCATGTTTCAAAAGGCATTGCCAATGCCGACTCCACAGTTCCTGGCCAAGCATTTGTGGATGACACTGTGCACCTTTATTGCCATTTTCTCCTGTGGCCTATACACACCAGAGTACAGGTTTGTGGTTAGATGCAATATTGGAGCCGCTAGAGACCACAGATTCCCATTTCTACCCTTTTCTGCAGATCTCAGCCTTCCCTTGTTTTTATGGAAGGGGATTGGAGGAGATGGGGAAATAGATTGCACAAATCCTTCTTTAAGTGGTTTGAAGATTAAAGGACCATGAACTACACACCAAACCTAAATGTGACCTGATATTGTATTTGCAATTATTAATTTAACCGATTTCACATCAGGTGTGACAGCAAGGTAGAAGTATTATATTCTTTAATACCTTACTGAAATATGCATTAGCATCTTTGTGAATTGTAGAGCCCACAAAAAAGCTTACACACCAAAGCCTCCATTGACAAAACCGCACATGTTTGAAACATTGTTATGAACATCACATATGAGATTAGAATATGATTATTTATTTTTTGATATAGCAACCCGATATGCCAGGGCCTCTCAGAGCACAACTCAAACATTACATGGAGTACCCCCAGTGGCAGCTGTCCAAGTGGCACAAGGTGAGTAAGCACCCAGCCAACCAATCAATGGGCATTAGTCTGACAAAAGGGGGCAATTATTGTTATGTAGAAATCTAAATGAGTAGTTATGCTTTTCGTTACAGTACATACTTTACCATTCTGCAGCAAGCACATTTATTTATTTTAAAAAATGTAGTCTCTATTCATAATGTTCGTAGCAAAAGTGAATTTCTCTTCATCCAGATCTGACAATGCCAATGAGATCAGGATTTGTAGAAACATTGGAAAGCAGCTGTCTTGAGAGCAGTGCGATAGTGACACTGTACATTTAAAACATTTATTTTCATCACGAAACTATATGGTCAATAAATGTAACAGAGTATTAAATGCGCTTTCTCCTTTTAAATGCCTTCTATTGCACTATGTATGCTATAGGCGAGGTCAGCTGTTCCCAACCTGTGGTCCACGATGCTACTGCAGGGGGGTCCGGGGAAAGAGAAAATGAATATTGGAGAACCCTTGAATAGCGTGGACAAAATCCTCACCAAGGAAATATACAATTTCACGTGAATAGCTGGCCTAGGCCCTAGGAGACTGACAGATTAATTATTCAATTCGACAGATGAATGTGTCACTATGACAAATTAATGAAAAACAGCTACAAAGCGCACATGCTCATCTTTTTTAAAATTTCAAAAGTACAAATTGAAATGGTAATGAGTCGTGGAGTCTAGGTTGTTGGTGTATGGAAGTGAGCGTTGACAAGACCTTAATTTCTCACTAAATTTCCACCGGCTTGCTGTGCAGACGAAATAGCCCAACAGGCATAGCGACAAGATGTATGGCGTGGTCAACAGTGTTTTACATTTCAATTTAAAGCTTTCATGACTGCAGGGATTCATATTCTTGGTTCTTTCGGTAAAGTCACGTAGAAGGGAAATAATAAAATAACAGACGCAGCTAAAGCTAAGCCCGTACTGTGTAGTTGGAAAGTTGAAGTACTTTGGCGCATAATATTGTTAATAGTGTAATGACCGAAATTAACAAACGATTCACCCCAGAGCCAGTGTAGCATAACAGTTATAAAAAATATATAGGCCAAGGTCTCCGATTGGCGGAAAGAGGAACAAGAATATCCTTAACACAGGTGTTTTGGGTTGTGATCACGTAAGGGGCCGTCCATAAAGACGTCACGCGATTTTGGACGATTTTTGACCTCCCCCCCTCGTCACACGGCGTCACAAAAAGTCAGACCCCCCCCACCTCAAATATATAAAACATGCTTCAAATCGCTTTAAACTATTGTCATTGTAGTGCGTGTTTAATTTGGCGCTGCACTCTGTGATGTTGTAGGAGAAAACATTAAAAAGTCTATTTAATTAAGTAGAACGTGTTGTCTATATTTTTTTCAAGTTGCGCATTTTGATGTGATGTCACATTTCTCAAGCCCCCCCCCCTCCTCGTCACAAATGTCTGACCCCCCCCCCCAGGTGCGTGACGTCATTTATGGATGGCCCCTAAATATATAAATGTCGATTTAAAGCTTTCGTGACTGCAGGGATTCATATTCTTGGTTCTTTCGGTAAAGTCACGTTGAAGGGAAACAATAAAATAATAATATATACAACAATAAAATTCTCACAACGTTTCGACTGTAACACAGTCATCATCAGGTGTGAAAACCAACGGCAAGAACATTTGAAAGAAGTGGGGGTTTGTATTTATTTATTTTTAAAAGTTAGCACCACGGATAGCGAACATAGATGGACACAAACAGTCATCATCAGGTGTGAAAACCAACGGCAAGAACATTTGAAAGAAGTGGCGGTTTGTATTTATTTATTTTTAAACGTTAGCACCACGGATAGCGAACATAGATGGACTCGTCCTTCTAAACAAACTGTCAAATCGCTATCCACGGTGCTAACGTTTAAAAATAAATAAATACAAACCGCCACTTTTTTCAAATGCTTCTTGCCGTTGGTTTTCACACCTGATGATGAATGTTTGTGTTACAGTCGAAACGTCGTGAGAATTGTATTGTTTAGAAATAGGTTTTACCCTTTTAACTGGCACAAAAACTGACACCTTTATTCAAGGCATCATATTTGCAATAACCACAACACAAGCAGTCAAAATGCAAACAAATGAGACAACTCTGATAATAATATGCACTGTCCTTGAATTTGATTGGTCCACACCCGAGACGGCTTTTCTTAGAGCCTAGTTTCCACTGGTGTTGGACCAGAAGACGCCAAAAGGCGTACAACTCAAAAACAGTGCACTATCAGAGTATTGAGGGCTCGGGTGAGAATTTACATTGAGACCTCCTTTGCCAGTAACAAGATATAGAAATAGGTTTTACCCTTTTAACTGGCACAAAAACTGACACCTTTATTCAAGGCATCATGTTTGCAATAACCACAACACAAGCAGTCAAAATGCAAACAAAAGAGACAACTCTGATAATATGCACTGTCCTTGCATTTGATTGGTCCACACCCGAGACGGCTTTTCTTAGAGCCTAGTCTCCATTGGTGTTGGACCAGAAGACGCCAAAAGCCGTACAACTCAAAAACAGTGACTAGGCTCTAAGAAAAGCCGTCTCGGGTGTGGACCAATCAAATTCAAGGACAGTGCATATTATTATCAGAGTTGTCTCTTTTGTTTGCATTTTGACTGCTTGTGTTGTGGTTATTGCAAACATGATGCCTTGAATAAAGGTGTCAGTTTTTGTGCCAGTTAAAAGGGTAAAACCTATTTCTATATCTTGTTACTGGCAACGGAGGTCTCATAATTTTATTGCTTTATATATTTTATTGTTTCCCTTCAACGTGACTTTACCGAAAGAACCAATAATATATAAATGTCGTTCAATCCGTCACCATCCGACACAGCCAAATTAGTAAGGTTCGTCACGTAAACAGAACCTGCCAATTCGTTACTAGTGCAGCAGCACCACTGGTGTGTTGGAGAGCAAAGCGACAACATTTACAATCCGAGAACCTTGTATTGTGGATTAAATCTGGTCACGAAAGCCTCCGTGTTAAAGGGAACAAGAACAGGCAGAAAAACAGAGTGGTGGAACGGGTTTGGGATCCGTCAGAGGAGGACATGAATATTGGCGAGCTGAAAGACAGCGGTGGAACATTGGGGAAGAGGTGGGGGGAGGGGGCTCTCGAATGATCTAAAATGGGCAGAGCACCAGGAGAGGGGGACGCGTTCTAGGGAAGGAACGAGCTTTAGCACTAACACGAAGCACTGTTTTAATAAAAGAGAGACTCCTAGTAGTATACAATGCGAGACACAGGGGCGTGGTGTGGTGGATATGCAGAGTGTCCTGCCGGAGGGTATTGTCGTCTGCAAATTACTCAATTGGAACGTCCTCATGAAAGTTACATTTACGTTGCAGATTATGCACACGTACTAAATTTCCATTTAAAGCTTTCGTGACTGCAGGGATTCATCTTCTTGGTTCTTTCGGTAAAGTCACCACGTAGAATGGAAATAAAATAATAAAAGTAAAAGATAATAAAATAAAATCCTCATTTTACGTGACTTTACCGAAAGAACCAAGCAGACGTACTAAATTGTTTACTTATTACCATTAAGGTACGACGAATGGAATGCATTGCACAGCGTGGTCTAGATGTCTTGTGACCCCCCCCCCCCCAATGTTTTTACTTTGCATATTCCTTTCTGTTATTAATAAACGTTAAAGTTCATCCTATTTTCTCGCAAACCATTATCCCGCGTTTATTGGGCACAATTAACTGCGGCTTTAATCAGGTATAAGAACAGCCGGGCACAGCGTACTTTAGTTAAGACGTTTCTAAAACTCTTAATGCTCAAGCGATACGAACATTGCGACGAAAATCAAAACATCAGTCACGAGTTGGGCCGGGACCAACACGGTCAATAACGTTACAAAAAACCCCATAATATTCAAACAATTAACTTGTTTGAATATTGCGATTGATACATATACTTATAACACCCACACAAAAAAACCACATGACCACGTAAAACGCACGCACAAAAAAAATACTTAATAACGGACCAAGCCTGTTGTAGGCCTCGGCCGTAGTCCAGTAGGCCTCAAAAGTCAAAGCGTAACTTTGGTAATCTCTGCTCTGTCCACATGAACAGATAAAGTGTACAAATGTTATTACAATAACTGTTCGAAGCGCGTTTGTTCAAGCCCCCAAAAGGGAATGGGATAATGCAGTGAGGCGCAGTACTGTAGTTTTTGTTTTAATGCTTTGGTCCAAGCTGTTTATACTTTCATGTAACAACAAAAACAACAAACCCCCCCCCCCAGCGCACACTGCTAGTCAAGATTAAAGTGGCAAGTCTTGGCGTCGTGTTCGTCTTCTCGTCATTACCAAGTGAAATGTATAAAGGAGGCCGGCAGTGCTGGTACGTGGGGAGTTAAATGTTAAGGTTGTGTTGACATCACATTCACGGAATAGGCTGACTACGTGTGAGAGTTATTGGCCGCTAAATTGTTAGGCACGCGAAACAAGACACTTTTTTTAAAAAAAAGTTCTAATAGTACTGTACACGGCACCGTGTTAATAAGCAGTTGTAGTACGGAGAGGGTGTCGTGCCAATGGTCCCTTTAAAAAACGCCTTACATACAACTCCAAAAAAAAACCCCGCGATCGTTTAAAATGCCACGGTATAAAACAGCACAATACGCGCGTTGTTGATTGTTTTAGTTAGATGTTTAGAAGTTTTAAACGCCACGGCGAGTCGTCTTTCGCGGGTAGATGTGTGTAGTGTAGTGTGTGTTGGCGTCTAGCGATGCGACTGAAGGTAACACGGCGAGACTGTAACGACGCATCGCGAGCCTCTTCAAAGTCGGCGCAAGGCGGCCGCGATGTCGCCGTCACTTACTCGACGACCGCCGCGGCCGCCGCCAAGACGCGCGGCCTTGCGCTGCGAGGAGGGGCGACGACGAGGCGAAGGTGCCGACCGAGACGGCCACAAGACGACGAAGAGGATGAAGACGACGACGAAGAGGATGAAGACGCGAGAACGGCGATGAAAGGTGGCGGAGGCGGCGTGCCCCGGGTGCCGTGCGAGATGGCGCGGGCGGCGGCATTGAGCCGCGCTCTGGCCTGGCCCGGGCTTCTCTCCTCCACGTCTTTGTCATTCTCCTTCTCCCGATTGTCTCCTTCATCCACGTCGACTTGGCCATCGTCTCCGCGATCGTAGAACCACAGGGAAACCTCCAAGCACTGTCCGTTCCCGATCATGGCAGCCCGAGGTTCACGCTTCCTTGTGCGGGCGGCGGCGATAGCAGCTGCGCGTGGCAGTGGCGTTTCTGTGTTTGTTTTCAGCTTGGGTCGACGTTATCTTTGAATAAAGTGTTGCGGTTTAATGAGGTAACCCCCCTCCTCTCTCCTCTCTCACCCTCTGTGTGTTTTCTACTGAACCAGCTCAGCGAGTAAACTGGTTTGGTGTGTTCTGTTTTGCTCAGCGGCCTGCTGTGTCGTGGGCTAATGCGTGAGCAGGCTTTGTGGGTATACCATGTGCTTCAATACACAAACGTGGACTGGTGACCTAAACTTCCCTTTCTTACAGGCGTTAAAACATCACTGCCTTGTTAAACGACAACACCAAAGTTGTACGCTGTATATGCAAAAAGATTAGGGTTTTAATGATGGTCCCAAAACAAAATAAAAACTGCCAAAGAAACCTGTACAAAAGGCTGACGTTTCAGGCAAGGACCCCTCATTTTATGCCCCATGAATGCCGACCGAGGAGAATTAGCTATGAATTTTGGCTCGGTGCAAGTGCTAGGTCAGTGGTTCTTAACCTTGTTGGAGGTACCGAACCCCACCAGTTTCATATGCGCATTCACCGAACCCCTCTTTAGTGAAAAATAAAATGTGATTTTTTTCAAATTCAAGATGTAGATATGTTTTTTACTGGTACACAAAATGAGCCGTGCATGAACATTACCTTGTTCAAAGAATAAAACCAACACAATGCATAAACTCACAACAAATTACATACCTGGAAATCAATGTGACTTCTGCTGTTGCCTTTGAGAGATCAGTTCAGATATGCGTGGCTTCACCTTGGCAAGTGCCACTCTCATGTCATTTTCACAGCAAAGTCTGTTCCTTTTCTTCGTTTTTATGTCCAGCATCCTCGAAAAGGATTGCTCACAAAGATATGTTGTAACAAATGGTATAAAAAAAATCCAGGGCTTTCTTAGCAATAACTGGATACTTGTTCATTTGTCGACACCAAAACGTTGAGAGCGTTGTTGTTCTGAAGAGTTGCTGTTGAACCTGGCTCTGCTGAATTTCAATGATTTCGTCGAGGAATTCATCATTGACATCTGCTGTTTCAGCAGCAAACGTGAACGGCTGTCTCACCCATGCTGGATATGACTCTCTTGTAGGGAAATATCCGTCGAGAGACTTTGCAAGCTCATCTAAGTGCGTGGCAATTGTTTGCTTCAGTTCCGTGGATACAGAAATATCTCCGATTCCAGACACATCTTCGATCTTACTTGCACAGTCGTCCAGAAGCGGGAAGTTTGCGAAGTTATTGTTCTCTGTTCATCGTTTCCATAACGGTAGCTTTTTTGAAAAGCCTTCAGGTGTTCTTCCGCTTCCATGATATTGACTCCACCACCCTGCATCTGCTGATTGAGATTATTGAGAGCTGCGAATATATCAGCCATGTACGCTAAAATGAGAATGAACTCAGGATTTTTGAAGCAATCTGCATGGCAGTGTTGGTGCTCTTGCAAAAACAGGGCTAATTCCACACGCATGGCAAAAACACGATTCAGCACCTGTCCCCGGGATAACCACCGAATATTAGAATGGAGCAGAAGTACCTCAAATTCAGAGCCCATTTCTTTACACAGCTCACTGAAGATGCGGTGCCTCAGAGCACTTTTTCGCACATAGTTCACACATTCCACCACAGTTTTTAATACTTCTGCCATTTTTGGAGGTAAGGTTTTTGTTGCCAACGCATGCCTGTGCAGAATACAATGCGTCACAATGATGTGTGGTGCATCGGCCTTTACTAGCGCACCAAAACCAGACTTTCTTCCCAGCATGACTGGAGCTCCGTCCGTACAAACTGCAGAAACCATATCCCATGAAAGATTGTTGTCTCTGAAGAAGTCATCCACAAGCTTCTTCACATCGGCTGCCTTCGTTGTTGTTGTAAGAGGCTTACAAAATAAAAAAAACTCTTCTTTTATCATGTCGTCTTTCACATAGCGTACAAAAACAGCAAGCTGGCTTAGATCAGAAACGTCTGTGGTTTCGTCGAGTTGAAGGCTGAATTTTGCCGGGCTTGAAATCAGATCCGCGACTACTTGAGCCAAGATGTCTTTACTCATGTCTTCTATTCTGTCACTGACGGTGTCATTTGAAAGGGGAATTTGGGATAATTTACCTTCGGCCGCTGTTCCGAGTATCAGATTCGCCATCTTTAATGCAGCTGGTTTCACAAATGTTTCACCAATGGTGTGTGGCTTGCCCTGCTTTGCGATCAGGTAAGCAACTTCGTACGATGCTGTCAGGATCGGTTTGTTAACAGGTACAAATCCAAGAGCAGGCAGAGTGGCCCTTTCATCGAATCTGGCTCTCTTCACCCTGAATTCAGCAAGTGTTGTGTTCTTGTATTCCCCGTCTCCATGCAGCTTCAAGAAGTGTTCCTTTAGTTTTTCTTTTGCCCGACATAGTATGGATAAAATATTAAAGAAATCACACGACGTACGACAACAACAGTCACACGTTGACTACTGAGTACGCACTAAATTCCCCGCAGCGCTGATTGGCCAAGCAGTGTAGCATGATCATCTGCAGCCAGTGATGGCCAAGCGGGCCGTGTGTGTCATCACAAATTTACACAATAATTCAAGTGTGTCTGGACCTCCGTGGCGGGGGCTCTGCCGAACCCCTGAGATCGACTCACCGAACCCCTGGGGTTCGATCGAACCCAGGTTAAGAACCACTGTGCTAGGTGGATTAAAACTTTGCACTATCATCTGCCTTTTGGGGGTGGCTTTTATCCAGCAGTGGATTGATCATGACTGATGGCATTTACTGAGGGCAAAACCTAAATCCATGGTGATAGTTACCCTACTTCGATCGGAAAACTCACGGTTAAAATAACATTGATTAGAAATTGTAATTTATAGAGCCACGTTGGATAGCAAAATGGATTTACAGTAGGTGGATTGGTTTACCCTATATAGCTGGAGCAGATTCAAACAAATAGAATAAAGTGGGATTGGATTGTAGGAGCTAAAGCAAATAGGAAATTGGATCAAACACATTATTGACATTTCCTCATTGACACAGATCAGAGGTAAGACGTTTTAAACAAAACATTTTTTTTTAAAGACAACCGTTTACTTCAAGCGTATTTTAGAATTGAGCTTGATTTGAATCTGTATAATACTAGAGCTGGGTAGGATACCAAATTGTCTTGAATTTTAAAAAAATACGTTGGAAGGTTCTAAAAAAAAACATAACCTGGATAAGGAACTGAACCAAGAATTGGAAATACTGGCCGAGGTTATGATACCGGATTTAAAAGTAACGGCAAAATCGAATTAGGTATTGAATCGAATGAGAAACTAGATCAAGACAATATTGGAATGGAAGCTGGATAAAACAAGAAACTGGATGTGTTATTGGAGATTGTAATGCGTTGGGGTCAAATGAAGCAATTGGTGGGACCCCGGGGTCTCATCACTGCCCCGGGGTGGGAAAACCGCGTAGCGACACGAGTCTCGCCTTACCGACAACAAAACTAGCGGTCAATCGATTGGCCTCGTCGAGAGCTACTCGGGGCACTAAGTTTCGTAAAAAGTTGAAAAATTACATACACGTTAAATTCACTGCCTGGGGGGGTGGCGGGCTCGCCTTGGCAAAGAAGCTGAGGATCGACGGCTGACCGGAGGGCGTCGTCGTCGCCGCTTGCGACTGCGGCGGACGCCCCCCGGGGCTCGCGTTTGGCCGGTGGGGTGGCGCCCGTTGTGTTGATCGCCGCCTGCTGGTGGCGCTTGTTGGTGCGAGTCTGGGAGGGCGGGCGGCGCGTTGCTGTCGGGGTCACGAGTGGGGCGGACTGAAAAATAATAATTATTGACTTGATTTTTGCGGGACCCCGGGGTCCCGTCAAATGATTCAAATGTGAAAGTGGATGAAAGAAGAAACCCAACAAAATGGGCATCTAAATACATTTTAAAAGCGTTATCAAATTTCACAAGGAAACTTAATTGAGAAGGAACACAGGAATGGATACATGGCTGGTCAAAATAAGGAGTCAACTGTGCATTGTGATGAGGCTACAGTTTTCGGATACATTTCAGTATCGATGTGAGTAAACAATACATTTACAGTATCCAAGTCCCAATAGCACGTTTTAGAGAACACAATTATACGTACATAGTGTATTTTAACTGTACAATGTGCCCTTACAATGCATAATATAAACGATATAAACCTACACTACACGGACAAATGCATTTCAAATTACCTCAAGCAGAACTTACGAAAATATAATTTACGTAAGCATAAGAAAACATGCTCACGCTTTGAAGGAGGTTTTCTCTGGCGACTGGTGATAAGAACCAAACAACAGTGACTTGTGTGGAGATAACAGTTTAGCAATGTGGTGCGAATCTTCCACAAAGAGAAACCCATTGTCAGTCGCTGTCAGAAATTACAGGAACGATTTGTGAATTGCAGTACTCATAAAAAATATCTGTGTGGGATGTAGACATAAACATGGAGTTACATAACATTTTGATTTAAAGCTTTCGTGACTGCAGTAATTCATATTCTTAGCTCTTTCGGTAAAGTCACGTTGAAGGGAAACAAAATAATAAAATATATAAAACAATAAAAAAATTCTCACGACGTTTCGACCATAACACAAATTAATGCAAACCGACACACCTGATCACGACCGTTTGTGTTATGGTCGAAACGTCGTGAGAATTTTTTATTGTTTTATATATTTTATTGTTTCCCTTCAACGTAACTTTACCGAAAGAGCTAAGAATATTACATAACATTGTTTTAATTAAGTTAAAGCCCACTTAGCTATGAGCTCCTTTTCAGAAGTGACCTGGCTGGCGTTCAGCGAGAAGTTCATGGCTGATGATGGAATAATATGTATTTTTAATTCAGAATAAATTGCAAGACCAAGTGAAAAACTCGGTCCAAACTCGTTTCTATGACTGCGTTGAGTGCTAATTTGTACACTCACATAAACGTTGAGGCATGGGCAATATTGTTCAAGGTAGATAATTGCATACAGGACGTACAATTGTTTTTCTTTTAAATATGCTGTTACGAAAGTACATTTGCATTTGAACAAATCAAGTTCATATTCTTAGTTTTTTCGGTAAAGTCACGTTGAAGAGAAACAACAAAATAACAAAATATATATAAAACAATAAAAAATTCTCACGACGTTTCGACCATAACTCAAACGGTCATCATCAGGTGTGTCGGTTTGCATAAATTTATTTTGAAAAGGCATATTTATTTATATATAAAATAACGTTTGCGTCACGCGCAACGATTGGCAGTTTGCCAGGACTAGTCCATCTATTTTTTGAAAAGAGGAGGGGGGAGACGAAATTTGTTTTTATGTATGCTGTCTGAAAGCCACTGTAAGCGTGAACAATCAATCAAGAACTGAAATGATTTATCAAATCTTTCCAATGATTGCTAAGATAGAATCCATCTTCTCGGTTGAAATTGTCTCTGTGCTTGTATATGTGGATAGCCTCATGAACGAATCTCTC